CCCTGACCCGCCGTCGACGTCGTCCGCATGCTGCCCAAGCGCGCCGCGCGCCTCTCCCGCTTCCACCACGCCGTCCGCATCGCCTGGGACCTGCCCGCCCGCGACGGCTCCGGCCGCCGCACCGTCATGTACGAGTCCACCAGCGTCTCGACCTTTTGCGAAGACCCCGACGCCGTCGAGGTCCGCGTCGCAGAGTTCAACGTCGTCGAGCTCGTCCCTGTCGTCGCCGACCCCGCCACCGGCCGCACGGAGCTCAGGGCCCTCCAGCTGCGCGCTTTCTTGGACGGCGCGCCCGTCACGTCAAGAGCGCAGATGATTGCAAAGGAGTGAGTGGCGTCGATATGCATTCGCGGTTCTTGTCTCCTCTGGAGGGGCTCTCCCCAAACTGGCACATACCTAAATAGTCAATGCCGACAACGACGTCACGCAAAGGACGTCTGATGTTAATTCTGCCCCATCCTTTTGATATGAAAGGAAACAGGGTTATGATACCATAGCTTCCACGAAGTGTAGGTCACTGCTTTTACGCAATATGCTATAATGCATCATTCAATGTTTGTACATTTGTACTACTAGCCATACTTGATCGACCTAGTCCACAGTCAACAGCTGTTCAAAGAAGCCCCCAAACTGTCCCTCCTTATCGTGCAGGTAAATCTCCAGAATCCACTGCCGCACATGGCCGTCCTTGCCCAGCGTCCGCATCGACGTCGTGTTGCCGGCGGCAATGTACAGCGGCATCATGTCGTGCGGGATGCGCTCGTGGGGGAACGAGCCGACAATGTGGCCGGCAATGTCGGCGCCCCAGGTCCATCCCTGCGCCTCGCCCGCGCCCTTGGCAATGGCAAACAGCTCGGCGCCCGTCATGTCCGGCCGGGCGCGGTACCGGTCCCGGACGGCGTGCCAAAGCGGCTGAAGCGCGTCGCGCACCCGCAGCTTGCGCGGGTCGCTGCCCAGCACAAACGTCCGTCCAAAGTCGGCCTCCCACTGCTCAAACACGGGGCCGAGGTCCACGACGAGGATGTCGTCGGCCTCAATCACCCGGTCCGGCGGGTTCTCCTTGTACGCCGCCAGCGTGTTGGGCCCGCTGCGCACGATGCGCTTGTGCCAGTGCGTCTCGAGGCCGTGCCGCGCCTTGCCGAGCGCCGCAATCTCGGCGCTCAGCGTCTTGTCGCTGACGCCCGGCCGGATGAGCGTTTCTTCGATTTCTTTGAACAGCGCTTCGGCCTTGGCCTGTGCGACCAGGAGGTTCGCCACGCGATCGGCTTCGCTCATCTGGGACATGGTGGTGATGGTGATGGTGTTGAATGTGTGTGGGTGGGTACAAAAGCGCTCGTCTTTCACGCTGTTATGATGGCGTTGCTGGTATATAAAGCAACCTAGATCCAATATACATTATTCAGCAGCAAATGCCCGAAATTGTATTGGCCCATTTGCAGCTGTCCCTCCACAATTCGACCCGAAAGCGACCTTGTCAGGCGCACGCCCTACGCCCTGCGCCATGCCAATATGAGGCAAATAACGTTACGCAGCTTGATCCCGAACAAGAAGGCGCAATTGCGTCAACCTGCGGAACTTTTGTACTTGACATCACACAGAGCGAGGCCGCCGTGGCTTCAATATCTACCTGCTAGGAATCAGACCAGCGCTCGGCTGGGTGTAAGTGATGGTGGAGGTAAGACTAACAATCAAGATGATCTACCCACACCCTCACTACATAGAAATGCCGGGCTCAGTTACGGAAGGAAGACCCCTGCCAGGAAGCATTAGTGCCTCTACGCTAGAAAATTCCTTTAGATGAGCCAAGATCTAGCCTACTTTAGGCCTTATTCTATATACAACTATGGTCCTTGTGGAACTCTCTACTTCTTAGCCTTGCTGTTATCCGCCGTCGTTTCTGGCCGATCCGTCCCATCCTCATTGAAGAGGGTTTCTTGTGCTACAATCAGATCCGTTAGCACGTCGTTAATTCTGTAACCCGAACCATGGTCGTTTGGGGAAAAAAGGTAAAAAGGGTTGAAAAATCCAAAAGACTCACCACTCCACAGCTCAGCATAGACGCCGGCTCTATCGATCAACTCCCGGTGGGTGCCCATCTCGGCCACCTGGCCCTCCTTGAGCACAATAATCAAGTCCGAGTCGAAGATGGTGCGCAGCCTGTGCGCGACAAAGACGCTGGTGCGGCCCTTTTCGCGCAGGATGCCGTTGATGTTGACCATGAGGGCCTGCTCCGTGTGCGTGTCCAGCGCGCTCGTCGCTTCGTCAAAGAAGAGCAGCGGCGGGTCCTTGAGCAGCAGCCTGCTCATGGCCAGGCGCTGCTTCTCGCCGCCCGAGATCATGAGCCCGCGCTCGCCCACCTTGGTCTCATAGCCGTCCGGGAACCGGGCAATCGTGTCGTGGATGCGGGCGCGCCGCGCGGCGGCCACGACCTGCGCGTGCGTCGCGTCCACCGACCCGTAGCGGATATTGTGCTCCACAGTGTCGTTGAAGAGCGGCGTGTCCTGGGGCACGACGCCGATGGCGCGCCGCAGCGAGTCCACTTGCACATCGCGGATGTCCTGGTCGTCGATGAGGATGCGGCCGCTCTGGGCGTCGTAGGAGCGGAACAGCAGCCGCAGCAGCGTCGACTTGCCGCAGCCGCTCGGCCCGACAATGGCCACCTTTTTGCCCGCGGGGATGGTGAGGCTGAGATTCTGCAGGATGGGCCGGTCCGGATGGTAGCCAAAGTGGACGTTCTCGAAGCGGATCTCGCCGCCCTTGGGCAGGGCGAGCGGCAGGGCGCCCGGCTTGTCGGTGATGCTGACATTGACCTTTTGCAGACTGAATAGCGTCTCCATGTCGAGCAGGGACTGGCGCAGCTCGCGGTAGACGGAGCCGAGGAAGTTGAGCGGCACGGAGAGCTGGAACACGAGCTGATTGACCATGACCAGATCGCCCACGGTCAGGCTGCCTTTGGCGACGCCGTCGGCGGCAAAGTACATCATTGCTGTCAAGGCAGACGAGAAGATGATGTTCTGGCCGCTGTTGAGGAACGCGAGCGAGGTAGCCACCTTGATGGAGCTCTTTTCGTACTGCTTCAGGGCATTGTCGTAGCGAGCCACCTCAAACTTTTCATTGTTAAAGTACTTGACCGCTTCGTAGTTGATGAGCGAGTCGACGGCGACCGTGGACGCCTTGTTGTCGGCCGCGTTTGCCTGGCGCCGAAACTTGGTGCGCCACGCCGTCGTCCAGATAGTAAAGGCCGTGTAGCCGACCATGGTGAGGGCGGTGACGGCGGCAAACTTGACGCCGTACTGCCAGGTGAGGATGCCGCAGACCATGCCAATCTCGAGGGCCGTCGGCAGCACGTGGAAGACCATGCTGGTCAGCAGAAAGCTGATGCCCTTGGTGCCGCGGTCAATGGCGCGCGTGAGGCCGCCCGTCTGCTTGGCGAGGTGGAAGGCGAGGTCGAGGCGCAGCAGGTGGTCAAAGACGTTGCGGGCGACGGAGCGGATGGCGTTTTGCGCGACCGAGGCGAAGATGGCGTTGCGGAGCTCCTGGAAGATGGTGGCACCGATGCGCGAGGCGCCGTAGCCGATGATCATGGCGCCGGCGACGGTGGTGGCGGTGCCGCCGAGGGTCGCCACGTCGACGTTGAGCGAGTCAACGATGCTCTTGAAGTAAAAGGGCACCTGCACGTTGAGCACCTTGCTGCCGATGAGCAGCACCACGGCAAGGCTGACGCGAAACTTGGTGCCCAGGTTGTCCTTGGGCCACAGGTACCGCGACATTTCCTTCATGATGGCCCAGTCGGCCTTGCGCTGCTCCGTGACTGTCTTTTCGGGCAGGGTCAGGGGGTCGTTGTTCTTGACGGCGGCCGGCTTGGCAGCGTCTGTCGTCGTCGTCTTGGCCGTGTTGGGCAGCGGCGCCGTCGTCGCGGGCGGGGTAGAAGCTTGCGGTCGTCGCGGCGCGGCCGTGGTTCGGAGCCGTTGTGTCAACGGCAGGCTTGGCGGCGCGGCCCACGGCGGGCGAGTACGCGCCGATGCTATCCCGTAGCGGGAGCAGAGCATCGGCGCTCGGGATGCGAGGCGAGGAATCATTGCTGTCTGGGCATTGTATGGTGCTTGTGTCGGATAGGCGGTGGGAGGGGGAGGACCAAAAAAAAAGGCTGTTGGAAGTAAGGCTGGTGTTGGCCCTGGGCCACTGGTACAGGCCCGATTTGAATAGCACGACCAATCGGGAGCAAGTGTGAAGAGAAAACGCAATCGAAAGGCGAGATTACATTCGGGTATCAAGGTTAGCAAGATTCCCCGGCCTTGGGAGATTCGAGGACAAAAGGGTCAAAGTTCGAGGTCAACAAGGTCCTTCGATGTTGTTGGAGGCGGGCAAAAAGGTGGAGGCGCGGAGGCGACTGGGATGAAGTCGACAGCCGGACGGGGTATGGTGTCATTGGTGCGGGAAAAGGGACCAAATTGGAAATGCAATAAATTACGAATTGTCGTTAATTGTCCACAAACTTGAATACTTCTCGGCGAACGTCATTGCTTCAACTGTCCATCTTGTTGCAATGGACAATAGAACTCGTCTTTGTTGTCACGTGCCGTCAGTGACAGCCTCTGTGCCGCGTTAGTGTTTGGGCACCATCATTTCTACAAATTACATGCCCGATTCATTCCGCAACAATCATGGCTTCAAGCGCGACTTGAATCTTCCATTTCTCAACCATCCTCCATTCAGTAGAAATTTGAAACAAGTCCAAGAATGTCCATCGTCGTCGGTTAATTCCCCTCTCGCTGCTCAGCGCCTCCCCGCATTCTCGGAACAAGGGTCTCGAAGAAGGGGTCTGGCCCAGCATGCACTTTTCTCGTCTGCCATTGGAACATGCTGAAAGAGTTTCCCCTTTTCTGTTTTAACAAGCTCGCCGTCACATTCCGGGCTGTGGTTGAGAGACTCACTGCGTGTGATAGCTGTCATTCCTCGCTACCCTCAAATGTCTCACCATCATCATCCACTATTGAGACACTACCTCGTTACCCAAACTGCCCAAGTAGCAGCTGCATGCAGAGAACCTGCTATTGTTGAACAACCCTTCCGTCGCAAAGCAGCGTATATCCCAAGGTATGTAGTGTCTCGAGTGACAAGACCAGAATGACTATATAAGTCACGGGCAGCCCCCTTTCCATGCTCGCTCTCTCCAGACAAATTCATCTCTCACTACAGTCTTTCCAATCCTCTTTTCTCAACCTCCAAAATGAAGTTTGCCATTGTTGCTACTCTGCTCGGCCTTGCCGTCGCTGCTCCCACCGGCCCTCTCGATGGTGCTCTTGGCGGTATCACTGGTGCTCTCCCTGGCGGTCTGGGCAATGTCGTCCCTGGCGGCGTCGGCAATGCCATCCCTGGCGACGTCGGTAATGCCATTCCCGGAGGCCTCGGCGGTGCCATTCCCGGAGGCCTCGGCGGTGCCATCCCCGGAGGTCTTGGTGGCGCCATCCCCGGAGGTCTCGGCAATGCTATCCCTATCCCTGGCGGTGTCGGCAATGCCATTCCCGGAGGCCTCGGCGGTGCTGTTCCCGGTGGCCTCGGTGGCATCCTCGGGACCGTCACCAATCTTCTCTCTGGTCTGACGGGCAAAAAGCAGTAAAAATCTCCCTCCAGTCATCACCGGCTGACATTGTAAGTACCAGCGCTTCGGCAGTGGCCAGGGTACCGGTTGACCGTCTCTAGATGAACCCAATACCCCGGATCCGTGAATCAGCGAGAACACTGCAGAGCCACTTGTCTAGTATGAACTCTAGGCATATACTATATAGTTGATCTTTTTCGAAATAAAATAGCAACCAAGTCACAAGCGTTCATCTGTCATCGTGATGAAATTGTAACTTTGGTTGAATTCTATACAGACATTACATGCTACGGCCTCTTACTAGTGACTCTCTTTGTACCTTGCAAGGTTCGCCTCGTGCTTCTCATTCAGCCGCTGCACCTCGGCCCGCGCGGCGTCCCACGCTTTCCTCTTGTCCCCCGGAAACAGCCGCCAGACGGCCGACGTGAGCACACCCGTCTCAATCATGCCGTGCAGCCGTCTCTCGCGCCACCAAAACCGCCAACCCTCCCACCCCCACCAGCGCCCGACATGCCGCTCGACGCCGAGCCCGGCCGTCTCGTCGGCCCAGACGAGCCACGCGCGCATGTTGACCGTTGCGGGGACAATGGTCCCGCGGCGCGCCAGCCCCGTCACGTACGCGGCCTGGGCGTCCATCCAGCGCTCCATGGCGTCGGCCGGCGGGAGCCGCGACCGGCCGCGCCAGACTTGCGCGATGCACATGCTCGCCAGGTCGGCCACGGCAAACGCGCCGGTGGCGAACCACGCGCAGCCCACAAACGCCAGCGCGTCGGGGCGATCTAGCGAAAAGACGTTTTGGTAGAGCCGCGGCAGCGGGCGGCCGCGGGACCCTCGCGCAGCGGCCCACGCGGCGTCGGCGTGCCGCATCGGGTTGACGCGGGCGTCGAGGACGTCGTAGTTGTTGGCGTAGCCGGCGCAGTAGACGATGATGTCGGCGTCGAGCGTGCGGCCGTCGGCGAGCGCGACGGTGGACGGGCCCGTGACGCGCACGAGGCCGGCGACCGAGGTGACATGACCGGCGCGCAAGTGCGGGATCAGCGTGTCGTTGATGATGGGGTTGGTGACGGTGGCGGGCGGCGCGTCGGCGAGGCTCCAAGAGGGGTCCAGAGGGCCGAAGACGGCTGATGTGATGCCGCGCAGGACGCGGTCACTTATCCAGTCGCGCAGCTGCGGGAAGAGCCAGTCGATGATTCCTTGCAGACGGACGAGGCGGTGGGTGAGCACACTGGTCGCGGGTACGCCTTTGAGGTCACGGGGGAGCTGCGGGAGTTGTCAGTAGGGATACGCGGGGGGTGGTTCTGTCATGGCCACACATACGACATGTGCCCCTCTGTTGTGAGATAAATAGACCTCGGACGCGACGCCCACCAACTCACTTGCAATGTCGGCGCTCGTGTTGCCCATGCCTACAACAATGACTCTTTTGCCAGCATAGTCTGATGCTCTACCAGGCATTAGTTGAAAGAAGTGTGTGTGTGTGCATGGGCATTCAAAAACAGCAACGACTACTCACCTTTTGAATTGTTGCGAGTGCATCACTTCGCCGGCGAATAACTCCTGGCCCTCGAGCCGGAACGCAGTCGCCTTGACGTGCGGCCCGGTGGCCATGACCACCTTGTCAAAGTACTGCGACGGGGCGCCGCCAATGTCAATCTTCCACCGGCCCGTCTCCTCGATTTCCGAAATGCGCGTGACTGAGGCATTGAGCCGGAAATGCGGCGCGAGCTCAAAGTGCTCCACGTACGACTCAATGTACCGTTGCACCTCGGCGGCAGAACAGTGTGTCGGTGTATCTGCGCGTAATTAGACGGATACCTTGTTTGCAAATGGGACTTGATAAGTACCTTTTGGGAAAGGAAAATCGGTATAGCACATCTGCGGCACTGGTTAGCTCTTGCGACGCGTCTTGCGACGGAAAGGTGACGCACCCGTTCAATGGGGATATTCGCTTGTGTAGCTGCCTCATGGTTATTAGTGTTAACAGCCTCGTTGTCTGTTGGGTCTAAACTACCGGCCTACATTCAAGAATGCTGAGAGTTTGTTTGTCCTCGGTAAAGTGCCACAGACCGCCGTAGTATGCGCTTTTATCAAAGCCGGTAACGTCGAACCCTTCTTCGATCAGATTCTTAACTGTCACTATACCCATTCCTCCTGTAATAAAACGACGTTAGCTATTCTGCTTCCTACTTTCTTTCAAACGCCGCCGGAGAGCCATAGCGGCAGAGGCGCAGCCATGGCTGATGGCTTACCGAGGCCAATGACCGCTACGGTCGTCGTTTTCTGCGCCCCGTTCATGGCTTCGTGTTAGGACGGCCGCAAGTCTCGCCCTGTTCTCGACAGATGAGCCAATCGAGAGCCTCGCAATGTCTTCATCTGCCTTAGATGGTAGGGGAGAGATAACTAGATGCGCATGCTTCGCATTCTTCCTGCAGGCTAGCCCCGGTCGCTCTCAAGTCCATACCTTAGACATCTTGTAGCAAGCATGCCGTACAGCGGGTCCACGTGCCAACTCTGGCTTCCCAATTCGAGTCGACAATGAATGACAATGCCGCATCGCATATTGGCTACCTACCTAGGCCCAGGGAGGCTGATAATTTGATCACAAGCTAGCTAAACCAGATTTATAATAAGTATAACATAATTAACATGATGAAAGTAATAACCATAATAAGTACAATAGGTGTGGTGGGTAAATTATTTCCAACAACTCTCCCCTGTAATTTTCGGCAGAAGCTACGGGGCGCTATCCTAATCTGGTTTAGCTTGTTGTCATCAAATTATCAGCCGTTCCTCACCATCAATTCAAGGGTCAGTCTGATTGTGTGCCTCGGAGCTCAGGCAGAATGTTTAGCACCCACTTTCGTGCTCCAGCCCACAAGCCCCCTACCCTGCACCACTCTTGCTTGCCCTCACAACTTCCCAGCCAACACCGCGCCACCAATTTTTTAGGCGCCACCTCAACTGCCTGCAGCAACTGCTAGTCCCTCGCAAAATTGAGCCGCCTGGCTTCTTTCTTCGCTTACATGTCCTCCACTAGCATATGGGGTGATTCGCGCAGTCTCGCATCTACCTTTCTCTCTCTTGTGCGACCGCAATCGTCTCCAAACAGCGACGGTCTAGCTTCGTCCTACGCGCCTTCGTCCCGCAAACGCCGCGACCACGAGCATTACCAACCCGCTCAAGACACCGAAAACGTCGCCATGACGACCAATTCGCAGGATCTCCCCGCCCTTCGCGACGATTATGAGGAAGGCGAGGTTGAGGCCGACTTTGGTGCATTAGAAGTCTTTAACAGCAACACCATCTCCTCCTCCCTAGCCATTAAGCCTGTGTCCTCCAAGAAGGAGCGACGCGGCAAAAAGGGGCAACGCGACAAGAAGAACAACAGCTCCACCAAGTCACAAAAGAGCAAGCACAAACTCTCAAGCTCCATCAACAGCCACCATAATACCAATACCCCTACCGTTACGCCTACTTCGCCTTCTAAGAAGAAGCGCAAAAATTCCGACCTATCGGACGGCACGAGCCAAAAGAAGCGCAAGTCGCATGCTGCTATTAACAGCATCTCCAAAGAGCCGGCTAACCCCGAACCTCTAAACTCGCCGTCTGCGGTTCTTTTACACACACGCGGCCTATCGGGTAACGTCGAAGCTATAGCTCTAGAGGCTTGGCAAGAACACATCAATACACAGGCCTCACAGCAGCAAGACGCGGAAATGGCGAAACTCGCAGCTGATTCTATAGAGATAACAGCAGAGGTACCAGTAGAGCCTACGTCAGAAGTACCAGCCGTTGAAGCACTATCCGAAGACCCAGCAGACGCTCCAGCCGGTGAAGTTGCATCGACGTCACGACGCCTACGCTCCACGCGCAAGAAATCAAAGCCGACCTTCTTCGACGAGCCCGTCACAGATGCTTCGCTTGACATTTTCGGGCAGCTGCCTTCGCCTTCAGCTATAACGCCCAATCCTCGGAGGGCAAAGAGGGCCGCCCCCAAGAAAGGCCCCATACGCCAGCGCAAAGCTGAGAGGGAGGAGCTACAGGCTGAATCTTCTGGACTGAACCCTAAGTCTCCTAGACTGAACCATAAGGGAGGAAAATTCAGTGAAGAGGAATTGTCTCGTGTTGCTCACGCTATTGAAAGTTTCAGAGCTGAATACAATATGGAGCAGCGCGATGTTAATGAGGCATGTTCACCCCTCGACCTATCATGATAACTGAATACTAACACATGTCTGCAGATGATCCAAGCTCATGGCGGAACCTCAGCCGGCAAAGCACACGCCGAGCTCTGGATGCGCATTTTTGCCGAATGCCCGAATCGTCACCGACAAAAGGTCATTAACGTTGCTCGCAAAAAGTTCCACAACTTTGTGGCACGAGGTACTTGGACAGTTGACCAGGATAATGAACTTTCTGGCCTCATCAATGAACATGGCACGGCGTGGGCAAAGATTGCCGGCATGATCAACCGCCATCCTGAGGATGTTCGCGACCGGTATCGAAACTACCTTATCTGCGGCGGCGCACAAAAGAAGGAGGCTTGGGACGAGGAAGAGGAGGCGCGCCTGGCGCATTATATCCAAGAGGCCATGCTGAAAATTGATGAAGCGCGCATAGAGAATCCTGAAAAGAAGTTGCTGCAAACAAGAACGTACGAGGAACTCATCGAGTGGCAGAATATTAGCGAGTGCATGGGGCGTACGCGAAGTCGCCTGCAGTGCATCACCAAGTGGAAGGCCATGAATTCGCGAATTCACAGCACGGGTAGGCTCGTTTCGGCCGACCCCGACTCCAGCATTTCTTTCCGGCTAGACAAAGCCCGCCGTCAACTCGAGGACATGCCAGATACCGAAAAGTATCGCCTCGTGCTTGCAATCAAGTCACTGTCTGTTTCTTCCACAGCCAAAATTCCATGGCAGAGGCTCTGTGATAAGCAATTCCGCAACTCGTGGCATCGTGCTACACAGGAGCTCGTCTGGGCTCGGCTGGTCAAGTCGGTCCCTGGCTCTGAGTCGAGAACTGTGCGCGACTGTGCTCAGTACCTTGCCGACAAATACGACCAAGACGGACTACCAAATATTGCGGGAGAGGGCTGGGACGACGAAGAGGAGATAGCGCTCATCAATCAGTAGACCAGACTTACATAATAAACGCTTTTTTCAAATTTTATAAATAATTTGTGGCTAGTTGCTTTTATATAGTGCGACTAAATTTTCTATCTCGCCTCTACACTATATTGAAGCTATTGCTACTATTACTTATATCGCTACTATCACTTATATTGCTGCTATCACTCGTATCGCCACTATCACTCATATCGCCGCTATCACTTATATTGCCGCTATTACTTGTATTGCTGCTATTACTTATAATAAAGGTATTAAGTAATAGTGGCGATACCTTTATTGTAAGTGATAGCGGCGATACCTTTATCACGAGTGATAGCGGCGATACCTTTATCACGAGTGATAGCGGCGATGCCTCTATTGCGAGTAATACTAGTAATACGTAATTTCGATACCGGTCGCGAACATCCTCAGGATGGCGGTTGATCATGCCGGCAATCTTTGCCCATTACTGCCATCACTCGCGATAGAGGTATTAGTATCATGCCGGCAATCTTTGCCCATTACTGCCATCACTCGCCATCGCGGTTGCACAAATGCAGCCTTCTAACTACAAAGGAAACTTCCTGTGAGATCCAAAAAACGTTTTACCCAGCCATGATGCATAAAGAAACCCGCAGCAATCGCTTCGCACGACATGCCGATGCGGGCCTCAACGCCTTACTCGTCTTTGTTCTCGGCTTCCTTGATTCGTACAGTGATGCCCTTCCGGCCAGTCTCAATCTCGTAATGCCCGCCGAGCACCAGATCCTTGGCCACCAGCTCGCGTGTTCTGCCCAAGCTCTCAATGTCGGCAATGCGCTGGATCGTCAGCTCCAGATGCTTGTCGAAGCCGGGCTGGCTGCAAATCTCCTGGAAGGCAATGTGCATGGGCACACTGCTGGCGCGCACGTCTGCCTTGCTTGTGATGCTGAAGAGGTTGAGGCTGTCCAGCTTCCGGATGAAGTCGCACCGCGTCATCAGTTCCTGGGCAAGGTGAAACGGGAATGAGGGCAAAATATGGCCAATGACCGGGTCGTATATCAGGTCCATGTCCTTCTCCTTGGCTACTAATGCCTGCGCGAGAACCATCGCGGCAGCCTACGCTCAAATTAGACAAGTATTTTTGCGAATAGGATTGGGATATCACGGGTACTTACCGCCCACTTTTGCTGATCCATGACATCGTCGTCCATTTCCATGCCCAGGATCCAGCACTGGTTCAGGAACCACCTCTTTTCGATTTCCTTGATGCTTTCACAGGTTGCCAGCATATCCCTACTTTTAGCTACCTTGTTTAAAAAGTTCAATCGTCCACCAACACGGTCGTACACCTGCTCGAGCTGCTTGGTGTCGAGTGACTCTCCCCAGTAGCGTTGGCGATACTTCTGCAAAGCACTGACCGCTTGCTGTTTGGGCAGATCAGTAATGGGGAGTACTTCCATGCGCGTGGCCAGCTGCTTCAGGCGCTCATAGACCCAGTAGTCGTCCGAGTTGAAGATCATGGTGACGAGATTGGTGGCCGCCCACTGCTCAGCCCGCTGCTGTAGCAGTTCAATGAGGTCGCGACCGTCATCGTCGTCGCGCAGGAGATGCATCTGGTTCACGATGAGGATCAACGGCTTCTTACGCTTCTTGAGCAGCTTCATGGCAACTTTTTCCAGCTTGTTGAGGGCGCGCTCAATGTCGAGCAGCGCGGTCGACTCGCGCGGGCCGCGCTCACTAAAGTAACCACCAATGTAATCTTCGTGGAACTCATAGTTGAGGGCTTTTCCGAGGCGGATGCGGATGACCTCGAGATCTGCATGAGCCTCAAACATGGAAACGCCATCACCGTTGATCTTGCGCATCGCCTCGAGCAGCATGCTGCTCTTGCCGGCGCCCTTCTCGCCAATCATGAGAAAGTAGTGGCCAACGTCGCGGCCATCGACAATAGCATCGACAATGGTCTGCTCGTCGCGATGCACCCAGCGTTCCTCATTAGCCTCGCTATGGGCCGGCAAATCCTTCGCAACAGCTGCCAGATCAAGGACAGGGTCACCGGGCTCAAAGGCGCGGACCATTTTGTTTACCACGAGCATCTTATAGCTTCTGTGGTAAATATATCCAGCGGCAGCGAATCCGAGTCCCAATACAAGAATCGAGGCAAACGTAGTCGCGGCCGACTCTGCCATTTTGGAGAGCACTGACGGTTCCCCCTGGGCCTTGTCATTGCTGGTACTGTTTGTGCTTGAGCCTGAAGCTGTTTGAGCCTTGCCCTCTGCTGCGGTGGACACATTAGCATTGTGTCGCATGCTCGGCGGTTATCAATGGCCCAAACGTCATGCCGCTGGATCAATCGAAGCCCGGTGCCACCCAAAGACATACCGTTCCGCCTTGCGCCCTGCGTTGAGAATGCGCCGGCTGTCGCCGGAGGCCTCGTCGGGCTCCTGACCAACAAACGCGTTGCGGTGGCAGCCGCAAGCCTCGATGTAAGCATCGCGATGATGGTGCTAATGCCTCACTCGATGACAGGGAATAGCATAGCGTGGCGTGAGCTGTGAGCTGTGTATCAATTTTGATTTAAGAAGAGAAAAAGAACGCACCAGAGGAAGTCTCTTGGCGCTGAACGCTGGTGAAGACACGCGCGCGATACGGACGGGCATTGGTCTGTGCGAATGGATGCGCCCACGAGGCCTGTAATATGGACTGGTCGCACGATTAGCTGGCGTTCTGGTTCTTTCAGCGGGTTTCTTTCAGCGGACGCTTGTGCCGTTTCCAGCGAGCTTTGTTGCGGTACTCCGCCTTTACGGTGCCTTAGCACAGAACACAGGCGCTAAAAGTGACCATCATCCACTGACAAAATCCCCTGGAATCCCCTGTAGGTTCTCCACTATACTCGTTCTTCTTTCATCTTGTCCCCTTGCTAGCGCCCAACCTTATTTCCGCTCCTCCACCATCACGTCTCGAACGTCTCGAACGACCAGTGACTCGCGAAACGAGCCCTCTTCCAGCCTCGACATGTCTTGTCTCAATTGAGGATATGCATCAACTCATACTCTGCTTCTCATGAGTTGAGAATGCTGATGCAAATCGCCCCAGACTGCGAATCACTTGCTTCTCACCTTGCGCCTCACCTTGCCAAACGCTCGTTGAAATACATGTAGCACTACCGCCCGCACTCCCCCCACTTTCTTGCGTCTCACTGTCCTCTCTTCTCCTTATATACTGAACCAAGCTTCACAGAAGAAATATCTATCCAAATCGTCCCCCAGCGCATCAACATGTCAAATGGACTACTTAGCGGGCTTGTCAAGTGCCACACACCAGCACATGCTTCACCATAACTTGAGACTTGTGTTTCTCTTCGTTTCCTCTACATATACACTACACCCATGATGCTTCCAAGTGCCCTCGAAGTCGAACAACGCTGGATGCGCCGAGAGATCGCCCGGCTACGCGAATTGCTCAGAATCGACAACCTAGCTTACTCCAAACACCACTGCGAATTCACAAAAGCTATCCAGAGCAGACTGCGCTCCTTTGATCATGACGACTGCATCCATTCAGCCCTGCTTCATAGCACTGTCCCGGAATCCACAAACAGCGCTTCGCTTTACACCATCAACCCGCGCAAAGCCATCATCACAGCAACACGGGTCGTCTTCAAAGATCCATCTCACAGTGGTGGTATTGAATATGAATATTCCATGCACGGAATTGTTTGTTTAGACCAATTGGAAAAGCATCGCTTAGTGCTAGTCAATACCGTCAGGCGTGAAATGGGGGCAGCTATGGACGTTGCGCAGCTATCGCTTCTCCACGAACTGCACAACACTGCCACTCTTCACTATGGTCTTTTTCACATGGGCTTCCGTGCAGCTGTAAGAAACAGCAGGTCTACAATATTTCCATCTGCTAACTTTGCCTTATTACAGATCTTAATACAGAGTCTAGACCCAGGACTGCAGACACCAAAGGAGCAGATCTTGGCCAAGCTCAATGCCCTCTTCCCACCCATCGCTGCTGCCAATTTGGACACGATACTGCCATTGGCTCCATACTCGGAGGGTTTACGTGAAAGTATTCGCTTTTCCGTTTACGAGCACTTGATGTGTGGCCATGCGAATGACGTGACCAAATGGCTTGCGCTACAGACCCGGCTCTTTTCCTGGTGCAACATGCCTGGCTACACTGAAGCCAGGAACGCGCTTCTGCGTTACACCGAAGAATTCAAAAAGCTTGAACTACTCTGCCTTTCCACTTTACATGCGCTCGAGTGCCGAAGACGGAGTATCTGCGTCCCGGAGTCTCCAGCAGAGAGCTCCTTTCTGACGAGCTCGTCCCGATCCAGCGCAGCTCCGTCCCCGAGCCCCTCATTTCTCGATAGCGACAGATCTGATTTCGAGCCAGTAATTCAAGATTCCCATCGCTCACTTGCTTCCGGCCGGTCACTATCTTCATCTCTCCGGTACAATGCGCAGCTCTCGCCGCTCCTGAAAGGCATGCCTGGGCGTGAAATCTCGGCCGCCAAAACGGACGGTGCGGCTTTTGCTGGAGAAATTGACGTGCCTCCCATTCTCACTTATCCCAATGACTTGTCACGTCATGAGTTTGATCAGCATCCGCTCGCCAAGCAATTGGACATTTCACTCCGCGAAAAGATACAGCTCGGCCTCATCATCCCTAGGCAGCTCTCGAGTCGTAATTTCTAGTACAATTTTGACTCTGATGACGAAATAGAGGATGAACCGGCCGAAGCCCCTCAACTTACCAGGGAGAAGAGCAAAAGACGTCGGTTTGGCAGGAAGGGCTCAGACACGCAGCCGCCGCCCGTGCCGCCTCTGCCCTCGATCCCCGAGGCGCTCCATCCGAACTTGACATCAAGCAACTTTGGAAAAATCGTGAGGCGAATCAGATCAAGGTCAAGCTTAGCAACGCGGAATATCTCGACTATAGACACCGCGGCGCAATCAGCTCCCGACGCGGCAGAGCTTACTAAGACTCCACGCAAACTCAAGATATCCTTTCGGCGAGGCACAAAATCAATCATATCCAGCCCAGAGTTACAGCCTGACCACGATACTCCGCTGCATTTTGAACTGGCCAACACCGATCTCCCTTTTTCTACTTCAGCCCAGAATGCACCCACCAGCCGAAGACAGAGTATCGTCGGTCCCTATGAGACTGGCTACCCGGGAGTCAACAAGTTGGAAAAAGGACCCGTCCAATGGAAAGTCGCACCGCCGCGTCTGTCGCCCATGGAATTTGCGAGATCGCATCTGATCCAGGCGGCTCTAGAAAGACGTCTGAACAAAACCCCGTCGTCTCGGCTGACCAAACTATGGTTCTGGACCCCGGGATGGGAAACCTTTCTCGTGCTACCAAGCAAACAGATGCCATCAAACAAGACTCCGGCTCAAGGTGTATGGCATGAAAACACGCCCAGTCTGGGATTTAAGATAAAGACAACTGAGGTCACGCTAACGGAACCGCAAGACACATTGCAAGTAGAAACGGATCGGAGAAGCTTCCTATCCTGTCCGCGGCTGTCTCTGAACCTGGGCAGCTTTGCCATGCAATTCCCCTCCATGTTGAATTTGATGACCTTGGATGGCATCCACACTCTGATATCCTTATCTAGCTCTACAAAATCAGGATCCCCTCCCGACACGGGCGAGAATCGCCGGCCGTCTGGAAGATCCGGCATCTACGCACAACAGGCAGACACAGAGCGGACCCTGTCTACGCTCAGCCGCGACTCACCAAACCAACGGGCAAAACCAGGTATATTTCCAGCCTCACCCACCAAGTTCTGCTGGCGCACGCACTTAACCAAGCCTACTTTAGACTTGTCCTCCGCGTCCCCTGCCGTCCACGACATCGATCGGCACCGCTTCCAGGATGGTCACGGCGAGGCGCACACGGCCATGCCCATCGCCGACAATCCATTCCAAGACACTTCACCCTACTACCACCATGTCGTTTCAACTACCGAAGCGAGCTCTTCAGCCGAAGCCTCGTGGGGTTTTACGGACGTCGACAGCCACCCCCATGTCACCGCCGCCCCGAAACATATCGGACTCGCGCTCCCGCCGTCACCACCGCCGCGCCACAGCTCAGCAATCGCTAGGCGGCGGTTGCGCCACCACCTCGCACACGAGGCCCAGGTCGTGACCCCCGTCGCGGCCCGCAAACTCGGGGTATTAGTAGCCGGCGGCGCGTGCAGCTCTGTCCTGAGCCTGCGCGCCGCCGCCGCCCACTCTGAGGACTTTGCCCTGCCCGACGCCGCCGACGAGGAGCGCGCGCTGCACCCGCCGCCGCTGCACGTCCCGCGGCGCCGGCCTTTCCCGCAGAGCACCGGCCGTGGGCTACGCGAGCGGGACACGACGCGGCGGAACCTATTTCGCAGCAGCAGCGACGACGCCGATGACGCCTGGCGCGGCTTGCTACGCCATCTCGGCGACGGCCTCCTGCCGCTCCCTGACGAGGACCGGCCGGCACCGTGGTCCCCTCTGCGTCGTCGTGGAAGCGACAGTCTGCCGGCCACGCCGTCGCCACGCCGCCAGAGCTCGGTTCTGAGCCACTTGTCCATCACCCCGACGGCACTGCGCCTGGCGGGCTCGTTCATCCCGGGCGATGACGACGAGGAGCAACGTTCGGGCTTCAGTCCCCGGCAGCGCAAGGTTGCGTCGACGCATCTGCTTATGCCGGATTCGCCCACGCTGCCGACAGTCGGACCGCAGGTTAGAATGAGACGGTTCTCGCGACGTGGATTGCACGGTTCGTTGTGATATTGACCAATGTATCTAGTAGAAGCGAAGTCGACATATTGCTATCGGAATCCATGGTGTCAGAGGATAGAGCCCTACCGTTTGAGGAAATGGGAGCTGCACTTGGACGCAAGTCTGCCATTGGTTGGAAGGCTGCTACTGTAGGATGACACATGCATACTGCTTTCTGCACACGTACCTACTCAATGCCGACCCTCACAGGTTTTGCCAGACTCGTCTTGCACGTACGTTGGCTACGGAGGCGAGTTGGGACAGGCTGCATCACGGAGCCTGACTATCAGGCACACGAGTCCGTTCTGTACAGAGAACCCGGAGTAGAGTGTCCCGTGTCCGGCGGCGGCCGGAACTCCAAGAAGCCCGAGTCGAACGTTAACGAGCCATTTAGTAAGGTTTCTTGGCTCTAGCCAGGCCTCACACGAAGCGAACAAATCACGGCAATTCTAATACTAATGTACACGTCAACGCATTAGTTTGAATCGCGAATCTCCTGCTGAAGGCGTGGGTGTGCTATTGGTGCGGCAACACTGCTGGGGTGGGCTAGTAAGCCGAGGCGAAGTTAGTCTTGAGATCGGTACCTGCTATGTGCCCCAAGGCACGGCCTAGAGAGAGGTACTAATCTCTCCAAGTGTTTTTTAGCTTTTAGTTTGCATCGTCATTCTTCATTATTAGAATCCTTCTGCTAACTAGCTTTGACCCGTTGTAGAAAGCGTACGCGGGAAACCACATGGGCTTGCTGCGGGCTCTAGTTGACTCCATCGACCAGATTGGGCGTCACGCGAGTCCAACGACTCCGATTATCAATCTACGCCTTTGTATTGCTTGGATGTCACCGTGGTTCCCCACATCCCGCATCCCGCCCATCTGAAGCCATGGGGTCGGAACGCGGTCCGAGAGAGAATGGTAATCGGTTGCGAAAGCAGACACAGCCCCATCATGCATCATGCAAGGTCAACAGATATTGCGGCGCCGCTACTCGAGGAAATCATGCCCTCGCCCCCCTCTCTCTGCGCCCCATCACGGCGCTTGGAGGCGAGGGAGAGCTGAAGCTGGAATAGCCCACGGTTCGAGGGGCGCGCCAGCTGCAAAACGAGTGGCTTCAGCGACACTTAAGCTAAAATTAGATAATGACAAATCGCTCCGACCAGACATGCAGACACTGATACAATTTCAGTACCGGCCTGGCTTGCATCCCCCGGGCAAGGGAGTCGGATACCGAGAGCGTGGTTGAGGCCCGCAGGTGGCGCGCGCCGACTCACTCGGAGACTTCTCCTAGGGGCCCCAGCCAGGGGGGGACACGGCTGGTCGAGGGTGTATTGGGTTTTTTTGAATTACCGGCGAAAAAAGCCTGGTCCCTACGCGATTCCCAGCTACCCGGGTGCGGGCGACTGCAGGTACATCACCACCGCATGAGGAACAAAGCACCAACGCCCGTTCACGTAGCGGGAAGGCATCAGCCCAGCTCGTCTCCAAGGTGCCGGGGGTGCCGGGGGGGGGGGGGGCCTTCCCTCCCCCCTACGCCACACAGCTGACAGCCTTGCTGAGTTACATCGCGCGTCCGGGTTGTTCCGCCATAAGTGCTTTTTTTTTCTTTTTTCTTTTGGGCGGGCGGCGGGCGGCCTCGCATATTACGTGGCTACCATGTCGAATTGAGAAGTAAGATTCGTGCCATCGTGCAGGACGGGGAGGGGTTCTGAAAGTGAATAGTTTTCATCAGAGGAGGGGGGGTGTGAAAGGAGACAAGGCAGTGGCTAGTACGGAGTACGGAGTTGATGATAACTCAACTATGCTAAGCGTGGCGTCAAAATCAGCCGTGGACTGCTGTGTATTTCATGAATGAGGCAGGCGAGCCAGAAAGCAAAAATGCAGGCCAGCATGTGTGATGAAAAAGAGCGACCGCTTTTGTCGAATGTAGTTAGGAGCAGCCGCAGGGAAAGAGAAAATGCAAAAAGGAATTATTAAATGAAGAAAGGAATTGACTTAAACTGATTTATTTAGAAGAAATCTGAGATAATGAACCTTGTATATATTTTAATTATATATCAAAAGGCCAAGATTTTACACTCTTAGTATTTTAGTTTTAAATCAATTATGAAATATTCGTGAGCTTCAGTGCAAAACTCAAACTCGTATAATGGTTTATTTATACTTTAAAGGACGCTAAAGTTGACTTACTTGTATTATGTAGAAGTGGGATAATCACAGACGCGGCAGCTCCTCTTGTCCCCCTTGACCAGGTGGCATGTTTCTCTTTGAGTGCGTGCAAGTGAGACCCCCATCAAAGCGGCACATGGCGTGTGCTTGTCGTTCGTTCCGAGGGCCTGGATCCTGTGGAGTTGAGGGGTCGTTGAGAAATAGCAGGGTCGGTATGCCGTAGTTACGAAAATTTTGTGATTCAGAAATGCAGTAAAAAAAGCAAAGAAGAACACTGGTCTGGGAGGCAGATCGACATGCCGTACTTCCCGTGTAAGAACGCCTCGCGCCGACAGCTTGGGTCTACCACCAGCACTGAGATTCCGGACTGCAACCGAAAATTTCCTTCCTTCTACTCGGTAATAATAACAATTCGTAGAGACAAGCCCAAAAGGGAGAAGCCGGGCCCGCCTTGAAGCAGCGTGTGAGGCGACGCTTGGGGGAGTCAATGGAGTGAACTGGACGGCAGCCAGAAGCGATGGAAAGAAAAGTTGGGGGCCGGCGGGAGGGCCGCCACTCCAGTCGCTTGTATATTTGCTGACCTTTGAACAGGACCCGTATTATCTCATTCTCGAGATGCACTGGATCGGCGGATTTTACTGTGAGCCCAGTATCCGTATCACGCCGATCGTTTGCGCGGCCAGTTGGTGATCCCTTGTCCCTGGATCGTCTTTACTGGTAAGCAGCCCGAGCAATGCAAGACAGCCCGTTGTGGGGTGATTTCGCTAATTGACCTTCAATTCCAGACTGTTGGAAAGTTGGAAATGCACTGAACCCCTAGTCTGTCCGTCGGCCAAACGCAGTAGCGTCGGAGACTTTTCTAGAGTGAGCCCTGGAAACCTTGGCGTCGCGTTTTATCATGTATGGGGATCGATAGCTTCGTTCCGAGTTGCGTGTTTGGCCAGTTGAAACCAAATGAAACGCCTCGCCGATCACTAGTTATGATCTCTGCTGCGTATTCAATAATCGTGAGTCTTGCGGGCGGTGTGCCGGGCCTTGCACACCGGCCCAACACTTACATAGACACCCCGGTCATTGGGTTACCGAAAAACTGGAATCATGCTTTCGTACCATTTTAATCTTCCCACCCATCCGCAAGACAGGTAACAGCCCCTAGGCACTGAGCCAATGAAATGTTAACCAGACTGGCGTATTTTGAGAAGCAAGGGTCAAAACTCGGACGAACGAAAGCACCGCCAATCGCTTCACAACCCACAAGTAGGCTATGCAGTGGCAGTGTTGTTGAGTTTGTTCCAGGAGTTTGGTTGTAATATTGCAGCCACATGGCTTAACGTCGTGCTGCTCATCCCTCACAAGGTCGTGTGCCTCCGGTCGGTGGCGACGACAAGGTACAGGACTGCTGGTCGGCCGCAACTGCGAGTAATACCCATGACACGCTGAAGTCCACCACCATAGTTATACATGACATGTCAGATTCGCTGCACACCACCGCAATGCAGCGGAACACGGACCGGACCTTGCTCAGCCCGGCGCCACTGTCTTGGAGCACCACACAGTACAACCACACCTGGGCGGCTTACAGCCTCAACGGGATGTCTGGTAATGCGACAGTTCCAATTGAGAGCGGGAATGACTTGTGGCGTGAGTGGCTGGCTTTATTGTTGCGCCCGCAACTCAAGCCAACGCGCCGGTATTGCATCGTGGCTTCGCTGTAGAGTTGTCGCGCTAATACAACAACCCTGGCAGAGAACCTGCTTATAAGCGGTGACATTCATTTTGCTGCACAAAATCACTGTTGTGGCATTCTGCGGTTTGGCGTAGCAAACTGGACCAACATAATAGTCACCTCGCTGGCCAATGATGGTGGGCAGAGAGAAGCGGTGGTACAACATGTCTATCTCGGCTTGTGAGCTCTGTTTATCTTGTTAATTCATCAGTTCATGGGAGAGGACCTGCCTTGAGAGGATCTGAGGACAGAATGATTGACATGAAGAAGATCGGCGCAGGTTCCAAGGTTGGTGGATAAATTCCTACACTATGCAGAAGCCATTCGTTCTCGATTCAATTGCTATTAATAAACAGTTCTCGTCAATTTACCGTGGATTTTGGCTTGATACCAAGGCTGACTGCCCAGCGTCGATCGCGCAAAGCGACCTACCGACCATCAACGAACAAGGCCCGGTAGGCTGCCGCTCTCACCCGTTCAGTAGTCCACTAGGAAGGTACCCTGGCCGCAAGTATCTGCCAGCCATGTGGCCGTGTGGGAGGACGGTGGCGATGGCGACACTAAATAAAAGAACCAGGCTGGTGCAGCAGCCTCGACTGACAACGCAGCTCTGCTCGACTCATATCTGTTGATTGGGACCCGGAAGAGAATAATAAGGAAGACGGGTGGTGGGACTGCAAAGCAGGAGAAACAGACGCCACGGCTGAGCTGTTTGCGACGGAGAGGAAGAGCGGCGGGCAGGAACTGAACCGCGCATCCAGGCCCGCTTTCGATATGGCGCTTGCAGCCAGCCAAAGACGAGCACGGAGAGAGACCGAGCGATTGGTAAGGTCAATCTAGAGCGTTGGCTGCCGCCATCTCCGATTATGCCCTCGTATGCTTGGTGGGAGAAGGCTTTGGTCATTAGTTAGATGAGCGCTGTGCTAGCCTGAGTTTCCTGGGGCGTGTCAGACATACGGACGGATCCGGAAAGGACGGTCAACGAAGAATTGCCACACGATTGCGCGCGGGGTACGCGATCACTATAGCAGTAGGTAGCAGTACGGACTACTCCGTACATAGGACATAGGTAGGTATCTTTCATCAGAGTCGAAGAAAGAGTCGTCGTTGGTCGCGCGCACTGGTATGTAACAGCAAGGCTGCCAGGACCACACTTGGCACGCGAAAGGGAGACGGGCCGCGAGAGGAGCGGGCCGTCAAGCCACCCTTGCACTGTGTTCCGCAACACTCCACAGCCGGCTCAGGGGCTTTCCTCCCCCCGTCGCTTGTATTGGCCTGAACTCTTAGCGTCCTTTGGCGAAACGCTGCACTGTGCGTATCTCACAGCGTGCACTGTACAGGGAGGCAGCTGCTGCCAGAACCAAGTGTCAAGTGTTTGCATGCAAGCTTCCAAGATCATGGGAGACGCAACAAACACTGGACACATTGCGGCGTGAACACAGCGAGAGACCCAGCATTATATCCATGGCGTACAGCTGCAAGCATCTTCCGACCTCTACCTCGCACCTCCCAACGATCCCAACGATGCCCGTCAAGATCTCGCCGTCCCCGCTGTTGTTTCAATGGCCGACGGAATAGAATCAGGGTCTTGCCTCTACATAGGTCCCTGGGCTGGATATCAAAGATACGCGGCATCACGATTTTGATCCTTTATCACTGCAACTCTGCAAACTTGTCAACTCGAGCCGCCAGCACCATGCAAAACACAAAGTAGCCGTAACGCTTGCATTCAGGACTCGCGCGCTTCTTGAGATGTTTCATTGCGCGGGGATCTTGGGGAGCGCCAAAACTGGACTGCGAATGAAGGTCTGAGGTATATGTAACAGCCTTTGCCGCGACTCAGAATGATGATAAATAATTCCACCATGCCTGCCGCGGCCTGCAATCACAACGAGCCGCCAATGGCAATCTACCAACCACTTTGTCACTACGGAGTAGACAAATCCATCATGTTCCATCTCTTAGAGCGAGGGTACTCAGTACATGGCCGATAATCGCAGTGTCCTCATCACACAGCCAGCAGCCTAAGACCCACGAGCCAGCAAGACAACGCCAAGGTTGTCACATTTCGTCTCAATCCCTAACTACAGCGTGGGCTTGTTCGGCAGCCGGAGCCCTCCATTCTGTCCTTGCGCAGCACTTGGTAGTGGCTTCTTGTTAGCTTCATCCCTTCGTCAATTCTCCGCGTCCTAGCTCCCGGCGGCCACCCAACGTTTGTGCGTCGGGCAGTTCCAGCCACGCATCCAAAGACCAAGGCTACCAGCACAGCGCAGGCTTCATCGCCCGTCTCGCGGACAAGACTCCGACTAGCTGTCTGTCATTCAACAAGTGATGAGACATGGATTGCCGGCGCACTACTGCCACAGTGGAGTAAGACGCCGTTGGACGCCCGCCTTCAGAACCCCTGTGCTACAAGTACAGATGCTTCCAGCATGATCAGCAAAGTTGCGTCCATGGGTCTTGCCCCCCCGGCCGTCCGCTACAAGAGGCGTTCCTTACACACCCGTCACTAGGTCTTGGCGGCCATCGGCCATGCTCATCTCACCCCTCACCTCTTGCGAGGACAGGATGCAAGTGAGCAACGGGCAGGGAGGCCTTGTCAGGTGGGGGTTCTCAGTAGCCCATTTTGTCGGAGCTGTTTTGGTGTGGTATGCTTGGTTGATATAAAGACAAGGTCTTTCTCTTCAGCGTCGACTTTGTTAAACCCCAGACACCAGCCGCATCGCAACAACCGATTAAAGCCCGCGCGACCCGACGAGCCCATCCTGCATCCTGCTTCCCTGGTCTAGGCATACACTTCTGCTTCCACGACGATCTGGATGCTCCTTTTAGCCGTACCCTACCTAGGCGAGGGGAGAGCGACGTCTTAGCCAAAGATATATTGGCAGACTTCTCTAAGCACTGCCTTGATCGCCTCCCACAGCTTCAACCCCTCGTTATTCATATCGTCTTTACACACCTCGCTACTTCCACACGCCTTCTTTCCAAATTATTGTTCTGTTTCTAAACTCCCACCACACGCGACCACGGTTTGTTCTTTGCTGTTTGTCTCATCGCCCTGTACACCGTTTGGTGCTTGGCCGAAGCTACATGTTGTTCCTGTGATCCTGGGCATGTTGGCGCTAGAAAAGCCCAAGCGTCATGGATTATATGCACGTCGGAGAATTAGATATTGACGACAACGAACCACCGAACTGGGAGCGTGAACGTCTTTGGGACAATATGCCAGGGCCACCGTTTCCGTCTGACAAGACTTGGGCGCCACCAGCTACACTCAACTCAGCCCATGGCAGTCAAGCATCACCTCCCAGTGGGTTGACGACGAGTGGTACCAACAATGACCGAATCTCATACTCGGGAGCCTCGTCATGTGAGGGATCATGGGCAAGCAGCACCACAGATCATGACCAGGCCGAGAGAGATTTGAACTGGGATGAGTGGGAGGAAGGGTCCGATTCGGCACCGATCAAACCAAAGAACGAGCCTGTGGATGACGAAGATATTACCATGTCCGAGGTCAAAATTCCCACATTAGCGTCTCCAGAAAAGAGCATCGTTGCACCTGGCCAAAAGAGAGGTCGAGGAAGACCTAGGAAGAACCCAATTCCAGCACCTACAAATGGCACCAAAGTGACCAAGGGCCGCTCCAAGACTGGCTGCATTACGTGCCGCAAGAGAAAGAAGAAGTGTGACGAAGCTAAACCCGGGTGTATGTGTTTGGCTTGCTGCACTGCCAACCACTGCTTGCTGACGAGATTGACAGGCATGAATTGCGAGAAGAACTCTGTGTTGTGTGAAGGTTATAATGAGAAGCAAATATGGAAGAGTGGCAAGGACCGTGACCAAGGTGAGCAGCAGAGCTCCAGTCATGGCCGGCGCAGCTAATTTTCTAATACAGTCCTACCAGGACGCACTAATCGAGAAGCGTTCCCAAGCGTTACGCTTCCGACTCTTGTCCAAGGCTTGGATACTCCTGAGGACAAGTTTTTTTTGCGACATTACATCAACCGTCTGAGCAACGTGCTGACGGTTGAACCAAAGTCTCACAACGCATTCAAGGATATTCTTCTCACACTCGCTACCAGTCAGCCAGGGCTTTTGCACTCCATTTTGTCCATCAGCAGCCTCCACATTGACCTGGATACACCTTATGGGGAAGGGATCTTGCAAATAAATCCTGCGGTCACGAAAGAGTCACTGCGACAGCGTTCCAATTACCACACTACGGAAGCGCGGAACTATCTATACGGAGCCTTCGAGAAGTCCGAGCTTTTGGACAAAGATAGCTCTGAGTATCACCTCGTTTTGGCGGCTCTTTATGGCCAAATGTTATGCTTGGTGGTGCGGACTTTGATAGAAGGCAACCCAAGAGGTGAACACCGCGTGCATCTGAAAGCTTATCAGAAATTGATACGCGAATCGCCACCAGAAAGCACGCAACTCCATACGTTTATTACTGAATTTTTTCAGTATCATATCTGTGCCGACGATCTCCTCTGGCATCCAGAGACCGACTCGACGCGCCTATCTCTTGAAGAGACCGGCAGCACTCCGCATGACCACACATCGCGCCTTGTCGGCGTCACTGATGGGCTCTTTTGCCACTTGCGCGACATTACAACTCTGCGAAACGAAATCAGAAGCAGGCTGGCGGGGGCAAAGGATCAACCGGCCGTGAGCTACGCTGAGATTTTCAAAGCCAACGACATCACAATGGCACTCCAATCTTGGTCTCCTAATTGGCCAAGAAGCGACAACAGAGTCAGGGTCGGCGAGCTATACAAACTGACGTTATGGATCTACAGTTTCCGCACGATTTATCCGCCGGCGGCAAGCAATGCCGACTTCCTCTTGGGAGGCTCCTCTTTGTTATCGTATATGCAGGAGAGGCGGTCGTCAGTTGCGTCCTCTGGCCAGCTGTCAAATGGCTGCAGCGAGGATAAGCACCCTTTCGAACAAAAAATATCATGCTCTCCGAACTCATCTCGAACCAGCTCGATCCACGAGGAAGATGGCCTCCCCACACCAGCTCCGACACACGGGACTAGCTCAAGCCGCCCGCCCTCGCCACCACCTTCACGTAGGCCCTCTCAAGACGACAAGCGAGTGACCACGTCGATATTAGATGCGCTGAGCATTCTCGAGACGTTTGAGCCCAACGACCAGTGTCAGACACTGCTCTTGATTCCTTGCCTGCTCATTGGCACATCCTGCTTCGATGCAGCCCTGCGTCCCCGGATCCAGGCTGCGGTGCAAGCCGTTCGTGAGTACACTGGCTTGCGCAATGCGGACCGGGTGCAAGAGGTTCTCAACGCGACGTGGGCACTCATGGATGCTGGTGATTGGGTTGCGGTGTGGGATTGGCAAACCGTTGCCCGACACAAAGGACTCGACTTTTGTACATGATGCTTGACAAAAAGATGTTTTGGCTTTTTCGTTGTTGTTTTTGCAATTATCTGGTGAAACTGCGTCGTACGTTTTTACGCCAACAGCCCGCAGCAATTTGCGGAAGAGATGTGCCAGTATTGGTCTTACAGGGTCGACATTTCATGCTTGATTTTCTTTCTAGTTGCTTATTCATCTTTGCCGGAGGAGCGATATCGTGGTGGCAGTAGTTTTCTTTGGCGTTTATTGGCTCGCTGAGCCACACTCATGTATTCGGCGTTTTAGCAATTGATGTCTTTTATGCATACTCTGCCATTGAGTCAACATGATCTTACCGTTCCCCCAAGCAGTACCATTGACTCATTATGGCATACAACCTCCTGCGTCCTGTCTCCATAACTAGCGATATCATGTGAGTTCTCCCCTTCCCTTGCTCCATACCAGCCCAAGTTAGTTTGTCCCTTGTCGGGACAGTGTCGTATGTCCATTGATACTGAATCAATCCGACATAGCACTGTTTCCTGCCTAGCTCGATGCTGGTCGCAAGACAGATACATCTTACTCGGGGGGTGGAGGCGACGGTTATGGGCGAGACAGTAATACTAAAGGGCAAGGAGCACGTTGATGCCAACTTGCTTAGCTTTACGAGATCATTTCTACGATTGTTTATTTTCTCAGGTATTCTCTATTTACTAATCCCCCTTCCTCCTTTGTAGCATTCTCTTTCTGGCCGCCTGGGCGGTCAGGCCAGACAGGGCGTTGATAGGGAAGTGATCAACGACACGGCCGTAATAGCTGGGGCGGTCGGAGACGAGGCCCCAGCCAGCCACCTGGCACGATGCCAGTTTTGCCAGATATTACTTTTTCTTATAGAGATTAGGGGTCCCAGGAAACATGAAAGTAGTTGCAAAATCTGCACAAATACTTGACTCTTCTTCGACACAGGTTACGAAAGGATGCTGTCTGTAAAGTGCGAATAAAGACAGCGAATGTTTGGAGGTTGACAAGGATCATATTGACCGTTATACATATACACACAGGTCCTATCTCAAACATGTCTCATTCCGTAACAAAGCAATAACACGCACCAGCGCTCGAGTAGGCAGCAGGGTGTAAGGCGGTAGTCAACGAAGAGGTCGTTTCAACTACATCTCATAAGGAAGCGATTCATTCACACGTGGGTTTTCCAACCAGAAATTCCTTCATTCTTTTCTCAAAAGCTCTGTCCTCATCCACGTCTTCCATCTCTGTCGACATCAAACGAAAACTGCCCCAGCGGCTCGCCGCCTTGTCCGGGGTGGCCCAACGGCGGCGCACCACTCCGCGCGCTGCCGCTGCCGCTGCCGCTGCCACCGTCGAGGCGCTGCGCAATCTGCTCGGCGACCTCGCGCGGCTGCTGCTGCTGCTGTTGCTGCTGCTGCTGCTGTCGCAGGCTCATGGCGTTGATGGGGACTGGTCCGCGGAAGGTGGTGTCGACGTACGGCTCGTACTCGGCGCCGGGGTATCCTGCGTCGGCGGCGACACCGTCCATCATGCGGGCCTCGCGGCGCTCCTGCAGCGCGGCGGCACTCGCTGGCATGTCGTTGTAGGCGCCGGGGGCAAAGGCGAAGTCGCGCTCGCGGCGAATGTCGCTGAGGCCTGAGGCGGAGCGCTCGACAGTCCAAGGCGCCTGCTGCTGTTGGGCGGCGGCCGAACCGGGCACCGGCCGGCGGTGGTAGATGGGTCCGGAGACGGTGCTGTTGGCGCCCTCGCCGAAGCCGACGAGCGAGGCGGACCCGTCGTCGCTCATGCGGTCCTCGTAGCCGCCGACGGAGCGGGTGGCGATGCCCTCGTCGATTTCCTCGTCCATGGCGTCGGGCTCGGCGGCCATGCTCGCGACCGAGTCGGCCGTCTCGCGGTAGTTGGTGTCGGTGCTGAACATGTCCTCGTCGCGGTCGGCGGCCGTCTGGCGGGAGCCGCGGGAGCCGGTGCCGCCGTCGCCGTGGTGGCTGCTCTCCGTCGCGCTTGCCGTGCCGACGGTGCTCATCTTGGTGACGGCGACGGGCTGGCCGTTGACGTCAAAGTACGAGGGCGTGAGGTTGTGTGAGGCGGGAAAGTTGGCGGGGAAGCCGCTGGTCGAGGTCGGCGTCGTCTGCGGGGAGAGTGACGAGGCGCCAGCGCCAGGCGGGCCGCCGGTGGCTATGGTATGGGGCGGGGGTGCGCGCACCGTCGAGACGCGCTCGAGGCCGGCGAGGCGCGAGATGCGATCGGCTCGTTCGGCCTCGAGGCTCGTGGTGGACGGCGTGTGCTGGTGGCCGCGGCCGAGGGCCACGCCGGGGAGGTGGCCGCGGTGGCCGTCCTTGATGGCGGTCGTCGAAAGCGCCGACAGCGAGGTCGTGGTGCTGGTCGGGGTGCCGCTGGGAAGTGGCCATGTGAGCGACGGTAGGTCAGAGGGGGGGGGCAAACGGAGGTCACGATGCGCTAGACGTACGGTATTTCAGACGGGGTGTCCGGGTTGGAGCCCGGCTGGGGAATGTTGATGTAAGCGGGCGGCGCCTGCGCCATTGTGAAGAGAGTCGTGCCGAATCAACAAGAGAGGTGGAATAGGTCGGTCGGTCGCGTCGTTGTTGCTAATAAGGTGGAAGTGGGTGATGATCGCGGTAATGTAGCCGGCGTGAGAGTAAGGCTAGGTCGAAGTGGCAAGACCAAGGTAAGCTTAAACTATTTAGAGACATATACTAACTATTATATTATTTAGTACTTTATAATACGATAAGGTTTAAACCTACATGAATACACGCTTATAACTACTAATACTATATTATAGTAACTATTTACTAATAATACTAAAAACTACTAAATCTTATAATATAGAAAAATAAAAAGCTATATAGAAGAATAGGGTTCCACTTAATTCAAGACTATATTTAGTATAATAAATAGCCACTATATAATAGCTACCCTATAGCTAGCACTAGCGATTGATTATCTTAATAATGTTTTAAATACTAAGGTATAAGTTTATTATAGATTTACTATATTCTTTCTTATATATCTTTTTTTTAAACTTATAAAGGTATAAAATATAATAGCTAGATGTTGTTTAGCTAAAATAACAATTTTATATATTTTATACCTACTTACTGGTTATTAGACTCTCTGCTTCTTTCGCCTTTATATGGCCATTACGCTGCGCTCGTCGCGTCCCGCCTCCCCATCGTGGAGCCAGACTCCATGCCCCCTCCTTTATCAATCCCTCTTGCGCGACTACCAAGCTTTTCCTTCAGCACTGTATCAGTCCTGCGGCCTACACCGCGCCCACACGACTACCGAACACTCTCCCAGTGCTGCCGAACGTCTCTGCGTACACGGAAATATACCACTCGCGCCTTTCTATCCACACCCAAAGAAACTTTGCTGCTCCCCTCATCCGCACACGCGGCACTCCGCAGGCACAATGTCTGTTGTTTCTCTTCTTGGCGTCAAAGTTGTCAACAACCCCGCCAAGTTCACCGACAAGTACGAATTTGATATTACCTTTGAATGCCTTGAGCAGCTTGAAAAGGGTACATTTCCGCCAACTTGACGCGTGGTTCTCTAAATGCTCACGGTTTTGGATAGATCTCGAGTGGAAGCTCACCTATGTCGGATCTGCCCAGTCGTATGTTCTTTGTGTTGGGCCCCAGCAGAATTCACTATACTAACATCCCAGTCAGTGATCAATATGACCAAGAGCTCGATTCTCTCCTTGTTGGCCCAGTCCCCGTTGGTGTGAACAAATTCATCTTCGAGGCTGATGCGCCTGATACGTCACGAATCCCCGATGCTGATATTATTGGTGTGACTGTGGTTCTCCTCACTTGCTCATACGACGGCCGCGAATTCATACGCGTTGGATATTACGTCAACAACGAATACGACTCGACGGAGCTAAATGCTGAACCTCCAGCGAAGCCTATCATTGACCGGGTCAGGCGTAACGTACTGGCCGATAAACCTAGGGTGACTCGATTTGCCATTAAATGGTGTGCAGCCTAAGTCTTCACTATTCAATGTACAAGCACGTGCTAACAGCTCACAGGGACTCGGAAGCATCTGCCCCCGCCGAGTTTCCTCCCGAGCAGCCTGAGGCTGACTTGGCAGTCGATGAAGAAGAATATGGAGCCGACGAGGCTGCTGAAGAGGCTGCTGAAGAGGCAGAAGCTGAAGCTAGTGAGAAGCTCGCTCCTGCTGCAGGCGAAGATACCGAAATGGGAGACGGCGACCAAGAAGCGGTAAACCCTAACGAAGACAACGAGGATGCTGCTTCAGACGCCGGCAGTGTTGACGGCAGTGTCGACCTGGAGGGCGAGAGTGAGGACGAGCTCGATGAGGAGCTCATCGAAGGCGAAGGTGAAGGTGAAGGTGAAGAAGCCGGCGACACTGCTATGGAGGTGGACGCCGAGAAGTCTAGCAACGCCGCCAGTGCCCAGCGTGTGAGCGTTGCTTCCTAATAAACGATATGGACGTTTTATTAATGTTACTTCAGGCATGATGTAACTCCTACGGATAAGCAGGATATGTCCTACACTGACGAATACGACGCGATTATCTATAAAGTGAGGAACGATATCCCGTTTTTGGCTTGGAGACATGGCAATTGGGATAGTTGGTGACATTTAAAAAAACGTACAGGGTATTTCCCAGTGCGTAGAGCTCAGAACACGTATTTATACTATTCTTTTGTTAGTAAAGATGGCGGCGAGAACATTGATTTAGCGAAGATGCTTTCTGCAGCTACTGGAAATAGCACTATTTTTTTCCTGAAGAAGCCAGCAGACTGGATGCCCTGACTCCTGACCAATCAGATTCACGAGTCTTCTCTCTGTATTCAGAGTGTTAGGTAGTTTACGATATGGACAGTCTGGGAGATATATACAGAATCAACCCCCCTGCGCTTCTTTATGCACAGAGGTTCCCGCTTTATTAATTAATCATTGAGCTGCCATTTGAAGTGCCTTCACCATCTCCAAGGGCGCAGATGTACTGTACTCCTGCACCCTGAGGGGCAAGGCGCACTTGCAGTCTCTGAGTGCCGACTTTTCTTCTCACCCGCGCCTTTATTACTGTTACATAGCACCGACTCCCAGCGGTACTGGCGGCTTTGGTCATGGTATTTCCTTCCTCCCCCTCCTAGATGTCTCTCACGCCAATCGCAGCCCGTCACCAGCACAGGTACAAACAAACTGCTCGTCTGTATGTGCTTCTCTGACGAGGAATTCCTTGCAAGATACAGTCTTTCACCAAGGAATTGACACTCGTGCTAGGGGGAATACTGCGCGATACGAAATTGATGCCACGGCGAGCTCAGCGGGCAAATTCGCTGCGTACCGGAGAGACAGCTACGTGAGTCCGAGATGTGAGGCGGCATAGGAGATCAATTGGAACAGTGAAACCAACGAGTTGCCGGGCTTGCTTCTTTATCAAGGGCGAGATGGGGGACGGGGTGATCGATTCGCCGACAGTGCGGGATGCCCTTGAGAATGTCCATTCTGCTGGCGAGGCTGTCGCTTGAATCACATATGTCTGTCTAGTTGCCTCTGCCTCACATGTATGTCTAGCATCAGCCACTAATATCGTGCAGGAGCCACCGCCGCTCATCCTTCCCGCGCGGATGCCCTAATCTGGCATGTCCGACAAGGGCCGCTTTCATTATGCATCGCGAAACGCAATAATCCTTGTAACCAGTGCTTCAGCGCGCCTCTGTCCCCCCTTGCCCACCCTCGCCAAAGGTCCTTTTACATGGTCTCTAAAAATACTACACCTCTGTCCCAGCACCCGGGCAGCGTTGCAACCGCCGTTCTAAAGAAGCTTGCTGACCACATTGATATGCTAGTGCTGTGCCTTGCAGGGGGAGGCCGTTTGGTGTAAGAGGATCGCAATGCAGGGGAAACACGACTTGATCCTCCCCGAAAGGACTACAAAACTCATAGCTCCTCCTGTGAGTTTCATATCTGACGTTCTTGGATATGACGAATAACGGGAAAACGTGGCGCTGACTCTATAGTCATAGATTGAATTCATGTTTGACCGCCCGGCTCAACTCTTTAGCGGCTCGTCAATCACAGAGTCTCGACGTGTCATGGACCAAGGCAACAATATATATCGCATATACAATTCATGATTTCAATGATTTATCTACCTCGTGTGTTTGTGACACCCGTTTATGGCATGATCAAATTTGCTGAATGGTAGCGGATTGGCGACTTGTAGCAACTATTGTGCTCTTCTGCGTACCGTTCATGATTGTCGTCGTCTAGCCGCAAACCAATGGCTTCGCGTGTCTTACGAATCGATACAGAGAAAGATTCAATACCGTGTGAAGTCCATGTTATAATTCTGATGGCAGGGATGGACGAAGCAGCGGAGCACCAGCTGGTGCAGCAGAGTGCTCAAACTAGGAGGGTGGCTGTGCACCATGGCTGTTAAGAAGACCGTCAAAAGACTCAAAAGCCCCATGGTGATGTGATGAAAATTTCGAGCCTGGGCGTATATGAACACTATGCGCACGCAAGTGTGATGAGAAGCAGAGTGGTCTAACTGGTGCCCCGATACCGGGCACCCTGGCGGTTTTTGCCCGGTATGATATGAGTCTTACATGTATTGATCAAGCCAAATCAAACAACACACTCGATCTGTATTTCTTGTCGCTAGTCGCACACGTGGTCTTGTCAAGATGTTGATAAATGAGAGCTATAGGGCAAAAACAGGATCATCAACGAACGCAACATTCAATACACTAAATGGACCTCCAGAACAAACAAAATAGTAATGACAGCGTAGCAAAATTCCCTCAGTAAACAAGACATGATTATCCCATCCACTAGCCATATGATAGCAGTGATCGCACGTCGTGTCGTTTGGGATTACATATCCAAATAACATACCCTTACTCGCGGACCAGCCATGCGTGTAGTGACCGTTTGGGTGTCTTCAGTGTAAGCACACAATATTGTACACCGGACAGTGGGTAGTGTGATAGGGGCCCAGACGATTATGCTTGGGAAAGGTAGTGCAGGAACTGACAGCCAGCGTCGAGTGAGCAACCACCCAAATAGTAGGGATGTGTTCAAATTGTCGCGCATTGATTGCGCGCGACGTGCAGATAAGCAAACAAGTCTTGCCGCTGGCGCGTCGATTGACACAATGAGCCAACGGCAAGTGGTATCATGTGCTCCCCAACGCCGAATGAAGCCTCCTCAACACGTGAACGAATAAATGTACTCCTACCAGCCCTTCTTCCGTGCAAAACGCTTGTTCAGCAAGGCAAGCACTTTTGGAACGCTGAATTGCACGTATTCAAGGTCCAGCTCTTCTTGATTGTCCTTTTGCATTTCGAGCAAGTCGTCAAGCTTGAGGTCCAATTCGAGTAACCCGCGGTTACGTCCTATTTAGTATTAGCAACAGCACTGCAAGAGGACTAGTGAAAGCGCTCACCCTTATAGTGCAGAGAAATAACAAACGTGCCCGGGAGAGGAGAGGTGAAGTTGAAGTAAATGTTGGCCCGTCTGTTATCCGGGACATTGCTCTTCTGAATCACACCCTCCTTCTCCAACTGCTGGTGGGTAAACTTGTAAGGGCCAAGTACCTGCTGTTTCTGTTGCTTTCTCTTGGTACCCTCACTCTGTGACCTGACGTTGTGGAGATAGCTCTTATACGTCTCCAGCTGTCCGACAAGATACGTGTTGTGGTCGCGAATCGTCTTGTAGACCTCGTCAAGCTTTTTGGTCTCACTCAATACACCGTCCTTGAGAGAGCCAAGGTGGTGGAGCTCCTGTTCGACCTCATCACGAAGCAGTCCAAATTGGTCACTCTTATCAATAACACCCATATCTTGTAGTTGGGAGAGAAGCTCCATAGCACGGATGCCCTTTCGGACCATGACTGCGTCGTTGCGGCTGGTGGCAGCAGCATCAGCTACTCGCTCAAGGCGGAGGGGGCGCTTCGACACTGCACTGCTCTGAGGGAAGGAGCGCATAATCTGCACAAAGATGGACTTGGCTTCCATAAAGAACACTTCCTCCTGTGTAATATCGAGGGCAGCAGTCAGGTCGTCGATGGCAGTCTCCCAGCGACTGAAGAGAGGAAGATTTATGACTCGATTTTCTTTGCGAGGGACTTGAGCCGGCGCAGGACCAAGCTCGGTCATGATGATAGACAGGTGGGAGGACTCGTCACGGCAGATTTCACCCGTGTGCTTTTCGATGAGGGCATGCATTGCGTAGATTTCGTTCAGTGTGATATCAAGCTGTAGGTCCTTTTTGGAGAGTGCGACATAGTTGTCCATCTCCAGGCTCTCGTAAAAATCACTGACTTCACACAGATCTAGCATGAATCTGTTAATGCGGTCCTTGTTTTGCTCAATGAATGGTTGGAGCTTGGCCATGTAAGGCTCCTTGGCATATGACGGCTTATTTGCTAAGTTCTGGAGCATTTTAGCCACCAACGTCAGTGTGCGACGGGGTTTCTCTGCAGGGGTGCCCTCAATGAGCATGTATGACTTGGGGGTGACAATCGCAGGGTTGATGAAGCGGAGGAAGAAGAAGCCACCGATCAGTGTACAAATGACTTGATCATTGGCGTCCGGGTACTTGCGCTTTGTCAAGCTGCGAATCTGCTTGCAGATCCATCGAATACCATACGGCGCTTCCTCAAGCCCTTCGAGAATGGTATTGAGAAAGTTGTTCGCAATCTCGGTCAACATGGAAAGTCTAGGCTGGATAATGGCCTGTACTTGAGCGTTGTCGGCGGCTTGCTCGGCTGTGATACCACGGGGGAGAGAAGCGGGTAAAGAGCCGGTTTCTTCTTCTATCTGCTCAAGCATGCGTTCATAGACCTTGAGCGGATTGATTTCCAGATCGAGATCCTGCAAGATGATGAGGTCGTTGATTCTATCAGCGAGCACGGTGCGCAGGAAGCTCTGACCGGGTCCACGTCGAGTGTAAGTTGTCATCATTCGCGAAACGGGGGTATTCGCCCGCAGCAAGGAGGAGTAGTCGGGAGTGTTGTCGAACTGGTAGGTAAGGACAGACTTGGGGAGTTAGCACTTGGTGGAGTGTTGGGCCGGCCGGGAGCATACCTGGAACATTGTGAGTAGAAGATGCTCTTCTCTTGATTCGTACTGGTTTCCGTAGATGGTGAACATGACAGTCTGCAGCAGGGAATCAATCTCAGCCATGGAGACGAGGCGACAAAGATGGGCGATGTGGCGAGGCTCGGACTGGAGAAGGAAGAGGAGATTTCCATATTTTTGGGTCTTATCATCGTTGGGAAAGAAGCCCTCCTGCATGTCGGTTGCGTCTTCGAGGTGGCTGGCGACTTCATTTTGCTACAAACTGATTAGATATAGTTGATAACAGATGTTAAGTAGAGATGTTACTTCTTCCAGGGCCATGCGATTCTGGATAAGCAAGGCAATACGCGAGTCCAAATAGCGAACGTCTTTTTCGAGAACGAAGTTCTTCTTGGACTGGGAAGATATATTGGACTTGAGTTCGCGCAGAATCTTTTGGGCTTTGGCGAGGTCATCCTCGATCTGCATCTCTCCTTCGTTGGCGGACATGGACATGTAGAGGGCGGACATGGAATAGCGCTTGGACTGGCGCGCCGATCGCGCACCATCGTAGGAGGACATGGTGTTTTGTCGCGAGAGAGGCTGGAAGGAGGAGGAGGAGGCAGTAGACGTTCTGGAGGGTGTCTGCAACATGGCAGGCATAAGTCGGCAGAAGGCTTGTAATCGTACTGGCGGCGCAGGCGCGAGGCAATATAGTATGTGCGGATAGATAGGTGCTCAGTACAATCTGCCTAGAGGGGACAACAAGTAGCGCTTGCAGGTGGCGGCAGATCGAGTACGATGAAACTCAACGCATGGGGCAAAAATAGTGGAAGCGATGGCAGACCAGTACACCACCGGGCAAGTTGCGAGAGTTGCGAGGGTGCAGGCAAGGAGCTGGGTAGATTGATAGGTAGGCTTGGATTGTGATTTGGCTCCTCGTCAGCCAAGGAATGTGAGGACCTGGGATATGTGACACGGCAGAAGAGCGGCTGGCCCACGAGATGCTGGGCGTTGGGCCCGTGTGCACAGTCGGCGTAGCGAGCGGGTACTTGGAACTTGTGTCTCGAAAGTGAGGTAGCGAGGCGTGTGTAGAATGGGGCTGTGTGAACGGTGACGTATACGGTTGATAGTCGTGGGTGTCGCAAGGCCGAGAGCTTCGAGGTGAGCAGACGGAGGAGCGCTTCTGGGGACGAGGGCGACGATTCTCGCGGAGGAAGTCAGTCGTCCTTTTGGTGATGAAGTTGGTAGGTTGAAGGGGGAGGGGAGTGTGTAGAGAAACGAGATGGTGCGCTTTTGGCGGGGAGCCGTTTTTCTTGGCGGGCTACCTACCTCCTAACCAGGTACTAAATAAGGTACCTACCTCAGTAGTTGAGAGCGCGTGCGCCATGAAGTGAAACAACGTCCGAGGTACCTGGGGATCACCTCTGATCGCTATACTTTGATTAGCCGTTTTAAGTAGCTCCGTGTCTCTTTTTATACTGGGTCCCGTGACTTGCTTGCTCCTTTATGTAAAATATAAAGGGATATCCGTTTGGTCAATGAGCTCACATGAGAATAAAACAAAAGCTCAGCATCACAATATAACACTTCGGCCCCCCGATCTTGTACCGCATCCTTTCAATGGCTTTACGCACTCCTTTCCGTCGTCTCGCCTTGACGCGCCTCGGCTCCCGGGCTTTCCATTCGACACCTCGAGTGTCGATCCGTGTCGGCGACGATATCCCCGAGACGGGCGGTCTTTTTGAGAACTCGGCCGCTGCCAAGATCAGCTTGGCTGACGAGTTCAAGTCGGGCGATGGCTACATCATTGGCGTGCCTGGTGCCTTCACGGGCACCTGCTCCAGCAAGCACATTCCTTCATACCTCAACAGCCCAAAGCTGAAAGACGCTGGAAAGGTATTTGTGCTGTCCGTCAACGACCCATTTGTGTATGTTGGAACCCACAGTTACATATTGATATAATGACGTTTGGAAACAGCTCATCAGTTTGACGTGTTAGCATGAAGGCTTGGGCTGAGCGGCTTGATCCTGCTTCTCAGACTTCTGTGGGTTGCATTGCCTCTTCAAGAATTCAAGCAGAGGCTGATTCTGACGCGATTAACATAGATCCGATGGGTTGCTGACCCTACTGCCGTATTCACCAAATCTCTCGCAATGGAGTTTGACGGTGCCGCTGCCGTTCTCGGAGGGACTCGTAGCCAGCGCTTCGCTCTCAAGATTGTGAATGGCAAAGTTGCCGCGGTGCATCTGGAAGCTGATGCTACTGCTGCCGATGGTATGTCTTTATCCAAACGGTTGCATTTATGGCTGCTAATATGATCTTTTCCAGTCACTATGGCTGAGAAAGTTCTTCAATAAGCTGGTACTTTATGACTTTAGTATCTGATACTATAGCAGCTTTATACCTAACTACCTACCTACCTAGGTACTAGGTAGTTATTAGTTAGAGAGTACATAGGTGGCTTTGCATGTGTTTTGGTGTGCCTTGTACCCACAGACACGAAACCTTTGTCAACCCGCTGTATGTGCCAGCTAGAGCTAGAGAGGTACAAATTACAGTAGGTACCTAATAAGTTCGTTGGGATTTGCCTCCTTGCTTCTAGTGCCATGACTCAGCCGCCGAGGATGATCCGTAAATGTCACTTGGTTATTAATGAACGGGTGCCTCTCAACCTTGGTTTCCACGAATTGATGAATGCACGATTTCGACCTTGCCCACAGGATACACCGCTTCTGCTTCGAACGAACTTCCGTTTGTTCTAACACGCTTGCGTAAGGACTGTCCCTGCCTCGAGTGATCGTCACGACGTACCTCTTTCTTGCCAAACAGTGTCAGCTCCCCCACTTGCTCCTTGAGCGCCGCTGTCTGGCCCTTCGCTTCTTGATCCAAACTTAGCAGTGTTGCATTGATACGGATAGTGGTCGTTGCTCATTCTTTCGATCGTAGGTGTGGACTCTTCCGCGTCTCTGCGCTTTCCACCTCGGCCGCCACCATTTCCTCCTCCACGCGCAAACGAAAGGCCGCTGAGACGACGATCTCCCCCGCCTCTCCGAACAAGAAATACGTCGTCTCAGCAGTCGAGTCTCTGGCTGCCCCCCCGACTCCTGTCACCACCCACGGTATGGATTCGGATGAGGACTTCATGTCGCAGCTTTCAAGCGATGACGACATAATGCAAGATAGCGCCGATGACATGTCCACCGCCGGTATGCTCTCTCCTCGTTTGGCCCTTCTTCCCCCCCCGTATTGCCACTGACGAACGGACCGTGCAGAATATGACGATGACGACTTTGATGAGCCCGACCCTGATTTTGGCCTCTTGCCTAAACAACTATATAAGAAGAACAGCCCAGGTCATGTTGTCGCCTTCACTGTATACAAGCCGATCGATATCCGAGAGCAACAAGATGGCATGATTGCTGAGGTGAACATGATTCTTGACATGGGTAAAGAGGATGCCGCCATCATGCTTCGTCACTTTCGCTGGAACAAAGAGCGTTTACTTGAAGACTACATGGACCACCCAGAGAAGGTCTTGGAAGCGGCCGGTCTGAACAGTAGCACCAACGATCTGCCGAAGCTCGAGGCTGTACCTGGCTTTGTTTGTGATATCTGCTGCGAAGATGAGGAAGGGCTCGAGACTTTTGCCATGAAGTGCGGCCATCGTTACTGTGTCCATTGCTACCGGCGGTATTTGACGCAAAAAATCCGAGATGAGGGCGAAGCGGCTAGAATCCAGTGTCCCTCTGATGGCTGCGGTCGAAGTCTCGATTCGCGGTCCTTGGACTTACTCGTCACCTCCGACCTGACTGGCCGATATCACGAGCTTCTTAATCGCACATATGTCGAAGACAAGGACATTTTCAAGTGGTGCCCGGCGCCTGATTGTCCTAACGCTGTAGAATGCGGCATCAAAAAGAAGGACCTTGACAAGGTTGTACCGACAGTTGAGTGCAGTTGCGGCTTCCGCTTCTGCTTTGGATGCCCGAATCCTGATCACCAACCCGCTCCTTGCGACTTGGTCCGCAAGTGGCTCAAGAAATGCGCAGATGACTCTGAAACTGCGAACTGGATCAACGCCAACACCAAAGAATGCCCCAAGTGTCAGTCAACGATTGAAAAGAACGGTGGCTGCAACCATATGACCTGCCGAAAGTGCAGGTATGAATTTTGCTGGATGTGCATGGGCCTCTGGTCCGAGCATGGCACATCATGGTATAACTGTAATAGATACGAGGAAAAGAGCGGACATGAAGCTCGAGATGCCCAGACTAAGTCGCGGACCTCCCTGGCTAGATATCTGCACTACTACAATCGGTATGCGAATCACGAGCAGTCTGCGCGGTTAGACAGGGACATCGCTGCTAAGACCGAAAAGAAGATGGTCCAGCTGCAAACCACCTCAGGCATGTCGTGGATCGAAGTCCAGTATCTCAATGCTGCGTCACAGGCACTTCAAACCTGCCGCCAGACCCTTAAATGGACCTATGCCTTTGCTTTTTATCTTACCAAGACAAACTTGACTGAGATTTTTGAGGACAATCAAAAGGACTTGGAAATTGCCGTGGAGAACTTGTCCGAAATGTTTGAGAAACCGATTCAGGAGCTTTCAAATTCGAAGCTCAAAGTTGACATTATGGACAAAACTTCATACTGCAGCAAGCGACGGCTTATTCTGCTCGAAGATACTGCGGATAATTTGGCCAGGGGTAAGTGTTTCCTGCCATCACAAACAGAAGTATGGCTAACATTTTGTTGCAGGCAAGTGGTCATTCAATTCGGAATTAACAGCACCCGCCTCTGTCCTCCCTGCTCCTGCAACACGTCGCTAGTATTACGCTGGCTAACCCTGAGCATGCACTTCGCCATGGTAGAAGTTGTTTCCCAGCGATTTTTTCAAGACGGTGCCCAATCTGACAACGAGGCCCATGGGCAAACCTACCGCGATGCCGACGCCAAGCTGACTCGTCGACCCCATTTTAAACTACCAGATGTGACCATCCAAGGTCGGGGTCAATCAGTCGTTCTTCCCCTTGGCAGGGGCGAGGTTGCGGTCAGAGGAGTCCTCATACTGGAAAGCGAAGCGCCTTTCTTTGTCCAGCGGCCAATATAATGCTGGAGGACTCTTTGAGCTCACAGTATATCGGATTAGCAGATGGAATACATACACGTAGATGAGTATTTGCGTATGCTAGACACGTTGTGCAGCTGTCGCTTTCTGGAAGATTTCGAGCCGCCAACCAAGTACTAGCACTTGTACTTTGACCGACGACATCATGGCATTATAGAATAGTGTTTGGCGAGTGTGTTCACTGCCTAGAAACGCATTTTTACCGAGAAGGGTCAGCGATCGGAGACTGGATTTCAGTCATGCATTTTTTAACTATATTTATCCTCATTTGCCTGCTTAGTATGCTTGTATCGTGTCATATTGACTCCAACCTGAAAATAGAATTTGTACCACGAAGACCTGAATGATGGCTATTACGTTTTATTATCAGTTATTTAGGCCCAATATCAGTAGAGATCAATATACGTATATTCAATGTACGGTACCAAGAATATAAACGATGTCACATTAGAGGCGGTTATTGTTTTCGCTAACAGCCCGTTATTGGGCAGTTCCAAACGCCAGTACCCTCCGTCCGAGATTGTACGCGTCGGCAAATATTTTGCATGTCAGGCAAAAAACCGAATAATAATAAGTGAATGCCAACCAAAAGAAGAAGAAGAAGCCCAACGCCATACGACAACGCCTATCAGAGAACAGAAATGCCAGCTATCAACACTGATGCTGCAAAAAAGTAAAAAGTTCAAACCAAAAAACGCCCTTGGAATGCTAAGCCGTGAAAATGCAGGCATGAATCACAGCGTTCTCTCAACGAAATGTAAATTTCAGAGGATTGAACCTCTTTGCGGGTAGGTGGTACTCTTCCCCGTGCTCGCTGTCACTATCCGGTATGATTTGGTCTTCGCTACCACGATTGTCGCAGGCCTTGTGCAGTGCCTCCACCTCATCTATGTCGACCTTGGGCAGCGGAACAAACGCAGGGTTCACCTGGGGGGGCTTGCCGCTAAAAACAATAGCACTTTTATTATCGCCGGCACGGGGTCGCGGTGCGGCCATGCTGGGAGAGAAGAGAGGGTCGGCAACAGCCTTTGCCCCGAGATACTGAAGCGGCGTCATACGTGAAGACACGACGCTCGATGCGGCAGTTGATGGCGTGGATGGACTGAGGCTGAAGACGGAGGACTGAACCGAGACGCTGGATGCAGGAGTGGACACAGACGTTCGCAAGGACGACGATGAAGTGTAGGTAAATTTACCAAGGGACCGGCATATCGGAGTCTTTGTCTGTTGCAAGAGCGGTATCGAAGACGCGGACGGCGGCTCCAGGGATGATCGGGACGTGTCAGCTGTGGTCAGCCGGCTCGTGTTCGACATGGTCCTCTCTATTAGTTTGCGTGTCTCTCCAGAGAGGGACGTCATCTCCTGGGGGGCATCTTCAAATATAAGCAACTTTCTTTGGCTCGTCTTGGCGCTAGGTTCCCAGCTGTCCATCTCGGGCAAGCCCTTAAGTACTGCTTCCACAGAGTCGTCAGAATAGAGGTAGTCTTCTGTCTGAGCTGGCGCGAGCGTCTTCGCAGCAGGAAGTTTCTTCGCAGAGAAGAATTTGCTCCTTTTAGGAGACGTCTCAACTGGCCCAGTGGCTTCGCAGAGGCGAGCCTTCTTCTGCGGACGGGATTGTAATTCTGGACGTGGCGCGGCCGCGGCGACGGCCTTGTTTGGGTGAGTAACGAGAGGGATATTGGCAATGTGAGAAACCATGCTGCCTAGTGTGTCTGTGCGCCGGCGATTGAGACGAGGCGATGTCCTTCGTGGTGTTAGGTGCTGACTTTGTCGGTTTGAGGACTCCAAGTTCTGCTTGGTTTCGATATACGGCCGAGGCAAAGGAAACACGACAGGTACCAGCCCGCCATCAGTCAGCTGCGCCACACGCGCAGCATCCACAGAGAAACAGTTGGGGTCCATCTCGCCCATGGGCTTGCGGCTGGGCGTCTTGAAGAATGAGGTTATTGCTTTCACAAGTGGCTGTTTAGGCGCAGGCGTGGCAAAATATGACTTGGTCTGCGCCAATTTCCGCTTCGAAGGCGTGAGGTATAGAACTATGGGCTCCTTTGTAATAGGGTTGACATCACCAGCGGCGACTCTGCGGGCAATAGCGGGTTCGACAAAGGCACCAATGAATGGCATCTCGGCGGCTGTGCGTGTTCCATCGAGTTCAGTCAAGTGGACAAGCCCCCTTTGGGTCGGGCAGAACACCCATTGATGCAGAAATGTGAGCTCTGCTTGGTAGAACTGCGTCAGGTAATTCTCGGAGACGCGCTTGCCGTCAAATTGCAACATGCGGACGACGCGTTCGGGTGACTTCGATTTGCGCATCATTCTGTATGCTGTCTTCAGGCCAACCCCAGGGAGACCGTTCAAGTAGTCACAACCGCTCATGATGGCCATTCTGCGGAATTCAGTGTCGGACCAGCCGGAGAGTGAGATCTCTCGACAAGCGCCGAAGTCGCGTCGGTTGATTTCAATACAATTGCCGTACTGATCAAGCTTGGTGAGTAACCGTTGTGCTCCAAAGACGAGTAGATCCGAATCGTCGGACAAAATTCCGTCGATCAAGCCTTGCCTCTCGAGATACACCAGCTGGGAGTCGGCCTCGTACGGGGCAACGATGTAGGAGATGTCCAGCTTTTTTAGCTCCTGGATGAGTGTCGATGCCATTTCTGGTGTAATGTCAACACATTTTTGGAACTCTTGCGCAGCTTGACTGGGTTTGCCAGCTTTCATGAGGTCGTTGGCGAGCTTCTTCTTTTCCTCACGCTTCTTGGCGCGCGAGTCTTCGGTTGCGGCCTTACTAGGGAGGTAGTCGCCATCAAAGACCATGTAAGGCTTGATCCCAAAGTGAAGCAGCATGCGTACGCGGTGCATGGCACTTGCGACATATCTTGAACATATGTCAGGAACTTGGCAAAATATAGCTTGCGGGGCATAGAGGGATAGAGGTTCCTACCTGGTTGTGGGTTTGCCCTGGCCCAGCTCGACAGCGCACGAAAATGCTGCCCGGTGAAGCCAGCCATAAGCATCAACGCCTAGTGTTTGACCGTGGCATTTCTTTAATTCGGTGGGTTTATGTATCGACTTCAGAAGCGGCAGGAGTCCTAGACAGTAATCAGTAGGTACACCTCCAGCCAATGGATGCGGTCGCAATGACATACCGGATACACCCATGCTGCTGCCTCGGGTCAGGTAAGTGTTGTTCCTCTATCGAATTGAAGTTTGATCAATGCTACCGCTAGACAGCTATCCAAGTCGTTATGGAAAGGTCGCTATCGTCGGCACGTCGCAGCCAGGCAAGTCGCGAGCTCTTGGTGGTGATCTACCAGTGAGAACAAAGGGCGTGATTGGAGCGTACCCCTGTATCTCAAGATAGAATTGAAGCAAATAGCAAAGCACGGGAAGCAGCTGGCATGGTAATGGTGCTTGAGAGTTCAAATGCCACGAGAGAAGGTGCAGTAGAAACGGGACAAGTCAAATAGTTGTTTGGTAACACGACGATGCGTGGGTCTCCAGTGGGACTACTTACTTACGCGTGTGAGGGCTGTTGTTCAACAGGGCACTAGACACGTCCCCCGTTCCCGTTTAACAGGTAATTTTCCCGTGCCACAAGGCTATCAGGTGTCTAACACGTCTAACACAGCTTAAAGAAGACTAAAAGATTTTACATAGACTATCAGTAGCCTAACAGCTTTATAATAGGTGAACATTATGTATTAAATAAGGGACCTATTCAGTGCCCTATTCTGTTACGCGTACTAAGGTAGCTAGGTACCTAGGTACCTACTTAGAGGTACCTAGGTAGGTACCTACCTACAGCACTAGGTAGACACATCCTCTGTTTAACATGTAAGTTTCCCCTGTAGCGATCAGGTGTCTAACACGGATAGTAAAGAAAACAAAAAGATGGTTCACGCGTACTAACAGCCCTAACAGTGTCGCTATTATAGGTTGAAATTATATGTCAAATAGGGGACGTGTGCAGTGCCCTGACAAAAAGACAGCCCTCCCGCGCGTAGAGGTAGGTACCTAGCAGGTACTAACATAGTACTAATGTACCGAGGTAGGTACAGTTGGTTCCTGTTCAATCTTGAGGTGTTGGCAGATCGCATTCGATATTTTTGCCCCACTGCTTTAGGTACCTCGTCAAGCCATCCATTGTCTAGAAAATACCTTCGTCCGTCACGACAAAACACCAACAAAATGCCTACCTCATTGCATAAGACACGCAAAATAATCTCGAAGAAGCGCGGCGGCGAAGTCACCGCTCTACATGCCAAATCCCGCGACTCTAAGCGTCTGCGCATGGCCCATGCCCGTGACCTAAGACTGGAAAAACTTGCCAACGTCAGATCCAAGAAGGAAGAGCCCATCGGTGAGAAATACACCATCAGCCACATTATTGGACTTACGCCAACTTTGTATGTGTAGTCGACCGTATTCAGTACTTTCAAAATCATCTAAAGGAAAGAGACGTGTTCCAATTGGAGCTTTCCGAGGTGCAAACTCTTATTTACAAGTACACGCAATACCTTCCATTGTTGTTATCTGTGTTGACTGGGCTCTAGCTTTGTTCACCAATATGACGAGGAGTTTAACGAAGTTAAAAAAGCTCGCCGTCCAGGCCGCGCTGCCACCGCTCGTGAGGATCTGCTCAAGAGAAAAATCGATGCTCTGGAAGAAGAGTATGAAAAAGGCTTCTGTACGTTCTTCATCTCTACTCTGACCTATACACACTTCCTCTAACTTGCATCTCAGTGATTCCTGATGTCTTTGATGAGGATCAGGGCAAAAAGTTATTCGGTTATGAAGGCTCGTGGGCGTATATTGCCACAATCTCATGGTCCAAGGTGTCCAAGGCAGGGAAAATTAGCAAGGGCGACATTCCCTCCAAGGGAATATTGTGAAAGAATTTGCTATTCAAGCGGTGTTGTCTGTACGCGGATAAAATAATGACTTCATGCGAGGTCGAGATCCGACCCCCATAGCTTTACGCGGAAATATTTTCCAATATATTGACGGATATTCGCGCCACTCTTTCCGTCCAGTTAATAGAGTAGTAGGGTCCTCCTCGTTTTCTACTGCCGGGGTTTTCGCCTCTGAGAGTCTGTAGTTTGGTAGCTCACACCTACTAATGCGAGGAGGAATCTATTTTTCTACCTACACACACGGTCTATTAGTGCAAGAAAATGACTTATTCGCACAGTCCAAGAACCTTTTCTTGATTCATTAGACAGTAGTGGTGTGATACAGCATCTTGATGATAGATTTGCTAGTTGTGTAAAACATAACTACCTTTGGTACCTGGTACTAGGTACAACGTGGACGGGAAGTGGGGGTTGCCCCAGCCCATCGCAAAGAAAATGAACTGGTCCCAGATACCAGTGGCACGCAGCTGCCATTATACGGCGACAATCGAGCCAGCCAGCCAGCAGCCCTGCAATTGAGGTGCGACAGGCGTTGAGAGGTAGCAGAGGGGATACCAATCGAACATGAGCCTTTTCCAGTGTCCTCGTCTTCGTCTCCTGGCGACTGGCGCGGCGTCCGTCGTCCAAGGGGCAAAAATGCAATCGCGATCGCCAATTCTTGGTCTGGCTGGGTCAACGTCCCGATGGATGTCGTGCCAAGTCAGCTGGAGATCGCGGCCGAGATACTGTGGCCAAACAGACGCCTGGCGCCAGATGCCAGCCGTGCCTCAGCCGCGCCGCTGCAGAATGGCCTTGTTCTCCAATCATAGAATCTGCGACTACGAACAGCTACCGAACGATTACCAGGATAGGGTTGGGCTGCCCTTTAGCATCAACGAACTGACGCATGTGGAAGTACAACGTATATTCGGCGCCGACATGAAACCGGAACCCGCCAACCACCTGCTGCGGGTGCTCCATGGCCGACGTGTCGCTGGCACACTCGATGACCCCGCGTATGCGGTCAACACGGCACAATTTACATACGAGCAAATGGGAAAAGCCCTAGCCTACCTAAGAAAGACGGTGCCGGTCGAGGAGGTTCGTAACGCAGGCCTGCGCGCGGAAGACGAGCTGGCCCAGATGGAGGGTCAAATGGCCGAGGCAAAGGAAGCGAACGAGCGAGAGGTCGAACACGAAGAAGGGGTCATAGCACGAGAGGCGCCGTATACAGAAGACCCAGTTTATGGGCACAGCGTATTCGACCAGATCCGAGCGACGAATCGAGCGAAGCAAAAAGCAAGAGACGTGGCTGCGACAAAGGATCGGTTGGAGAGAGAGGAGCGCGAAGGCACCATTCCAGGCACCCTGGCGGAGCTAAATCAAGAAAGCCACGGCCATCGGACGAAAGCGATTACCAACCCCACGATTCAGGCATATTACGAAGCGGCACAGTCGGACCTCGTAGAGCCGCCCGATATGTCTGTCGCGGCGAGGATCCTACCGTCTGCCATTTTCGTGACGCTGTTGCTTGGACTCATGGCCGCCATCAGTATGGTATACGAGGAGCCAGCCAGACGGTACCGTTTGATCCCCGAGATCTCAACAGCGCAGGCTACCGTGGCGGCACTCGTCGCTGTCAACCTCTTGGTCTACATGGCGTGGAAGGTTCCTCCGCTGTGGAAGTACCTCAATGGCCTCTTCATCGTGTCTGTCGCAACACCACGTCCATTGGCCATGTTTACGACCATCTTCTCGCACCAGTCGCTCAGTCATCTGCTGGCGAATATGCTGCCGTTGATTGTCATTGGCCCCGCGCTCCATGACGAAATGGGTCGCGCCGACTTTTTGACGCTCTTTCTGGCATGCGGTTCGCTTAGCTTCGTCGGATCTCTCACCACGTATACACTCCGAGGTATGCTAGGCACGACGACAATTGGCGGCTCGGGTGCGACGCTGGGCTTGTGTGCGGCATACTTTTGGGAGCACCGCATGGACGGCTTCAAGTTCTTCGGGCTCCCGGAGCATGGCGTGCACGGAATCATTTTCCTAGCTGGCCTGCTGGCGCTGCAGCTCGCAGGACTGGGCAAGGCGCTGGCGCGCAAAATTGACCTGGCGAGTCACTTGGCGGGCTTCGCGGCGGGCATGGCGAGTATCGAGGTGATTCAGCGGACGGCGAGGCAGAGGCAGGCAAACGAGGTGGAAGGTAGGAGCGTCATTGAGGTTTGGTTCTGGCTAAAGCCGTGGCTACGTGCTTGGTTAGATGAGAAGCAAGCAACCGCAGCAGTGGCGGAGGCGGAGCGCGAAGCTCAGAGAAAGGACAAGAAGTGAATGTGAGGTTGTCAAGGATTGTATGATATGGTGTACTGTAAACAGTTCACGCTTACATTGGCGTTTTGATGCTGCACCGTTCTACGCGTCTCCTAATCCTCGAAGTGTATGTTTGACTTGTACTATCTATTACGGTGTGCAAACACGGACATACTGTGCTTGACCAAATGCATGACTCAACTTACCGTGCTCACCTGAATGAATTGACACTGTACACTTGAGTGTTCACTGCTCCCACCAGACCTCTGTAGCATTACCATCTGAGCACCGTTAATAAATACATACCTAGGTACGGAGTAGCAGGTCGGTGATTCGTGCAATTATCTCGCAATGCTTAGGAATAGGAGCGAAGCTCTCTAATATCTTCTGCAACGCTCGCTGTCTTCGCCGGTGACCTCTTCGAACGGCATTCTTTAACCGCCACAATTGCCTAGCAAATTATTCCTCGTATAGATCTCCGTAATAAGCAACGCAGTACAGCGCTTGTCTCGGTCCCCGTTTGATCGGTGCGTGGCCTTAATACACAACATTTGAGGTGACACAAACTGCTGAAAGAAAGCTTTGTGCGCTCTTTCCCGCTGTAGGTAGTAGAGAAGCCTCGCCAGACTTTTTCATCCACCACCTCAAGCCCTGACCGAACATACAACAGACAGACCCTCCAAACCTGCGCAGCGACGATGGCGTTTTTTATTGGATGGGAGCTTTGGCAGGAACTGACCTTTGTTGGTACTCGTCGATATCTTCATTGTACCCAACGCTAACAGATCAGTAAAGGTCCTAGCTTGCTTGATTGCGATCGTCTTCCTCATTGGCTTTGTTAAGCTCTGGCGAACAAACCAGATCCTACGCCGCTATGAGCTGCTCGACGAAGAAAAACGCGCCCGACTCGCCGAAATGCAACAATATGGCATCGATATACCGGCCGTCAATGACATACCCTTTGGCTCTCGAGCGATACAGAGTGGAATAGAGGTCGATGAAATATGGATATCTCGGCCGAATACTCCGGCGCCAAGCCACCACGCACCATGCACTGTAAAGATAGACGATTCTTCCATGAATGGCACTACGATGGCTTGCAAAGAACCCTCGCCTATAGGCAATGTCTCAGACAGCAGCTACGGAAAAGGGAAAGTCCTTACACCACCTGGCGGCGGGTCTTCTAAAACGCCGAAGAGGTCTACTCTGTCAGAGCAGCACTTTAGCGACTCAACGACTGTCAAGACGACGACTCTTAGCAAGGGGGACGATAATAATTTACTTCCTGCTTTGAGGTCGGAAGGGCTCAATCACCCTGTAAACATGATTGATGATGGCGGTGCGCTTCGGCCTCGCGGCAGCAACACACAAACTGGCAGCGATACAGGCAATGAAGCTGCTGCATCAGCGCTGGACTTCGAAACTGAGCCCGTGCCGTATGGAACAGCGGAGGTATTTGCCAACACTCGCACCCGGCGTACAGTTTCAGGTTTCGAGATACTTCCGGCTGGGTTTCTAGGGCAACGCTTCGAACTCCATGCCTCGGATTATCAAAGTGCAGATCTTTCCAAGCCAAACGAGGAAGCGCGGACACCGAACAAGTTGCAGAAACCTAGACCAAAGGATTCAAACTAGCCTCATGGTATGGTGTTTTTCCCGAGCCACGCCTAATGGACGAGGCTTCATTGTACATCATGCCGTCGTTGTTATGGGTCAACATTCCAAGTTGACACCTGGCTTGGTTACCACAAGGCAGATAGTAATAACTGCCTTGTTAACTGTTTGTAAGATATACTACCATTTGGTGTCGAATGACACTACGGTGATATTAGCGAATTCAACCAACTACTTTTCTCACATTTACAATGATACAACCCCCATTTGCTAAAGGTACTCAGCGGCGCATCTTACACAGCTGCTCCCTCGATTGCGCATTGTACCCTACACTCGCGGCTCGAGATGAGCAATTCGAAATCGTTGCTGTTTAGCCTCTGAAGTCGAAACACGCCACACATCCTAGCAAAACTCTTTGCATCGATGTACGAGATGGCCTGGCACAGCCTTGGCCTACCCGAGCCCTGCGCAGATGAAATCACAGTAGCCTGGGGATGTTGCGCAGCATTCGCAGCTTTGTGATTCCTAACAACTGTAATATTTCCATTGATGATGAGTAAATAGCACCATTTGAACCGCAGTCTAATTTGTTTCAGGCTCTGTAATAAAGAAGTATTGATATACCGCATGTTGAAGCCCGGTGACAAGCTCTGATTTGGAACATTGAAAACTGTACGTCACGTCAATAACCTCACAGTAGACAGGAATCAGTATACAGGCAAAAATAGTCGCTATGGGCAGACTGTTTATAAAATGATCCATCAATCATAAATCTGCAGAAATATACATGACTGTGACCGCGTTAGAACGTATTTCCACAATATTTTTCCGGGATATGCTTACCATTATTTCCGCGCACGAACGCATCGCCATATTCTTTCCTCTTAACACCGTTGACGAATTCTTGTGTCTTCTCTAGTGCAATGTTCATGTAGCCATCCACAGACTGGAGTTCTCCTGTGACGGAGTCAGTACATGCCTCCGAAGCCAACGCCGACCTCCACACTCAATACTTCCGAAACAAATCAAAGATTCATGCGTACCTTTGTATACGACGCCCGAGTTGAGCTTGACAATGACGGGGTTGCCGATGATGTCGCTGAGGAAGCTGGAGGGGTCTTTGCCCTCGCCCTGTGCGCCGTTTTCCATAGTCGACTCTGCCGATGCTCGGGCTTTTACGGGAGGTACCGTGATTGTAGTGTATAGGGTTGATGATCAAATGGACGGGTGACAAAGAGCTCAGCTGAGATACGATGGATGATATCAAGGCGCGAATAGAGGGACTCAATGTTTGGTTTTTGTCGTTTCACCCTTGTGAAGATGGATGTGGGTACCTAAGGATAGTAGGCACACAACTGTGCACACAATTATGAACTAGCATTGGGTACGTACAATTCGTGCCTCTAGGTAGGGACTCCCCACCCTCCCCACCTCTTCTTTCTCATAGTGAATAATAACTAATAATTAGCAAACGCGAGACTATCTCAAGTTGTTTGCAATTGCCTGTTATTACCTACTAGAGCGCCTCCTCCACTAAAGAAGCCAGCTACCTTCTCGCTCTTCTATCATCTAATTACTTATTGGCTATGGCTCATCCCTAAAACAATTTTCTTCTTAGCTTGCTCCGACCTCTCATTTTCTTTGTTGGCTTGCACACGTATCGCGACGCCCCACGCCATGGCTGACCTAAATGCGATCGAAAAGAAGTTGCCCTTCAAGCCGACGGCACTGCGCAACACGCGGCCGAAACCAACATTGAGTAGTAGCACGGGCGACGATGGCTTGCCAGCTTCGGCAGGCGTATGTAGCAACAGTGCCGGCGGGCGAAGCGACGAGGAGGAAGACACGTTGGCGTTGTTCCGCCGCGCCAAAGAGATGGCGCCGATTGTTGAGGCGGACCGCAAGCGGCGGAAGCACAGACAGCTGCAGAAACAGAAGGAACAGGAAGAAGCTCGCAGCAGAGCGCTGGCGAGCAGCAAGCGTCCATTAACCGAGCAAGAAGACACCGATACGGCCCAGGCGACGACACCCACTACAACGCAGGCATCGGCGATGTCGGAGGACGGAATCCTAGCCACACAGGAAGAGGACAATAGGTACGTGTTGCAGCCGACCGAGGAACAATGTTGAATGCGACAGCTGATTTCAGGAATAGAGAACTCGTAACACCACCATCCTCGAAACGCTCTCGGCGCGATACCTCGACCTTGATCACCAAGCCTGAGGATGTTGACCTCAGCAACAGGGAGTCGGTGCAGAGCTCACCCACGATGCGTACAACCCGCTCTCTGGCCCCTGACCGCTCCATGACGCCTGCTCTTTACGGCACGTCTCTGTACGGTACCGGCGCATCCACGTCGACACATCACGCGCATGCGCGGCCCCGTCTGGGTGGTGCGGCGCCTGCAGGATCACAAGTTATACTCCTTGAATCGGATTCCGAGCCCGAGATCTCCGCTCCTGCTGGCACCACGTCGGTAAAAGGCATTGAGCAAGCCGCAACACTGGACCTTGACCTAAACACCGACGCACTTACAGACGAGGATGACGACGAATTCTCAGAATATGTTCGCAAGGCGCAAGAGCAGCGTGACAAGCATATTTTGCAGATGGAACAAGCTGCCGCAGCATCGCAACTTTCACCGGCGTCTAGGTACGCATCAACAGGGCTGTCCCCAGCGCCGGATAACGCCAAGCAGGCCATGGACATTGTCGTGACATCCGAGGTGCCCGGCGCGCGTCATGTCTTGGCCAGGATTTGCTTCGACCGTCCCTTGCGCGCGGTGCGAGACTGCTGGACGAACTCCCAGCACAAGCGGAATGTTCCCCTGCACGGCCTACTCGAACACGACGAGGACGTGATTCTCACATGGCGACGAAAAAAGGTCTACATGAGCTCCACACTGCTGAGCCTAGGCATCCGGCCCAGTGAGGACGGGTCCGGGGCCGCGGTGATGGACGGGTATGCGCGAGACGGGTTCAACGACGACCGCACAAGAGTGCACATGGAGGCGTGGACGCCCGCGCAGTTTGCGCAGATGGAGCGCGAGGAGGAACGTCGACGACGACGGGACTTGTCGGATGAGCCGGCGAGCGGCGCCGGCGACAACGACGAGGAAGACACTGCGGCCGCGGTGTTGCGCGTCATACTCAAAACAAGAGGCGGCGAGCCGGTCAAGCTCAGAGTCCTCCCCGAAACGACCACGGAGACACTGGTAGCAGCGTTTCGCGCGCAGCGCGACGTGCCGCAAGAGGCAGACGTGGGACTATGGTTCGACGGCCTGAGATTGGAAGCCGGCGCGACGCTGAGTGATGCAGGTATAGATGACATGGATACGATAGAGGTGCATGTCAAGTAGCTCATTCTCCAATGTATGCCTCATCTTTTGCTTTTTTCTTTTCTTTGCTTTTCGGTGTGGGACAGAATGGTAGCATGCATTATATTTGGTTAGTAGCTAGTTAGTGGAAAGGACATATATGAATTGATACCCACGGCAGCATTTGGCTTGTCTGTTTTTTTCCTTTTCCAGAATTTTCTCAGTATCAATACATCGTGGTTACTAGTGGCTTTGGCGTGTTACAAATGGCAGAGTACGAAATGGACGGCTTCCAACAGTGCCACGTGTGTTTTTAATAGAAAATCGAATTTTATAAGAAGCGTCACACTCGACGCATGCTACTATAGCAGCGGAGCGAACCGTCCCGAAACGCCAGCGAAATAATACATCTACGAGAGGTTGCGTGTGTTTCCACCTCACCAACATGTCTCAAAACTCAATACAACATCTCCTTCCCAAGACAATACGCGCTTCAACCCATGAACAAGTATTCTTGCTAAAAACGCCCCCAACGCCTCGCTGCATTCAATTTCGATATCCCTCCAGATAATATATGTTATTACGCGATCAGCTCCTCGAAGCCATTGGGTACTGACGGGGGTGAAATCGTCCCCTCGTCGATCGATCTCGCGGACAACGGTGTTGCGGGCTCTTCGGACTGGATAGCGTCGCGGGGTAGTAGCGTCATAGTTGACACAGTCGGACCAGACACACTGACAGTGGGTTTCTTCGCCGCGGTTTTCGCATCGAGGTCCTTGCCGGTGGGTATCCTTTTACCCGTTTTGAAACTATCCATAATAGTCGACTTTGTGTTCTTGTGCTTGCGTGTTCGGGGTTTAGAGTCCCCTTTCGTTTTGCGTGCGGCGTCCTTGTCGGGGCTACCAAAGGCAAGCTTGGATTGCTTTAGTGTCTTGGCGGCTGCGAGTTTGGGACTGGGTTTTGGCGTCGGGATAGCTAGTTCATCTTCTATGTTGGGTTGCGATTTGTCGACGATACTGTCATCCATGGCGGGCGATGTAGAGGACAGGCTGACCTCGATGTTGGTCGTGTTGGCGTCAAGCTCCTGCTTGTTGGATACAATGTAGGCATTACCTATGTCGACCGAACGTGACCGGGAGGCGAGGTGGGCAACATTATCACACTCGGACTGGACTACCATATCCCAGCAGTCTTTTAAATCCATGCCCTTCGGCTCTGGCGAGAGGTTGATCCATGCGGTGAATCCGTCTTTTCTGCCTCGAGTCACCTGGCAGAGTTCTTTGACAAGTCTTCGCGTGCCAGGAACCTTGAGCGTGGTGCCAACAACAATGACAGCGTCTGGACGTGCCCGCAGGTCAGCACTAGATACGTCGCCAATGGCCTCTGCGTCGGGATTGTATTCATTGTAGAGAACAATCCTGGGCCGGATGCGACCAATGCCATGACTGCGCTTGCCACCGTAGACTGTGCGAATCGAGTCCTGCTCTGTACAGGACGCGCACAGTGGAGGCTCGGGCCCGTTGAAAAGTTCAGCTTTCAGAGGCGATAATTCGGCACATTTGGTGCAGACCATATGTTGCAGGCCACCGTGCAGCTGTATCGTCTTGGGCCATGGACCCTTGGGGTTGAGAGGTACTTTTGTTTCCAGGGGCTTCATTTGAGTATCGAGGCAATCGATATTCTGTGAGTAAAGGCGGAGAAGACGACCCTCTTGAGCGAGAGATGCCAACATGTGATGAAATGGAGTAGGAACTGCCTTGGCAGACATCTCGGCCATATCGCGGACCATATTGTGGAAGGATTGAGTTGACGAGTCGTGCTTGTAGACGGATGCATCGAAAAGGTGCTTGCCCGAAGATTTAACCTTATACTGTTTCTTGGTGGTGGCAAAGAGACCTTTGGAGGACCGAAAGTCAGGGATACCAGCTGAGACGGAAATGCCAGCACCGGCGACGACGACGATTTTCTTCTTCCTTTGTAGGGCGGATAGCAAACGGCCCATCTGCTCGGTGTCTTCGGGCGTAAAGTCAACTTGCGACTTGGAGAGGTTGAGGTACTTGGTTGTGCGCTCTTTGGTCACAGCGGTTTTGCGACGCTTGGAGGGCCGGTCGCTAGTGCTGCCATCGTCAGATTGACTGGAGGAGTGATCGGCGCGCTTGATGGGTGTCTGTGAGCCAGACGTGTCTGTGGAAAGTGATTCCGGTGAGGGATAGCGTCTGGCAACGTTGCCAGAGACCATGGGCGAGTTGGGCAGCGACGGCGTTTTGGATAGGACTGTCAATGGCGATGAAGGCGGTTCCGAGGCTGCGCGTGCTGGCGAGGAGAAAGGGCTGGATGGCAATGATGAGTTTGTATTGGTAGATGGCGGTAAATCCACCGAAGATTGTCGGCGCTCCATGCTACCGAGGCGTCAGACGATTGAGACCTGGAGCGGAAATGGTAGAGGATAGGCGCAAGAGCCTGGCCGGTGGCGAGGGAAAAGAAGACGAAATGGATCACAGCAGGCTAGGTCATCGCGTGGCCTCGGATAGTGTGACTTGGTAACTAATGGCCTGTGGGTGCTTGCGGAATGGGTAGTTATGTATGGATAGTGCTTCGCTAAATGAGAGAAGGGCAGTAGTCGTGTCAGTTGAAGTGAATGTTGTCGGAAACCTGGCGCTACTGGGGCGAGAGTCGGTATGTGAGCGGTAGGTACTGCGTCGATGTTGATGATGCAAGGTGAAAAGGCGACCAGCCGGGTTGTGAAGCGGTTGCATAGGGGGGCAGAAACACAGACAAGAGCAAGGGCAGCAAGGGCGAAAACTACCTCCAAGTAGCGGCCTATGCAAACACTGTTGTGCGCCGGACCCAACGCCTTTGGGTGTACAAATTCCCCCTCCTGGATTCCACCTTGGGGTTCTTTTTCTTCGACCTGGACTAGTGGAACAGATATCTTTCTAGGCGATAACTAAGGAGAAACGAGAGAAAGAGGAAGGCAACAGAGGAAGAAAGAGCGAGTCAAGAGCCAAATAAAAGATGGCGGCGAGTGTTTCGCCTGATGGGCTTGGAATAACTGGGTGTAAACACGCCGCGTCTGCGCTAGTGGTGGGTACCTAGGTACCTAGGACAAACAATGCCGATCTGAGCGTCTGATTTGACCCAGCATTCTAACTAATTTAATTATTAAATCTACGCACCAGGTACCTACGCGGGTAGGAGGTGTTTTCTAACCCAGCCTCATACGCCACGATATTTTAAGGTATTGTTATGTGAAGAAGGTTTTCCTCCAAGCTACTCGAGTTTTTCCCGCCTCCTTGTAACTATATCTTCTATATAGGTAGAGAGGTACTAGAGAAGCTAGTAAGGCTAATTAGCGTACAACAATTTATTGGTATCAATATTTCAAGTTATATTATAATAGAAAATATATTTCAAAGTAGCTTTCAAATATGTGGAAATACCTAGATTTATCGTAATTTGGCTAGAAATATGCTAGACGGAACAAAGAGTTATGTCACTGGCGCGGCCGGGCAACGCAATGGCAGCTTGGCAAATGCCAAGCAAAAGGTACCTAGGTACTTGCTCCCATGAACACCAGGCGCTAACGTTAGCTGCCAAGTCCCCACCCGAGACTTGAGTTGCAGCAAAGGCATCTCGCCGGTAACCCCGTCTTTCAATCCGGCCTTCTGCCTCTAACTACTCCCACTCCCCGAGTCCCCGGCTGCATTTCTTTCCCACCGCAAACCCCGTCGCATTTTATTCTAGATTCCTTGCTTTTGTCTGACAATTCTTTTCCTCCCAAGAATTATCGAGCGACAGTGAGTCGGATTCGAGACTTGTACTAGGCTATTCTTACCCATCGACGTCATAGCGACCTGTGACCGTAACCATGCCGATCCGAAACCCTTTCGCCCGTCGGCCCGAGGTCGCCATCCCCAACAACGAAAATGAGCGCCCGGGACAAGAAAATAGCCATCCTGGCTTCGAGAGAGTCGACACGGTGGGCTCTAAAGCCTCGTCAGCGATGAGCATTCGCAGCAGCAAGAGCCACGATAACGGCGAGTACAAGATGAGTGGTACGCGCAACCCTCCAAGAGGATGCACCAGTTGCGCCAATTGAAATTGTGCTCCTGGCAAGGACATCGTTTGGATATGAGTCCTACATACTCGAGACCAAATCACAAAGGATACTGGCTGGCAACATGCCAACACTGGCCCTACATCGAGCCTCGCTAGCAAATACCGTCATTTCTTATACTGACAATTGGCCCGCAACAGTCGTCAATGATAGTGGCATCTACCTGCCTGTAAGTGTATTCCACCAAACTGTCCCGCCCCTTTCGCAACGCATCTCCCTGCATGTAGGTAGGTATGGGCGAGGCTAATTATGCTGCAGCCTTCCCCAACAGTGGAAAAAGGGCAGCCTTGGCCCAAGCGACACTTGTCTTCACGTGCCTCAACAGACACGCGCAGCAGCTTTGGCGACCTTGAGCATTTCTCCATCTCTAGAGAATCGTTCGATTCGTACAGGCGATCCTTTGTAAGCGGCGCCCCGAGCAGTTGGTGTGACTATTGTCGCCGTCTGGGTGCTAGGGTGGCTGATGAGGCTAATATAATCCCAGGACATCACTGCACGCTCTCCCATCAAGCATAACAACGCCCCAGTGCGTCAAAGCCTGGACTCTGCCCGCTTTCCACGACATCAGTACTCGGTTCATCGCAAGATGGAGCGACAGGTCCCTACGCCGGAAGAGAACTTTGAGGACGTTGGACTGGACGATGGCAAACAGCAGCAGCGCAAGCGCGGATTCTTTGCAAAGTTGACTGACAGTCAGGACAAAGAATCGTCGCCATCCACCATGCCTCGGTTTCTCATGGGCGGTCGCAAGCGCGGGCAAAGTGGCCAGGGGGCCGAATTGGGCAGCGTCGATCGTCGGCGAACATCAGTCACGAGTGAGGTACGCTGACCTCGCGGATAGCAAATTCCCGGCGGTGGCGCGGAAGCTCGGGGAGGTTTTTTTACTTTAAGCAAACGGCAGACTTTTCTGGTATTTTTCGGCGTTCTGGGGGGAACCTTGGCTTGATCATATGGGAGAGTGCATCGACACTGAATTCGCCCAACTAATAATAGAGGCGACACTAAATTAACGAGGACATGATCGAATATTATTGAGACAGCCGTCAATACTACGTAACAATCGTGATTTGATTCCGGACGTGCTGGGGGATGTGATGCTTTGGCCTGGTCAATAGCAACGGCGTCGGGTCCCGGATTCCGTAGTCATTTCATTCATGACTGGCTGTTGCATCCCCTCCCTGTTGGGACAAAGCCCATTGAATGTTTGATTGCTCTTGCCGCCCAAGCTTCGTTCCAGGCCGATTCTGAGGACCGATGACGGATCGTACGAAACCAGGCTTGTACCCACTAGTTACAAGTGGCTGGCTTGGTCTTGGGCTCGTGCATCATCACCTGCTCTCTTGGAGTGGGCTTACCAAGTTCGTTAACCTTATTGGCGCCGAAGAGGGTCACAGACAGATGGCGAGCTTGCCCCGCTGGAAACGGGTTGACATTTGGTATACTGCGCCCTTTGACAAGCACAGTCTGACTAGGGCATCGTAACTCAACTATTGGAACCCTTGCATCTCATAGCAGTATAAATTGCTGTTGGCCTTACTGCGGTTGCTCAATACGTACGACCGCAGCAATCACTGGGCACTGCGAACCCACTCAAGTCTCCCTAGTACCTGGACCTGGGTATATAGAGCGATCGCGGGGTTGGCTGCCCATTTTGACCAAGCACCAAGATCCTCGCCCAAGTCAACCAGAAAATGAAGGAACAAGGGGAAAAGGAGGTTGCTCTCTCGTTGGCCTCGCTTCTCGTTCACGCCGACGATGGCATCTCTACACATCGAGCAGTTGCACCGGCCATGCATGTCAGCACAACATTTCGGTACACGGACAACCCAGAATTGCTCCAGCCCGAAGTCTATGTCAATGTAAGAGCCCCATCCTACAAGTTATTGCCATGGTAAACTCTGACCGTGCCTGACCATGCCTGAGTAGCCTGATGCTCCGCTCGACTCACACGTTTACTCCCGCTTTACCAACCCCAACAGTACTCGTCTCGAAGCCATCCTGACGTCTGTTCTCGGCGGCAAAGCTCTGACCTACGCCTCGGGCCTCTCTGCGTTCCACATGATGCTCGTACGCATCAATCCGAAGCGAATCGCCATTGCTGACGGCTATCACGGCTGCCACGGTATCATTGATATCCAATCGCGTTTGACAGGCCTCAAGAAACTGCCACTCGACTGCGAAGCGTCCGACTTGCAGCCTGGCGACATCATACATGTTGAGACGCCGCTTAATCCGACTGGCGAAGCGCGCGACTTGCAATACTACGCCGACAAAGCGCACGCAGCTGGCGCATACCTGACAGTGGACGCAACGTTCGCGCCGCCACCCCTGCAGGACCCATTTGCGCACGGCGCCGACATTGTCATGCACAGCGGCACAAAGTACTTTGGTGGACACTCGGACATGTTGTGTGGTGTGTTGGCCCTCAGCCCGCGTTTGCCACTCGATGACTGGTTCCCGACCATGCTGTACGAGCGTGCCATCCTGGGATGTGTCATGGGCAGCATGGAGGGCTGGCTGGGTCTACGCTCGATGCGCACCATGGAGCTGCGCGTGTTGCGCCAGAGCAAGACGGCCACTGCCATTGTCGCGTGGCTGGCGGAGCAAATCAAGGATCCGGCGTCGCCTGTGTTCAAGGTCGTTGATCATGTCAAGCACGCAAGCCTGCAACCTGAGGCAGCAGACGAAAACAGCTGGCTCCGGCGACAGATGCCTGGCGGGTACGGTCCCGTATTCTCTCTGGCTATGAAGAGTGAGGCTATGGCGAGGCGGCTTCCGAGTAAGCTGCGACTATTTCACCATGCGACGAGCTTGGGTGGCGTCGAGAGCCTGATTGAATGGCGCGCCATGACGGACAAGACGGTGGCGAGAAACTTGCTGCGTGTGAGCATCGGCGTAGAAGCGGAGGAGGATCTCAAGGCCGATATTGAGCAAGCTTTCACCAAACTTGCCGCAGAAAATTAAAGACGTATGCAGAAGACAGACAGCACGCATCATGATGCTGATGGTACATATTCTACCATACAGCTAGCTTGCAGGTTTTCAGGCCAGCAAGACTACTACTACATGCATAATGAGACATTTGGCATCTAAGAATCTGCTCTACCAAGATTGTGAGCCTAGAAAGACTATTTCACTAAGCGAGCAGGTATGGTATTGTTATTTAACGCCGGGGGGGATGCCTGAAAAGGGCAAAGGGCGGCGAGCAGGTATGCTGCGGCTCATGTACATGGTCACATGTTCAGACTCAACCAAGTGGCAGACCCTGCATGGAACAGATGCACAACCTATGACCTGGTAAACCCGAGGACACCATTTCTTTGATTTCATTCACAGGACTGGGATTGGTGGTATGCCAGCCACCCTCTACTTGGTCAGGAGACTCCTGGGTGCCGACCCCGCCGCACTCGGCCGCTGACTAGGCCTCGATCTCACATGGACCACTGCGCCGCCACCGACTATCGGCCACAAAACGACAAGGAATCTTGGCAATGCACACCCTGGTCTGAAGGGGAAACCGCTACAGAGGCTCTACTATCCCCTCTCCAAGTCCTGATTACAGCTTTGGGATGATACTGCGATACTGCATACCCGGCACTCATCCTGACCGGCTCCCCTTGCATCACAGATGCCGACGAAAAAGCATGTAATTTTAGATGTCCACCGCCCTGTCCAGCCCAGACAAGTCTTGGAAAGATGGACAGTGTCCGGCTGAATAGGCGAGCTCGTCAGGCTTGCGAGCCTTGCAGGTGTGCTTCTTTCCAGTACCGAGTGTCACAGTACCAGGGCTCACACTGATGCGATGATAGACGCAAAAAGTCCAGATGTCCTGGGGAGAAGCCGACTTGCTCCTTCTGCCAACGCCTGGGGCAACACTGCGTGTATAATAATGGGGGTGCAGATGCGGAGCAGGGCCCTTCAAGGCATAGTAGAAAGATGGTAGCACTGCACATGAATCGTCGCCTCGGTTGCTGTACAAACTGACATTGAATGGTGATGCAGGAATACCGGATTGATAGCCTCGAAGAGAAGATGGATCGCTTGATCGAGAGGGTCAGGTAAGAATCACTTTTTATAAAAAAAAAGAGAAAAGAAAAAAACAGAACGCGTACTGACGGAACGAGGCAGTCCTGTCAATACCACTTCTCGCCAGTCCATTACACCTTATCCTCCGCATCCAGGTAGCAGACCAGCACGGACAAGGACAACCAGCGCGGACAACGTCCCTTGCTGGAACTGGAACAATGACCACAACGAGGCTCTCGGGTATACTGATGCTGACCCTCGTTTTGAAGGCTTTGCTCTCAACTTGTCTCCTAGTCATTTACTAATGCCCAAGGAAAATCTGCTCGCGATGGGCCGTCTCTACCTCGCGTGGTGTCACGGGCAGCCTATTGCCTTGTTCGATCCCGAGACATTTCTCGATTCCCTCCCTTTTCGGGACATGGAGCTCATTCTTTCCCTGCAGGCCCTTAGTCTCCGGTATCCTCCAAGTACACTGACGCCCCAGAAGCGTGAAAAATTGGATGCCATGGAGCGGGAGTCGAGGAGCGCCGTCATGAATCGCATCGCAAGCTCAGCCGTCGAGCTTTCCACATTACAGACTCTTTGTATACTGAGCATGGTTGAGTTTGCAGGTAAGACAGATGATGAACAAGAAAGCCAAGACCTGTTGGTAACTTTATAGACGGAAAAATTGCACAGGCAGGCCTGCACGTGGCCATTGCAAGCCACTTAGCCCAAAGTGTTCAGTCCAACAGTATGCTAGGCGACGCTGGCGAGTTTGGCGACTGCGTCTGCAGCATCAGGATGCTGCAGAACCTCCAAGGTTGCATCGCGCCGGCCACGGGTCCTGGCAGCGCCCTCATCGGCGGGCAGCCACCGCCCATCTCACAGATACACGCCGCAGCCCTCTCCGGCCGTGAACCGGCCGGATCAGTGCACAATCCAGGAAGCAGCCAGATGGACGAGGGCATCATGAAATACGTGCTAGAGCTCAGCGAGGCGTGGCGTATGGCCCGGTCCTACGCAGCCTGCCGCGTGGGCTCGGACGCGCCGCCGCCCTGGAACCAGCATTCTGACTACTCTTGCGTTATGAACTTGCATCTCGAGTTTGACTGTCGCGTGCCCCTGCGGTATCGCTTCGCGGCAAACAAGTTTGCCGAGCACGACTCCAACGACTTGGAGCGGAATCGGGACTACTGGGGTCCGTGGCTGTATATCCAAATCATTTACGCCGTGATTCCGTGCATTGTCAACCACCCGTTTCTACTGTCCATGCGCTTGAAGAATTTTCGACAAACTCTACCCCAGTCTTTTATCCATCACTCCTTCGAGTACATCAACCGCCACGCGGGATGGATCATGTACTTTGTCGACATGCTGGAGAAGAAGGCGTTCCAGATGGCGGACCCGGCGATGGCGCACTGCATTGCAGTCGTAGCGACGATACACTTGCAGCACAGCTTTGTCAAGGACAGGCCGCTACGAGACAAGGCGCAGCAAGGGTTTGAGAAATGTATTCGTTTTCTGCGGCGTATGGGTGGCACGTGGCCCTACATCTCTACCATGGTACGCTACGAGTACGCAGCTAACGGTAGAATACTAACATGCATCTAGGCAAACAACTTGGCTAAGCTGAGAGAAAGCGTGGGTTTGCTGTCGTCGCCGGGCGCATCGACTACAGACTTCCCTCAGGATCGCGACTCGTTTTCAATCGACGCCCAGCTGCTCTGGGACATTCTCGTCTATGAGCGAGCCGGCCGGCCCGACGCCGGCGCCGACCAGTCCATATTTGGCAAGACGCTCAAGGTCGGCACCGCGACGCGCCAAGACGACGTGCGCGCGGCCGCAGAGTTTGACCTGGTCGGCTCCGCGGGCATATCCGGCCACAAGACCGTGTCCAAGGAAACGCCGGCCTACGCACCCGACGAGGACGCGTCGCCCACACCCGGTATGCTGCTGAGCAGGAACACCGCGGACAAGGTGGGGGACGGGACGGCGGCCATGCTCGTGTCGGTGCAGGATCGCTTCTTTGAAGGAATTGGGGGCCTGCATGGCGAGGAGCATCTGTTCCTGCAGGCGAATGACTTTGGCAAGGCGATTGATACCTGGCTCAGCCATGATGCATGGTGAGGCTGCTGGTCGAGTCATACTGACGAACCATTGATGGAAAATGCAAGGTTGCAATTGAAAGCCTAGGTCATATAATTTCAAGAACACTCATTCCAATAATGTGGCAAATACACATTGCAATTGAAAGCTTCAGTCATATCTGTTGAACCTGCGCAAGCAGCCAACTCGACGCTGGCCTCTGATTGGCCAGTGCTAGTGGAAGACCTACTTTCATGGGTCTTCCTTGATTCTAGCCATCGAGGAAGGCAGCGTTTGATAGTTATGTAGTTATCACAATCATCAGGAACCAAATTGACGTTATTATTGCTTTATCGTATTCAAATACACCTTTGATCCAACAATATCATTTCAAGAAAACTCATTGACGAGAGTCATACCGACTAAACAACGTTATGGGATATAAAAATTTGCAATTGCAAGCCTCAGTCATACAATTTCAAGAAACCTCATGGGCCATTTACCATGCCAGCTCGCCGCTACCAAGGCTGTTGGCGGCGCACTCGAGCTTCCCACACAAGTCCACGTCGTTCTGGATCATGTCTGAAACGCGATGTCTTGGCACCGCAGGCCAGATCTGCGCTCCCGCCGCCTGTTCCTCCTCATAATGGCGATTGACGAGATTTCTCGTCAGCATCTGGAAAAACAGCGGCCCCTGTCGATTGTAACCTGTCAGCAACTCGGGGTTCACTGTCCAAATGCGAGGGTGTGTGTGTGTGTACCTTTTCTGCGCGCGGATGCAGCTCGCCATTGAGAAATATACCGGCATTCAAGTTTTTCTGCGCGCCGTTGCACAGCTCCTTGTCCTCCCTCATGATGTCCTTGAAAAAGTCGGAGATTTCAGTAAACGCGGCCGCCGAGGACTCGGCATTGCGGTAGACCTCGTACTCCATGTGCGTCTGCGTGGCGGATATGGGCACGCAGCGCTGGATGAAGAAGAAATGCGGCCTTTTTTTTGTGCCCCTGCGTATTAGCACGGGTAGTCGAGTACCATATGGGAAGCGGCGGGGGGGGGGAAGGCATACGTGACTGTGGAAGAGGCATTCGGGTAGTAGTAGGTGCTGACGTTGCCTAGGCTCTTGGCCGCGGCGTCGGCCCGGTCGACGGCGTAGTGCTGGATGTGCGTGCCCGCCGTCTCGACCCAGTACTTGGACAGGTCTGTCACGGCCGGCAATGCCGGGTGTCCAGTAGGGCAGTGGTAGCACTGTTGCGCGTTTGTTAGCTCTGGTGGGCATTCCCGCGATTCTTCTTCGTTGCGAAAACCACGCTTGCCTCGTTGTAGTTGTCGGCCAGGACTTTCCAGTTGTAGTCGCCCGTCATCTCCCAGCTGTGGTCATATGTGTACTTGGTCATGTCGAACTTGAGCAGCCGCGGTTGCTCGTCAACAGTGGCAAAGTCTTGCTCCCAGGACACGGCGGGCGTCTCGCCGGCGTCCAAGTTGACGTACACGAAGCCGAGCGCGTCGACGTGCACGTGGATGCGGTACAGCCCATTCTCTTCCTTGTTGAAGGCGGGGACTTCCTGGTATTTCGGCGCCTTGGCCAGGTGTCCGTCAAATCCATACGACCAGCCTATTTGTTGTGCCAACAAAAGTCAGTTCGCCCAGGCAGGGGGGTTTTAGACCTTGGGGGGCCGGACAGAACGCACCGTGATATTTGCAGGCCAGAATAGACGCTTTGCCCGACTCCTTCTCCACGATGGGATACGCACGATGCCTGCAGATGTTGTGATGGGCCCGGATCGCCCCTTGACGGTCACGCACCAGGAAGAATGTGTATCCCGTCTCTGTGATCTTGACGTAGCTGCCGGTGTCCGGGAAGCGGAGCTTGTGTGTGACGAGCAGCCACTTCTTGGAGAAGATGGCGCGCCGCTCAAGCTCGTACATTGCTGGAGACCGGTACCATGCTGCTGGCAGCGCCGGCGTGGCCTTGGCTTCGTTGTCGTCAGTATGCGTGCCTTGACTCTTGCCGAATCCGAACCAGCTCATGGCGATGAGTATGATGTCTGCAACGAGGGGAGTCTTGTGTGTTGGTTTTGTGCAAGTTGGGTATAGAACGCTGGTCGCCTGACCCTCGTTACAAAGCCCGTCTTTGCCTTAATACTATACCAACCACCCCGGTCCTTTCTCCCCCCCACAATCAATCGTCTCGTGGTCCCCTCCTCCCGGGCTGCTACAGAAACCCGGCCGAGACCTCGGGACTGTGGGACCTCGTGGTCCATTCGGTGTCAACGGGCCGTGTGGGCCCGGAGAAGCCGGGCCGCAACCGTGCCCACATGAGCTCCGACGAGCGGCTGCGAAGGGCTTTAGCATGCAACCGACGTAAAAGCACGCCCGAGTCTCCGCTCTACAGGGTCCAGGGTCCAGGGTCTACAGATTTATAGTGGTCACACATGCAACGGCGCAAAGTAGCGAGGCGCTCGGGACCCCGGGCAGGTTTTGCGGTGGTGCTCCATACCGTGTGCGAGCTGAGGAGCTGCCCTTACAAGAGAAAGGTGGTTTCAATTCCGAGCACGGATTTCCCATCAAAGTAAACGAAAGTGTCAACACAGCGACAAGTCTCAGTTCTCAGTAGAATGATTCGGTGGGGTGGGTAGTGGGCACGGCACTGACGGCCGGTTGCCGGCGACGGATAACGGATCGACTGTTGACAGCGCAGTCTGTACCAGCCTCGTGTTGACCGACAATGTGCTTTTGGGTGATTTTTTGTGTCTCCAATATATAAATTAAAAAGTCCTAGCCAAAACGAGAAAAAGTACAGAAAATTCCCCAAGAGCAGAAAGGATGACCGCCACTGATACAAACATGCCACATCCATCTCCGCCCGCCAAGACCGACTGCATCATCATCGTCGGCGCGGGCGTGTTCGGGCTCACCACCGCTCTCGAGCTCGCCGCGCGCGGATACAGCAACGTCTCTGTGCTGGACCGCTTCGTGCCGCCCGTCGTCGACGGCAGCAGCGTGGACCTGTCGCGCATCATCCGGTTCGACTACGGCGACACACAGTACGGCGTCATGGCGCGCGAGGCCGTCGCCGGGTGGGCGGCCGCCGAGCACGCCGCGCACTACCACCAGTGCGGCTTCGTGATGCTCAACGAGGGCGCCGGCGGGTTCGCGTACACGCGCCGCTGCCTGGACGTCGACGCGGCCCTCGGCCGCACCATTGAGGCGTACCCCGACGCGGCCGCCCTGCGGGCGCGCGTGCCCTGCATGCCCGCAAAGCTCGACGGCCTCTCGGCGTTTTACAACCCCAAGGGCGGCTGGGCCGATGCCGCGGCCAGCATCGCGCAGCTGGCGGGCCGGTGCAGCCAGGCCGGCGTGTCCCTCGTGTGCGGGCGGCGCGGCACCGTCCACAGGCTCGTGTACGAGGACGGCCCGCGGGTGGCCGGCGTGCAGCTCCTGGACGGGAGCCGCATGCGCGCTTCGCTGGTGGTTCTGGCGGCGGGCGCCTGGACGAACCACCTGCTGCGCGTGACCCATGCGAGCTCGGCCTCGGCGCACCCCGTGGGCTGCATCCAGCTGACGGCGGACGAGGCGGCGACGCTGCGGGACATGCCCGTCATGATTCACTCCAACAAGGGCGTGTTTGTGTTTCCGCCGACGCCGGGCACCAACATCCTCAAGGTGGCCCGCCACGGGTACGGCTACGCCACGGCCGAGACGGTCGACGACGGCCGCGCGCCGCCAACCGTCCTGTCCTGCCCGCGGAGGGACGGCAACAATGCGCGCAACTCGTTCATGCCCGACGACGCGCAGCAAGGGTTGCGCGATGGGCTGCGGGACTTGGTGCCTGAGTTTGCTGAGCGCCCCTGGTCGAGGCTGCGGTTGTGCTGGTACTCGGACACGCCTGAAGGCGACTTCATTGTCGATAACCATCCACAGATCGCCGGGCTCTTTCTAGCCACTGGCGGCTCCGGACAGTAAGTTGCTTTTTCCGTCAGCAAAGGGCGTTGTAGCGTGTAAGTGTTAAGCTGACAGGGTCACAGTGGTTTCAAATTCTTGCCGGTACTGGGGAGATATATTGTCGATTGCCTCGAGAACAAGGCACCCGAGAGTCTGAGATACAAGTGGCGCATGCGTCCCGAATCGGATGTAAGTGAGATCAGGGTAGGGGACGGGAGCCGTGGCGGGCCGCCACTGAGAACCTTGACAGCGCTTGAGCAGTCAAAGCTATAAGAGCTATACAAGTATAGATGGTACTCGATATAGAGTTGCAGCTGTCAATGCTGGCAGTAGTTATTGTAATACTGTTCGTAGAGACTCTGTTTATACACCTGATTTTGACTCGTACGCTTCACCAACATCCTCGTTCAGCTCGCTGATCAATTGTAAGTTGGAATACAACTCCCCGAAACCTAAAACTGCCATAAAGAAAAAAGTTACCCATACTAATCGATACAGACGTTTCATGATTATCCTTGAATATGACCCGAGCGACTACAAAAACGGCACGCATCAAAGGAAAAAACTTCCAAAACGAAAGCAAAAGCAGACTAACAAAACACCGTCCTACACTCGCCGTACCATCCTCATGTGCACCTGATTCGCCACTCTACATTCTGTGCTTCTCAGAGTCTGTAGCTTAGTTAGTATGTAGATCAGCAACATGCTTTGCCTTGCTAGGACTTACCAAGTCGGGCGTAGAGCAGATACAGAGCCATGCGGTTGCACTCCTCGGTACCCGTAACCGTAACTAGTCTCTCGTTGCTGTTATCCTGAGGCTCGTTGATCTTGATCACGCTGCCACTCAGCTGGCGTATCTCGTTAATTTTCTGTCCACCCTTGCCGATAATAGCGCCGACCATATCATTTGGAATATAGATTTGCTGGGTCATGGGAGCACCCGGCATGCCTGCATGCATGTTTTGCGCCTGAGGACCACCATGGGGCTGCGCGCCAGTGTGCGGTGGCATATGTTGCTGAACATGAGGAGCAGCTGCGCCATACGCACCCGCTTGCGCACCATAATGCATCGGCATGGCGGGGACTGCGGCTTGGGCGCCAGCGTGAGGGGGATATTGCGCAGGGTAAGGCGCAGGGGGAGGCATCGGTGGGCGACGTTCAGAATGGCGTCCATAGTTGTCGCTGCGGCCGTACTGACCCGAGGCAGGCTGGGGACTGTACGGAACAACCTGCATGCCGCCGGGGATAGAGCCAGCGGGAGTACCACTTCTGGTAGCATAGGCGGAAGCAGCAGGTCCGCCAAAACGTTCGTTCAGCTGCTCAAGAAGGGTCGAGCCAACATAGTAGGTTGCAATGTGGACAGCATCGGCAACGCCCATCACAACCAGCGACCGCTCACTGGACATGGGTAGGCAGGAATCCGAAGCATTAAGCCGAGCCCCCGACGCTTCCTGGATTTCCCGGATGCGAGCACCGCCCTTTCCAATGATAGAGCCAATGAGAATATGGGGAATAAGAAGACGCAGTGGGTACGTCTTCGATGAGGCTGTAGAAGTCTCTGTTAATGGCTCATTGTTAAGTGTGCGAATGATCAGGCCAAAAGCCTAGTGAGCAGTTAGCTTCTTGTTTCACGCTTTGATCAGCGGAGAACCTACCTTAGCCGCTGCATCTACGATGCCGCTGACTGTTAGAATGCGCTCGACAGCTCCCTTTTGATAGTCGCTGACGGTGCACTTGGCATTCGACATTTTACGAATGTTGGAGACATTCTCGCCGCCCTTGCCAATGATAGTGGCAGCCTCTGGGCTGGAGATGACGGCGCGAATGTGAATCCAGGAGGTTTCGTCATGCGCGGCGGCAGATGAAGAGTTGGTAGCAGCCGCGGCAGCCACCTTCTCGTCGGCACTGGCCTCGACAGCGACGGCATCTGCCTCGGTCTTTACGCCATTGGAAACTTCGTCACCATTCTTGTCGGGGCTTTCGACAGCGTTGCCCGACAATTTCGAGTTCTTGTCCTCGCTTTCGTTCTTGATGACCTTGTCGAGCGCAGGGCGTTTCGCGTCGGGTTGGTCTGTAGCGCGCGAAGGAGATGAAGCCTCCTCCAAAGGTCGCTTCGTCGACTGGGTCGGCTGCGGCGGTGAGGAAGACATGGCTCAAGATTTCACACGAGGTTCTTCTTCAGCGGTTCTTAACAGGAAAAGTCGTTGAGACTGAATTGTTTATTGAAATCGTCTTATCTACACTCAGGGGGTTTTCAGGAGGAAAACGTGCTGGTGCAGTGACGGGGTCGAGGAGCTCGAGTCGTGTGAAGTCTTCGTGAAGTGGCGTCGAGCAGCCTTTGGGCAGGGCGGGCTGGAGAGAGGTGACAGAGGAAAGCTCTGAGAAGCTCAGACGGGAGGAATGTGCGAGTTCGTGATCGAGAAGAGTGCCGGAAATGACGCTGATGCAGAGGAGAGGAAGGGCGACGAGGCGAGATGGAGAGTTGAATGGCTTGGTATGAAAGATAGGACGGTGCAGCGAATCGAGGATGGAGGAGATTCTCTTGGAAATGGAAGAGGCAAGCGCTCAGCTCAAACCTGTTATGCTTCTTTTCTTTTTCTTGTCGCTGCGCTCTCGCGGGATCGCTCGACGTGCTGCACGTAAAGGTGCACTGCTGGAGATGCTTTTGAGGCTGAGAAATGCGCGTTAGAGCTAGAAAGTCCAACGTCGATGGCGCGGAGCACTCGTGGCAAATAACCCGATCGATCGTCGTCGGTCGGCGTTGTCGAGAATCGAAAAGAATCGGCGGCAAATGGGTTACGACTCGCGACGCGAATACCAGAATGCTCAAGACCCAATCCTCAAGGGCGGCGAGATGAGAGATGGCAATGATGGGGGTGAAGCAATGTCGCGCGTCGCGAAGGATGGACCTCCTTGGAATTTCCCCAAACCGTTCATGCCCTCGCCCCATTTCAAGAGTCACGTGCTCGCCTGGTATTGGCAAGTTGTCTTGGGGGGTGGGGACAGTGCGAATCATTCAAAATAACCACTGTTTTTGAGCATGTGCAGCACTGCAGGGCCCAGTTCCAGGACTAGCTAGGCTCAGAAATACAGTGCGAGATTTTCCGAGCACACACGTAGGTACACAGGTAGGTGTCTGTTGGCGCGATGCGCGCTGAAGATGGATCGACGTCTCTTGACGGCCCATATTAGACAAATGAATGCGACTTCTTCACTAATAATAAATAGGTTGACGCAACTACCATGTCACAAGAAAAGACATTAGAACATATATCAACATAGCACCATGGCGTCCTTTGAGGATCGCGCTTATACGAATAGCCTTGAATATACACTCAAGGAGCTACGGCGCGAGTTACGAGAGCGTGAGCAACACTTGGCCGAGGTATGCCCATAATATTCGGTTTGATGACACGTTCTGACGCAAGCCAGCTACGCGCATCGCAAGAAGAGGGAATCCTCTCGCCAATAGCCCAAGTCCAGGTCATAACTGCCGCATTCAATGAAGTCACAAATGCAGAGCCATTTGTCCCCATGGCAGGCTCTTTGCTGCCTTCCTTGCTCGCCATGCGCAAAACGCATACCATCATCGCAGAGTCAAATGCACTAGCCAAGGAGCAAGCCAAGGAGCAAGAAGCGCAAAATAGGCAGCTAGAGGCTGACCGCGCCACCCTCAAGGACCAAAACCTCATCCACGAGGCTCTTTCAGCGCGAATAGCGTCGTTGCAAGAGGAGCTGAGCTCAAACGCAGAGGTTACCCGTGGCGACGCAGTGAACGAGAAGAGGGCAGAGCTCAAGCAAAAGGCCAAAGATTTTAGCAGAAGGAAGCGGCAGCTCATGATTGATCTGCTGGGCTTTATGGAGCGTGAGCTCGCGCCGCTGCTCGTGGCGGAAGAAATGGGCGGTCCGGTTGTCGGTGACTTGATGGATGTCGATGCTCGCGACCTTGCGGCCGGATTTACTGCGCAAGGTAAACTCAAGAAGACGGGGAAAGCTGATGCTGGCCGTGACAAGAGCCAACGGCGTATCGACGAGATTTGGGGTAATACGGGGGACGACGCGGGCTCTCGGCGCCCAAACGTCGACAACCAGCGAAGACGGCCCCTGAACGATGTGGAAGCGGCAGCGGAGGAGATGCGGTGGCTCACAGAGCAGCTGCTCAACAAAATGACAGAGGCAGGGGGTAATACAGAGGACTCGTACGTGACGATCGGACGCGAGTCCGCTGCCGTTCGGTTCCTGATACGATCCAAAGTGGCGCAGTACCACCCGAGAGATATTTCACGGATCAAACTGATTGACTTTGGAAGAGAGTTGGAAGAGTAAGCGAGAGGGGGGCGCAGGTGGCGGTCGTACTGCTGAATGCACGCATACTATAATAACGTTGAATTTATGACTGAAGATTACAATATTGGCATCTAAAATCTTCGAGGTAGACCCAATGGCCTACCAACTCAGCCCCAGAGCGATGGTTGCAGGAGAGCTAGCCTCCCTTTATTTTCTTTATCAATAACATTCCCTTGATTAGACGAAGGAAACGGGCAAGAAATTGAGCCGTGAGCTGCTACTATTTCCATTGATTTTTTTAGTTATCGAAGATGCACGGGGGGATGAGAAGTGGCGCAGCTGGCCAGGGCGCTGGTACTGTGCGTCACTCCTTTACCTAGGTACCTTGTGCATAAGACACAATACAGCCCGCATCGTACTGCTGGCAATTAACTTATTGGATCAAAGTCCAATAAAACTGCCGGCTTCATTCAACGTAGCCAGGTCACAATGAAGCCTATTTCAGTGATTTTGGGGAGGATGATATCCGCCTACCCGTGTAACTACGCAGCTGTACCTCTCTCTGGAACTGAGTGTGTGAGCAGAATTGCGCTATTTATAATGCCCGCCCGGCCTGCGGCAAACTAATGACATGAATAAATAATAAGGCAATCAATTTCACAACAAACTGCATCCAGCCGCTGACAGTGCATGGTATACAATGACCATGCAGCGGTGCAGCCACTAATAATAGTTGCTTATAACGGGCGTGGTCAGCAGACTCCGCACTGATCAGCCTACCTCCAGGCCGACGATTCCGTCCTGTTCTTTTATTACCTTTCATTATCAAGGCTGGCTAGCTACCAGACAGAGGCTTCTCTCTCCAGGTCGATTCTCTGGTCGCCTTTTTGCCACTTGACTGCTTTCCGTCGGCCGGCTGCAGTGGGCGGCTTTTCCATCACGTCCCAGCAGTGTATTTGTACAAGACCGAACCAGAATGGTGCGAATGCCGCAGTTTAGGCAGGCGGCTGCCCTCGCCGCCATCGCAACATTGGGCAGCACCGTCGCCGCCCGCGCAAGCCCTCACGGCAGCGACGCGCATCGCGACGACACGCCCGCCATCGCGCAGTTCTGCATCGACGGCTCGGCGGCCCACGGTCCTCGGTTCTGCATGGCCGCCAAGATGTACCACAACCACTCGACGTCGGCGCACGACATGCTCGTCACCGTCGAGGTGAGCCGGCCCGCCGACGAGACGCTCGCCAGCGCCGGCTGGCTCGCCATCGGGTCCGGCGCCGTCATGTCCGGGTCGCTCATGTTTGTCGTCTACGGCGATCCCCTCACGCAGCGCGGCCCGTTTGTGAGCGCCCGCGGCGTCCAGCTCGGCCACGGCCACGCCCAGCCAGACGTGCTCTCGCGCGACGACCCGAGCCAGAACCACGGCGTGCTCGTGCAGCAACTCGGCGCCGGCGCGTGGAGGGCCGGCGAGAACGGCACGCATATCGGCGTGGTGCGGTTTGCCTGCTATGGCTGCACCGCCTGGCAGGGCCATGCCGTCGACCCCGAGGAGACCTCGCAGCCAATGATCTGGGGCTTCAACGAGGACGAGGACATGGCCCCCTACGCGTGGGAGCAGCCGCTGCGCAAGCACGTCGGCATTAACGGCTGGGGCAACTTTTATGCCAATCTTCGCGCCGCCTCGACCCATCATGCCACCGGCCCGCCGGCCGTCATCCAGGGCCATGACAGAATCAACGCGGCTGCCACGCACATTCTCGTAAAGAAGCCTTCCTTTTTTCAGAAGCTCGGAGAGCGTCCCGCCGCCTACGCCCACGGCTTTGTCATGCTCATCGCCTTTCTTGCTCTCTTCCCGCTCGGCGTGGTCGGCATCCGCTCTGGTCTTGCCAAAGCTTTCAAGTACCATTGGATGATGCAGGCTTCCGCCATGTGCTTTGCCACTGTTGGCGCCGCGCTCGGCATATACATGAGCCGTGAGAACCTCTTCGGCTCCGTGCACCAGCGGATTGGCCTGGCCGTCTTTGCGCTTCTATTCGCGCAGGCGGCGTCGGGGTGGTGGCACCACGTGCGGTTCGTCAAGATTCGACGCCGCACCTGGGTGTCATACGCCCACATGTCGCTCGGCTGGGGCATCCTGGTCGGCGGCTGGGCAAACGCTGTGACAGGCTCGATGCTTTTCGGTCTGGGAAGACTGGGACTGTTCCTGCTGGTAGTGCTCATTGCGACCGAGCTCATGGCACTAGGGGTTTTTGTCTATATTGCCAAAAGAAAGTCCCAGCAGGAGCAGGCCAAGTCCAGGGCTAATGCTACAGACTGGCGAGATGCGGACAACGAAGAGTACTTTGCGTTGGACGACGCAGAAAGTGATGAGGATGCAGATGATGAATCGGGTAGAAAATCCGACGAAAAGCTACGACCAGCCAAGTATCATAAATGATTATCATGTACCGGTTAGGACTAATAATGCTGCCTGTCATTCATACAAGTTGCAACGAATAATAATAATCACCCCGCATATCCCACTCACTTCTCCACAGCCCAAGCAACCTGTTCAACATATAAAACGCGGATCCACACTGCTGGAATCAGGCACAGTCAATAAAACCACTTTACGCCAAATGCTGCGCGTCCCGACCCGCGTCACGCGTCGCCTCTTATCAGGGCCCTGCCGCCGCGCCACCACCACCCTCACCACCGCCTTGCTCACCCACCCTTCTTTTCCCGCCACAATGTCCTCATCAGCCGCGGAAGCACCTACGCCCAGCATTTCCTCTCCGCCCGCCAAGCGCGTCAAAACCACCACCGACGAAGCCGCCTCCACCATGTCTGCCGAGCAGATCCCCTCGCTGCAGGTCAAGAAGCTCTCGCCCGCCGGCCGCATCCCCACGCGGGGCAGCGCCTTTGCCGCCGGCTACGACGTGTACGCCGCCAGAGACACGACGGTGCCTGCGCGCGGCAAGGTGCTCGTCGACACCGACATTAGCATCGCCGTCCCTGCCGGTACCTGTACGCGACCCCCCCCCCCCCCCCCCCCGCCTATCAATCGCAAAAGGCAACTGTTTTCGCTAATGACCATTAAGACGGCCGCATCGCGCCCCGCTCCGGCCTGGCGTCCAAGCACTTCATCGACACCGGCGCTGGCGTGATTGATGCCGACTACCGCGGTCAGGTCAAGGTGCTGCTGTTCAACCACGCCGAGGCCGACTATGCTGTCAAGGAGGGCGACCGCATCGCGCAGCTCGTTCTGGAGCGCATCGTGACGCCAGAGGTCGTCGAGGTCGAGGAGCTTGAAGAGAGTGTCCGCGGCGCCGGTGGCTTTGGCAGCACCGGCTACAACAAAGAAAAACAATAGAAGCATACAAAAGATGGGGGAATTGATTTGGGAATGTTTCAGTGGAAGGCGGGGTCTCATGTCACCGGGCAGACGGGCAAAACGCAAGACCAAGGAACAGAGAAGTTGGCATCTGCACGAGACAAGATTAAATGACATTAAAATCACGGATCACATTATAGAAAAAGTCAACAGATGACACAAGCCACTAAATATAAACCCCGTGTATAGGTTTTAGCATCCCTAATCTATCCGCACAGTGTATCGTTCATTTCTAATCTTGATAGACTCCTAACAGAGCAGCGACTTCTTTCTAAAATGGAACAACTTCAATCCTCTTTTGCGGCAGACGGAGACAGTCCAGGTTGCGCACGAGCTGCAGCTCCGCCGCCTTCTTCCCTGCCAGCATTTTTTGCTTGTCGCCTTGGCGCTCGTCTTGCGTCATGGCGGCGAGGGTGCGGTCGACCACGCCCTGCATGGCGTCCTTGGTGTGGGTGAGGACCTCGTGCATGCTCGCGAGCACCTTTTCCGTCGCGCGGGCCAGTGGCAGGTCCACGGCCGCGACGGCATCACCACTTACCCAGCTAGCGCAGCCCATGACGCTGGCGGCGGCGGCGGCGGCCTCGCGCATGCGCACCGTAACGAGCGCGCCAAACATGTCCCCTGTGCCGCAGAAATAGCAGTCGATGCTGGGAAAGACGGTCTTGAAGAGTCGGGCCTGGCCGGTGGACGTCATGGTGGACCCGACCACGCAAAGATGTCCGGCGGGGATGTCGGGCGAGGAAATGTTGACCGAGGTGATGATGACATGGGGGACACGGTGGTTCTTGTGGAAAGCATGGATGGCGGCGGCCAGGCTCTTCATGTCTGTAATCTTCACCCCGGAGAGGAGTCTACAAAGCAGCGGGGGGTCAGCGACGAACAAGAGGAGAAGCTTTTGGAGACGAGGAACGCATACTCGGCCTCGAACTGGTTGGGTATAATCAGGTCGGCGTAGGCAAGAAGCGACTTGTACGCGGGGACGACGTCAGCGGCAACGTAGAGGTTGCCGTTGTCGCCCATGACCGGGTCCAGCACCCAGAAGAAGTGGCCGGGCTGCTGCTCGTTGGCAGCCTTGAGCTCCTTGGCAATCTCACCGACGGCGAGGACGCCCTCGGCGCCGGGGATGTAGCCGGACAGCATCATGTCAAAGTCGTTGATGTAGTTGTCCTTGAGGCCACGGTAGAGATCGCTAATCTCCTGCGCCGTGGCTTTTGTGCCCGTCCAGTGCCTGTAGCCGGTGTGATTGCCTACACTTGTTAGTCTTTTTTGCCTTTTTTTTTTTGGCGTGTTGCGATGGCGGGAAAGGAAGGCATACTGAACTGCACGGTGTTGAGAGCAGCAGTGTCGCAGCCGAGCGACTGCAGCACAAATACGGCGACCTTGTTGCCAACATAGCTGCCGATGATCGGTAAGTATCCGGAAATTTATACAGCCACTGAGTTTTTGCTCAAAAAAACATACCCCGAGACGACCTTTTTTTCCCCTCCTTTGATTAGCATATATTCCAGCTCAGTGCATCTCATACAGTACTCACATGGCTAGCGACGGCCAGAACCCGTGTAGGTGGCACAATCGGAGCAGCGGACATTGTAATAGCTAAGGGCACCAGCAGCGAAATCTTGCAAGGTTGGTGGTATCCTCGGCGGTTCCTGCAACTGCGCAAAAGACAGTACAGGAAGAAAAAGGAGAGGAAGAAAATACACGTCCTCTAGTTCGAGCCACACAGTGCTTCACCAAATGACTTGGAGGAACGAGACCCGCGGAAAATACGGCTGCGAGGTTATGTCGGTGCGACCCCCCCTCCAAATCTGCCCGCTATGTCTCTGGTTGGAGCAAGGTCCTGCACTCCGGCCTATAAGCCAAACGAGTTTGTGGCTTGCGGAAAGAGACCGAGGCAGAGACGAATCAAGCGCTGACCAGATCGCTGCGACTTGTGCTTGCTTGAAATGGCGGCTTCTCGAACGGAAAAATTAAACTCGCGCCGACTCGGATGCGGGCACCGGACTGACAAGTCAGTGGCCGTGACGAATTGCGGGCAGTCATCAAGTTACCTAAGTAACCTTTGCACCTGTAAGCTTGACCGGACATTTGCCCCACATGAGACGGAGTTGTTTTGGCACCTGGAGCGAAATGTGTACTATCACGGACAGCACCAATTCATAGCGAAGTAGAGTTCCAACCAAACATGCGCCATCTGTCAACGCACTGTGCCGTTCGTAGTACAAAAGTCATTCATTATCGTGAGCCTTCATCGAGACCACGGTGCGACCGCTCTCCTCCTGCCAAATAGCAACAAGATCTAGTAAATTACCTAGACCGTACCCGCTTGTCTGAGCTTATGCCTCCAAATCTGTGGTTCTCTGTATATGGTGCTCATTTTCTCGAAAATCCTGCTCTGGCCACTCTTCGCGTCTAGCCAGTATGTGCATTGTCATGAGCCATAGTTCCTCGACTCGCACCTCACCATGATACCGTACCCAACGCCTAGATCGTAACGCCGTTTCACATTTGTATTTGTGTTCCATCCCTGACAGTGATACTACCACATTCACGTCTTATTTTACTCTTCGTCACCAATCTGCACGTCCATGTATTAGCATACGTGAGGTTGTTCATTAGAGGCGGCTCAATCATACCTTGGGAGCCAGGTAGAAGCGAAGGTAGCTGCTGCCTGACAAGTTGTACTCGACAAGCAGCGGCACCTCGCTCGACAGGCAAATCTTGACCTGGCCAGACAGGCCCGCGGCCTTGCAGAAGTTGACAAGGTATTTGAGAGAAAAGGTGAGGGAGACGGGTTCCGTCAGCTCAATGTCGACGTTCTGGTCGGGCTTCTCGACATTGGTGTGGCTGCGCAGCGTGACGGAGCCATTGCCAATATCGCCGTTGCAGAAAAATTTGATGCCGTCCTTGGTGGCCTCGATGCCGACCGACTCGGACATGGCCGACAAGTCAGTGCAGATACGGCGGAATTCGGCCGAGGGCATCGTGATGGTGGCAGCGTACTCAGTCTCGGGAATGCCTAGGTGCTCCTGGTCAATATCCATGAGCTTGAGGTCGTACTCGCTGATGCGGTCGTTCTCGCTGCTCTCAAAGACAATATTGAGCACGTCGGGTGCATCCTCGGCCTTGAGCGTTAGAATATCCTCATTTTGTGCCGCCCGCAGAACCTTGGTCAACGACGTCAGGTTCACACCGAGCGCAATATTGCGGTCGCATCGGAACGGGGAGAAGCCCTCGGCCTTGAGCATCATCGACACCAGCGCCACGTGCGAGTTGTCCATGGCCTGCAGCGCGATGCCCGAGTCATTGCAGTCAAAGTTGCAGTCCTGGACGAGGTCCTTGATGGCGTCGACGACCTAAATGCGCGCGTGCGGGGGTTAGCATGTCGAGAGACGTCGGTAGTGGCAGTCGGGCCAAGAATCCACGTCGTAAAAGGAACACAATTACCTTCTTGAGGATGCTAGCTTGTTCGAGTCGTGCCTCCAACATTTCTAAGACGTTCCTATGTCAGTATGCAACATGCTCGGCTCGGCTGGTGTGGTTGCCGCCCTTCACGCGTCTTGGTGCAGGAGGGTGGTGGAGGGGTCGACTAACTGATTGTCTTGAACGAAAGTGCGCGGGTATATGAAGAGGAATCAGATAATTCCAAAGATGCAGCAGGTGTGCAGAACGAGGAGCAGGTTGGGAAGAAATGGTGAATGGGTAATGCGAGAGGAAGAGAAAGGGTGTGCCCAAAGTGCCCTGCGCTCAAGCAAGCACTTAACACGCGGGAGAGCTCTGGTGGATAACGAAGACGCGTCGCAGCGGGGTCCTGCCTTGCCTGCCTACCGATACCGACGACGCCAATTTGACGCGCCGCGGGGCAGCAGATTGAAGGTGGTGTGGCCTTATGTCTTACATGTTTTAAACTTCCAAAATTACTCTTAATGTAGAGGCATAACTCTTTATAAAAAAAATATAATACTTAATTTTATTTATATGTAGTGTACCTTAGTGCCTGCCATTGCCATAGTTAGCACCACCTCTATGCAAGAAACAATGAATCTAGCGTCTGAATAGCCTCCGGATATCCTGTCTGGCTTGCCCGGATTTTAGTTACTGTTGGTACATCTACCGAGCCGACCAATCGCTGCTACGTCGTCGAGCCAACAATTGGAATATATATTCAAGCGGTAAAAGAAGGAAAATTGAAGCCAAATTGCGCCATGAAACCTAGCAGCTTGATGCTGCCACAACAGATTTCTTCTAATATACGTTAGATGAACCAAGAACCAACCACCCTATCGCCGCAAATACAAAAAAAATACCAACAAAGTATGTGTCAGTTGAAGGTAGGTCAAATATGTGAAGTGAAGGTTAAAACGAAAAAAAAAAAGTCACCGGCCTACATCGAAACAACACGATTCGATGTGTGTTCGGCCGGAGTGCTGAGACGGTTCTTCGGACGAAGGTTGATGACAGTCTCGAGTTCGCGCAGCATGCCTCGTGTGGCATCTATTTGCTGCCGGGCCTGTGCCTTTTGCTCTCGGTCTTCCTTCATCTTTACCAGGCGTTCTTCTCTAGTAAGCATGCTCCGGGGTCTGGGAATGGCCACTGCTTCAAAGACCTCGGGGTCTACTCTAGGAGAGTCCTTTTCCGAGCGCGTGGGGGATTCGCCTGTCAGCGCTTTGAAGGCGTCTGCGGCGTTGCCGTCTTCAGCAGCTGTCATGCCACTCATGGAGCTGCGCGGTGACATGAGAGTACTCATAGATGACAGCCGTTTTTCGTTCCTATCGATACCGACCGCCAGTGCGTTCTTGCCCTCTTCCCATGCCGCCATCAATTCTTTCAGGTCGAAACCGATCGAATCGTATTGGGCCATGAGGTTGGGCCCAATCTCCGAAATGTCATTCGAGTCATCGAGAGCTCTATCGGATTCCTCTCGCAGCAGGTGTAGCTTGGCCTGCAAGCCGCGGATACCAGTGGATAAAGATCCGAGTTTTCGTAGTTGTGCGCGCCAGCGTTCTCGACCCGGCGTCAGGGGAATTTTTGGGGTTGGGGGAATGGGAAATGCTTCACAAGGTTAGAAATAAGCATGGCCACTAATGTGTGGATGAACTCACACTGCTCTTCGCCAAGAATGTCTTGGATTTTTTTACACGCGGCTTTTGTCGCCTTGTTCAATACCTGCAATGCCTCTACTGCCGCAGTCCAGCGCAGCAAGTCATTGCTCTCTCCGCTGGCGTCTAGAGCCAGCATGGCACAAAGTAGCATCTTTCGCTCAGTATATAATCGGGCAGCTAAGATCTTCAATGTGCGTAAAGACTCTGCGTCTTCAAATTCATTCTCGATGTAGCCTTGGCGGGCATCTTGAATATCAAAGTCGCTAATGTCGTACATGTCGTAGTATTTCTCCAATTCGGTCTGTTCAGAGAACCCTTGGATCAGCGTGGCTACACTGTCGTATTGTTGAAACACCTCGGCCATGCCCGTCCTCAAGGCCTTTCGCAGGCGAAGGCACTTTCGATTTTGCGATCGGTCTTCGATGCGGCTAACTGGTGGAAGCGGCGCGCTACTGCTTAAGCTGTCAGTTTCTTCTTTGGCAATTGCTAGGGAGCGTATCGTACATTCTATACCCTCGCGAGACCAGCTCGACTTCTTGGACCAATGCCAGAGTAGCCTCAACAACACTGTCAAACTCGTGCGAGTTGATAATGAACCCACTCAACTCGGACAAGGACTGCTCTCTTCGGTACTGGAGCCACTGCCGTCGAACATAGACCTGCCCAAGCGCTCCAGATGCAGCGAGCAAGGCCACCAAAAGAACGAGACGCTTTTTAGTGACATAAGAGTCCTTCTTATGCCCAAAGATCCAGCTTAGTACCACAGCAATAGCCAAGGCACCCAGTATAGACGCGATAATTCCTTCGTTTGACAGGAGCGATTGGTTACTTTCAATTGCTGGGCCCAGTGCTTCTGCCCCGGCGTGCCGGCGAGCTGCAACTGTATGCCCGCTCAGCAGCTGCGACGCTATTATCATGTATCGAAATTGCTCCAGGAATTTTTCGTTATCGGCTCTATCCATGCTGGCTGCGACTGCGGCCTGAAACCCGAGGTTAGAGTGGCAGTCGGGGAAGGGGAAGTTGGAAGCCATACCGAGTAGTTCCTTCGCAGGGCTCGTAGAGGCGTGAAAGCTGTGTCGCTGGTTTGCAACGGAGTGGGTGCTCTGTTTCTGAATCGTTGCCTCACGAGAGGTCTCCCGGTGGGCGCAAACCGCGATGGACTTGCAGGTGGCGAGATGTCGGATCGGGTCGAAGCCGGTCGCTCGGGCTGGCTGTCGGCCTCAGCCCAGCCCTCGTGAGACTCGTCATCCTCGTCTATGATGTAAAGTTAGCCGGGCGAAAACTATGGGATCAGTCGCAAGCGGCGAAACGGGCCGCGGAGCAAGCGGTTTGTACTGACCATTGAGATAGTCGGCCAGGGGCGACTGTTGATAGACAACAGGATCCATCGCAAAGTCGCTTTGTTGCTAGGGAAAGAAAGGGACAGAAGAAATACGGCGCAGTGTTAAACGCCCTCGGCAACCATTGAAATATGAGTGAATAGCAATTCGACAAAGGGAATGTTGGCGTGGGTTGGATGTCGCGACCGCACTGGTACTTGACGGGCCCGGGAGCGCAGTGGTTAGTGCCAATGTCGAAGCAGCTTTAGGTGCTATCTACCATGGTCGCAATCACGAGACGGGACTTTGGGTTAGCGATGGCATATGCAAGCAAACTTGGGGAGACCAAAGGCAGTGACCAGCCCACAAACACGCGATCAAGTCCCTGAGAGCAGCGATCGCTGCAAGACGAGGTTGCTTGTTTGTTTGTAACACCTGGTCTGACGGTTGTGGCACATGTCTGGGGGGGTCGGTCGTGCAATTTCCGAGGAGCTGGCAGGGCAATGCACCACTAACTAATAAACAGGGCACTGGGTTGTGCGATTGTATCAAGCTGGATACATATGTACGTGCGCACAGGTTATCACAGGCAAAGTCAAAGGGTTTCATGGCGTATTTATTACGGCAAGAAGAAACATTTCTACTTATTTTCCATCAATCGCGACCAAAGTTATGGCCCGTCTCTTCCTTTCCCTGACCGCACTGCCATAGTACCTAGTAGATACTAAGGTACCTATCCACTTAAATGGCCAAATCCGTTTCTGGTGAGGAACCCGAGCTGGCGCTGCTTTATGCCCAGATACTAAGTTTTTTTCCTAGGTAGGTAGTTACAATACGTTTTATTAGCATATAGAGTAGAGAGACTACTGGTATACTATTCTACCCTATATTAGCTAAAATTACCCTTATAAAATCTATATAATTCTATAGTTATTATGATTAAATTACTACCTTCCTTTAGTAACCATATTATATTTAAAGTCAATAGTCATAAGAAAGGACCTTTAAAAGTAATATATATATTCCTTTTTACTAAATATAGCTGCTGTAAGGTAGCAACTCTAGGGTAGCTAGTTTTAAAACTGCCACTGCGCTAATAATCTCTACCGAGAGTTAGACACCTGCAGAGCACTTTCCCTCTCAAGAACCCCCTCGTTCACTTTGTGGCGGTCTTGCGTGCCCTTCCTCTTCTGACAACATCTTGGCACTGCCAGGACCGAGAGATTCTTGTATGCCACCGCGTTCACCTCGAAATCAAGCCAGTGATTAGCGTATTCACCGCCATCGTTTTCTGTCTCTAGAATGTTGATCTGTAACACTTCCGGATCAGTGTCCTCGGTCGGCACGAGATAGTCAAAGGTAACGCCATAGTAGTCAATGCGACTGAGACGTATTAGTTAGTATTTCAAGACGCAACTGTTTCTCAGGGGCCACCAGGGAGGGTTTTGGCTACCATAATGGCTCTTCCACGACCCAGCCGAGGTATTCATCCCTCACGACTAGAGTAGGAACAGTTGCTTTGTCGGGATAGAGTGCCCAGTAGGTCAAAGCCGCGAGTTTCTGGCGGAACGCCAAACGTGTGGGGTTGGTGTCCCAGCGAGAGTCCGGCAAAAGTCTCTCAATGGCTGTTATTGGGCCCTCAATCTGTATCCTGAGCGGCTGTCCCGGTGGTGGGGAGTGATGATGGTGGACCGGATTCCGCACACAGGGTGGGATATGTAGCTTCAGTGCCCATCGTGCAACCAACAGTGCCAGAGGAACGCTTGTTTAGTGCAAATGCTTGACGGTTGTGCCCGGAAAAAATGATGCAATCTGGAGCAGAAAACGGAGTGAGTATACTTCATGGAGATAGATGAAGGATCAGGAGCAGGGCTTCAGTATTGTGAGCAGTCTGAAGTATCGTCTGTGCAACCGCAGCCGGTCCCCAGCCACCGCACACCAATCCGGTTGGTGCCACAGATTCCACACGTGAACATCAGACCCCAAGCACAGACGAGGAGCTTGTTTGTGCATCATACATCATCCAGAGCACGTCTCTGTTAGGATGAGGGCGGAGTGACGTATGCTGTAGCGCCGCAGTTTAGTAAACGTTCTGCCGGTTCGCTAAGTCGGGATACAGGAGCCTTGCTTTGTGCAGCTGCACGATCAGTTCTTGTTGCCTTCACATTGTCACAGGAATAATTAACGGTGTAAACAGTGCACATCGTAGGCAGCATCAGTAAAATCTCAGATGAATTCGTTGATACAACTTCACACTACCTTGAGTGTGGGAGTTGAGACCAAACGGTATAACGAGACAATCACTTCCCAACTCCTAGCACAGCCTACTTATGCCACGCCCACAAAACCAGACCACGTCCACCATTGGCTAATAAAGGAATTCCTTCAATGCCTCGTTCAGCGACTTGCTCTCTCGCAATGGCACTGCGCTGCCTCTCGCCGCCAGCCCGACATGGTTGTGCCAAACTACCTTCATGCCCGCATCCGTCGCGCCTTGCACATCGCCTGCGCTCCCCGCCACAAACAGTGCCTCGCTGGCGCTGACCCCCATGGCGTCTAGAATCGCATCATACGCCTGCTTGACGGGTTTGTAGAAGCCGCTTTCCTCGGCCGTCATGACGGCATCAAAGGCAAGCTGCTCGCCACTTTCCGACGTGGCCGCTCGAACTGCCGCCATGTTGCCGAGTGTCTTGGAACAGTTTGTGACGACGCCGAGCTTATACCCTCGCATCTTGAGCTGCTGTAGTACGTGAAAGGTCTCTGGCCACGCTTGAAGGCTGGACCAGTTGCCTAGCAAGGCCTCGGGTGCCGAAGACGCCACCCCGGCCTCAGTGGCAGCTTGCTTGATGAGGCTGGCATATGGGGTATATGCTCCTTGGCGAAAAGTGATTTCGAGATATCGTGCGCGCCACCGACGGCCCTCCTCTTCTGTGCCTGATGGTGTCGATGCGTCCCATAGAGTCCACGAGTCCAGAAGAGCCGTCAAGAGGTCAAATATGACCACCTTGGGACGCCAGTCGGCGTCGCTAGCATTGCCAGATGTAGATGTCATGGCCTGTCCGTGCGTGTGTTGTAATAGATGAATGAAAAAACGAGCTGGCACAAGATAGCAAAGTTAGCAGCGCTCAGGAGCCCGACCAAGTTATATACTTGGGCAGCTGGCGTCGGAAACAGGATCGGCCATTAATTTGTCCCGAGAAACTTTCAACGTCTGCTTCTCTAACGTGCACCTGACTGTTTCCGCGTGTGTCATCACCAGTGAACATGATCCATCATATCTCCACCACATGGACGCCTCATCGTTCTCGCGCACTCCATTGGGCATAGCGTCATTTTTTGGTTCTGACATAGGTGTAAGTCAACCATAACATTTCGGAACTCATCGGCGTCTTGATGATGAACTGCGCCTACTCATTTCGTCTATTTATATCTAGGGGTGGTATTCTCAACCCCAACTTGGCGACGCACGTTGAGCTTCCTTACCCAAAACTCGCAACATGTCCATCCCGCAAAGACTCAACCCAAGCTTGGAGAGCCTGCGCCAGTTTTATCTTGGCAAGCACATTCACGATGTGCCCAAGCCTGCTTTGATACTAGATCAGGCGCGAATGCGCCGTCACTGCCAGTCGCTGGTGGCGGCGACTGAAGCTCTGGGTGTCGACTTTCGGGCGCATGTCAAAACACACAAGGTAAGTGAGAAAAGGAACAAGGCTGTTGGCCGAGCTTTCATTGACATCTGGCGATAGACTGTCGAGGGTACCAGACTGCAGGTTGGGCAAGCCAAGAAAGTGAAGCTCGTCGCCTCAACAATTGCCGAGATTGAACATCTGCTTCCCCTCCTTGCAGAATATCAACAGCAAGGACGGGACGTCAACGTCTTGTACGGCATTCCTCTGCCCCGGTCCCAAGTCAGTCGCTTGGCTGCGGTCGGTCGCAAGCTTGGAGCCAAGAGTCTCGCCGTCTTGGTGGATGATGCCGACCAGCTCAAACATTTGTCTCAATTTCATGACGAGGCCAAGTTCCCTGCTGCCGTCTACGTCAAGGTCGATACTGGCTATCACAGAGCTGGCCTCCCTCCCTGGGGTATCAATAAGGACAGTCTTCTCTCAGATCTAGTTGCTCTAGATATAAGCGGCATCGTCGACTTTGTCGGTCTGTACTCTCATAGTAGTCTCAGCTACAATGACTCGACTCCCGCACAGGCCATGGCGAATCTTGAGGGGGAGATCACTGGTTGCCTGGACGCTCTGGCTAAAAACCACGAATTGTTTCCGACAAACAAGGCTTTTGTCATAAGCGTTGGCGCTTCTCCTCAGGTATCGTCTGTTGAAAATCTCGTCGCAGAGGACAGCAAATTGTCAACAGCGACGCAATCACTCCGCGCAACGATGCAAACTGTGTCGGACAGCAGACCTCATGGTATTGCGACCAGCCTGGAGCTGCATGCTGGCGTGTATTCGATCCTCGATATGCAACAGATGGCGACTAACAGCAGGGGTAAAATTGGAGGCCCGGAAGATGAGATTGCCGTTTCCGTCATCTCCGAAGTGTGCAGCGTGTACAACAATGGGGAGAGGGAACAACCAGAGGCACTCGTTTCCGCCGGAGTCCTGGCTCTTGGGAGGGAACCATGCGCATCATATAAAGGATGGGGAGTAGTAGACGCCTCAAGCTTCTCACCGGACGTCATTGCTGATAGGCGACTCATTGTTAGCCGAATTAGCCAAGAGCATTGCATCGTGGCATGGGATAGTGCTTCCACGGCTGAAGAAGGTACCCCCCTGCCTCTAACGGTTGGCCAGAGTATTCGAATCTACCCTAACCACGCCTGCATCACAGGTGCGATGCATGGGTGGTACTTGGTGGTAGACTCGGACATGTCTGGTATGGAAACGCAAATCATTGACGTATGGTGCAGAACCAGTGGATGGTAATTGAAGGTTAGCAATTCAGATAGAAATACAACGGGAGTAAAGAATCCCAGCTTTCCTGCACCTGCTGTACACTACCAAGGACGAAAGGGCCTGACTTTGGTATGAACTAAACTTGCCTGATCCGCCGCCATCTTCAATTGTCTGAAAAAGGCCAAAGGTATCGCGTCCTTGACTACGTTCGTCATTAATCAGGCGAATAATACTCATCGTCTGACACACCGGAAAGCCACCCTCCTCAAAACTGCTTCCGTCCAGACAGCTCTGTAACCATTCCTCACACCACAGTCCTATGGCAGGGTCGTGAGAGCGGAGCAGGCAAGCGAGCAATACGCCCGTGATGCCAATCGTGTACATATTGAAATGAACACAATTATTCCAGTCCATGCCGGCAATGACACGCAGTAGCAGTTGAATCCACGAGTCCACTTCTTTGTACGACTCGCGTATCTCCCCCGGGCTTTGGACGCGCAAGCTATCCAGTGGGCCCGATTGTTGGAGCACTCGCAAGGCGATGTAGTAGGAAAAGGTCATGGCTTCATCGTGAGATGAGGTGTGCAGCGGAAGCACCTCTAGTGGCGCCGCAGCGCTATGCAAATTGGCTTCCGAGTTTCTTATTGCGCTGGGCAAAGCATGGATTTGTGACCAGGCATCAAGTCTGTCTCTCTCGCCTCCCATTAGCTGGTCGAGTGAGTCAATTTTTTGTAGAATCTTTTCTTTGTTCTGGTCTTCCACAGAACAGTTTCGGCCTTCGTCACCGTAAAGGTCCCAGTGTGCGATGATGGCCGCATTATGAATGCGATGTGACTCGCACAGCATCAAAAGAATAGACGTGCGCCGGGACTCCGCTCTGGCCAACAAGTCTGGGAATGAGAGATCGAATAGCACTGCTGGTCGATTCCTGTGAAACTCGGCAGTACCAAAGTACACCCTGCGCCACCACATTTGCATCCGAACCTCGATGAGAGCCTTCACAAGATCGGCCGCCTGGCCATGTTTAGCGAGGGTTCTTGCAGCATAGTTTCGAATCAATTGAGCCGCGCCGTCGTAGTGCAGTTCAAAGGTTGGAAATGATCCCATCGACGACTCGATGAAACAGAACAGTGTAATCAAAGCCAAGCCAAGGAGAGGATGGCTGCCAAAGTCTTGAGCGCTCCATCGTGTCATCTTCCTCATCACAGATCCATAGAATTCTCCACTGAGAGACTCATGTCCTGGATTCGGTCGGAAGTTTTGTGCGCCTGTGCTTGAGCCCATGGGCAGTCTTCGTTGCGGCGATGTCCGGCTGAGATGACTTGCAGACAGCGCCACCATCATGTCCGCAAATAGAGGGGACGACCTCAAAGAAAATACGTTGCCTGTACATAATACCGAAGGTGGAACAAGATATTTCCAGTCCCACGCCGCCAAGTAAAATCTAGCGGCATCTACAGGATTGGTCCTCGGCATAAGGCTTTGCGGTATCGTCAAAGCTGAACGCCTCAATGCAACCAGACCGGCCTGAGCATCGACGAATGTTCTGCCTGCAGTCTCTGCTGATAGATTGGCTCCATCCTCTGGGATTCGGTTTGCCGTGGGCAGTTCCAAATCTAATGCTCCTCGGGTCTTCTCACAGTTCTTGGTTGGCTTTGGTCGGACACTAGGCTGGTACACTTGACAAAACTTGAATGCGGTGTCCTGTTTGCACTCGCCGCCTAATCGCTGACATCGTCCACATATAGGCTTTAAATTATCGCACTAGGAGAAAGCGTCAGAGTACTTTTCAAATTGACAAAAACACGCATCCTACCTTTACTCGCCGGTCTCTGCAGCCCAAGCAGCCCGTTCGTGTGCGGGTTATATTGGTCTTCTTTGGTCGAGGCTTAGTAGGCTTGTACATATTTTCGACTCAGCGCTTATGAGTCTTTGACTCGTTCCATTCTTTCATAGTATAAGCACAATGTCTGCTCCGGGTAAGGGTTCGTTCTTTGGTAAGTATGATTGATGTTTGCAGTGCTGAGAGTTCCACAGCCAACCTATATTCCGGCGACGAACCCGCGACCGAAGCAGCGCCAAAAAATATGAACTGAAGAAAAAGGGTTGACCAGAATTATTCCATTCTGGTCTTCTTCCATACTATTTGGCCAATGCATTTCCCCTTAGATCACGTTGTTCTGAGTTGAACAGTTGAAGTCCATCACACGGCCGGATAAACTATTCACCACGTATCTACCTGTCGGGCCCACTGCTACTGCGACGGGCAGCAGCTGGCTTCCTGAACCTCCATGACTGTTTCGTCGATCGACCTAATTAATTGGCACCAATTCGATCACCGTAATCGACCAACGATAGATATGGAGCTGCTTTCGAAATAGCTCAGCTCAATGGCCGCACGATACCAGGCGCCATGCCAGCGCGCTACCCGTCTTGCGCCGAGCCCTCACATTCTGATCACCGACGAGATGTTTCGCAATGCGATTGAGCGACACTCACAACGCATTATGTCTCAACGTCGACGGATAATGACACATAGAGGACCGCTAGAAGGCAGACGGCGACTCGGGAAGCGAACTCTTACTGGCGCCATGCATCCTCATACACACCCTGTACCCGCTTGGCACATCGAAGTTCTCTCAAACGCGACATTGCAATGGTATGCGCCGACGACCCCCGAGGAACGCCAGCTCCGAGCACACCAACTTTCAATACCCAACCTATGGGGCAAGTTCCTCAAGTGGCTGGAGATGTCAGACGCCGACGAACCATTCATCCTCCCTCCGAGAGACATCGATGAATACCCCGATTTCTCGACGACGACACGGAACCTGCGACTCAGCATATCCTCTCTTAACGCTAGTGATGCGAGCACCGCGCTGGAGCTTTGTCAATCCTTTTGTGCCACTGTACAAGAGGGGATCCTAATCGGACAGATAACCACGGAGGACATGCTGGTCGCCTTGGACCCTTTCGATTCAGCCTCGCGCCAGGTTATCTCAGATATGCGCATCGGTGGCAAGATATTTTCAACGATCCGGTCATCCATCGCCGAAGCGTTGGAAGCGACACAAATCAGTAGACCTGATGCTGTACCGGACGAGATGTGGGGAGCCATGTTTAAATTTGTCACCGCCATCCACGGCCGCTTCCACGACGTGAGTTGCTTCAACAAGTTGCTTACCGCTATGCCGGAATCTGCCAGAGCAAGCGTCTCCGACGATACCCTCTTCATATACATCAAGACATTCATCCAGTCGCAGGCGACACGAGATCATCGCAATCCTGCTTGGCCATGGTGCTGTTCAAAGGTTGGAACTGCCCTTGGTCAGCTTTCTCAGGGTCAACGACATACATTATTTGCGAGAATAAACAAGTTTGTTAGGGACCCCCGAAGCGACACAGACACCAAAATGAAGACTTCATTCGCATGGCTTCTTATACAGGCGTACGATGCAGGCCTGAGTGCCAAATCATACACAGAAATATACAAAAAGAGCTCGGGGCAAAACATGGATCACAGTGGCTATCGGATATGGCAACTGGCAGTCGCTCGCATGTATAGCCATGGAGTTCTCCCAAAAGATTTGCACCGGCACGTCGCTGGTTGGAACTTTCACGATAGTCTGCCACAGCGCTGGACGATTGTTGCAAAGACATTGTTAGAAACGCAGCATCCTGAAGCTGCGATCGCCTCTCTGTGCGATTTCCTTGCCGACCTTGGCGAGACATGGCACCTCGCTGAGGGACTCATCGCATCGCATGCTGAGACGCCGTGCGCTGAGCTACTCCAGACAGTCGCCAATACCTGCGGCAAGTTGGACATTGCTATTGCACTCAACATTGCCGCGAACAAAACCACGCCGGGACATGATCTACTTTGCGTCGGCCCGTCCGGGACCATGGAGCAGCATTTTGACAAGTTCATGGCATATCCCAAGGCAGAATCGTTTGCATGGCGCGCAATCAAAGCCGAGGGCGGCACCGTCGAGTCCAAGATGGATCTGATTGACTTCCTCAGCGACAAGTACCAGTCTAGTCCCGCCCTCAGCAGGAGCCAGAAGCTCCGGCGCGCGCGGCGAACGGCCGCCTACCAGATGGCGCTCGTCGGTACGGTATCTCCCACCGTTTTGCGCAACGCCATTGCGGCCGTGACCTTGGATCTTGAGGAGGGACACTGGGGCCGCGAAACACACCTGCAGTGGGCGACCAAGTTGGTCAACGACAAGGTGAGCCCGCAGGCCGCCAGGGAGATGCAAAAGTGGGTGGAAGGGTGGCGTCATTTGATCAACGATGCTACGAGCCAAATGAACACTGTCAAGGTGTCAGCAACGGAGTTGCAAAGCAACTTGGCGGAACCAAGCTCTGCCAGCGGCTCACGTCTCCGAAGCCCACTGAAAAATAGTTGTGAGCGCGATCATAAGGCAACAACTAGGTTAAATCGCTTCAAGTGATAAATTGCACCAATACAGCAGTTCAATCTCGAGTTGCAAGTTATATGACAATACCAAAAAGGAAGTCACAGTATAATGCTTGACGCTCGAAGCCAATAGACATAATATAGAGTAAAAAATCATGTAAATTTTATTCGTCCAAACCCGAACTAAATGGAAAGCTCATAAATAGCAAACGTAGATAAATAACAATCGTGATACACAAAATGTTCTGTCCCAAACAATCCAAACCCCCAACACCAAAGCCAACCAGAAAGTGGAAACCTCCCGTCCAAAGCTCCCATTCTCCGCAGGACCAAGGCGACAAGGGTGGAAAAGTATGGCCTGTCCAAATATAAAACAAGAGAATCGCAAGCAAAAAAAAAAGACGAAAAAAAAAAACAACAAGAGAAATGTAGAAGCAGAAATATCATGTGTCGCTTCGTAGCAAACATTCTGCATATGTGACCCAGTGAGAAGACATATTGGCCGTCTTCTTCCCACGCAACCACACACCAGACATTCTATTGCCCATGTATATGCAAAGGGCTGCAGGTCATATAATCCTTGTCAGAACCAAAAAAAAAAACATTGAAAAGAAGAGGAAGCCTTGCATCGTTTTCGTGAATGAACAACACCAATATTATACCGTATGTGAAAGTAGAACCCAGATGATTTTTGAAAGGAGAGGTGACTTAGAGATTTCCATGGAGAAGAGGCGCAATGAGATATTCCAGCACTAATTGGGGGAGTTTCAACTGCCAACATCGGGATTTCAAACATCTGGCTGGCTGAGCATGGCATCCGTCGTCACGCTGAGGCGGCTCGGGGCACCAAGAAGCGAGGCTCCGCCGGCCTCGCTCGAAGGCGTCACATGGCGTCTTCCATAGTCGCGCGCAACAAGAACTTGCGCGGGGCAGACTACAATTTCCTCATCGCCGACACCAGCATCATCGCCCTTCTTGACGACCAGAGGAAAGAGGACGACGCGGACAATGGAATTGTCGGCCTCGATCTCCTCGTTGGTCTGCTTAGTCTGCGGGCTCCGCTCGTTCATCATAGACGCATTGAATTGCACCGTTGCTGCCAGCTCACCGTCTGCGTCATATTCAGGCTGCAGGGGCGGGAGCATCATATACTCGGCTCGCTGTGTGCGCATAGCGACGGAGAGGTCGACGGCCTCGCGCATGACACGGCGTAGCTGTGATTGGATTTGGTTCTCCATATTGCTCGGCGGAGGCAAGATCTTGCAGAGGGTCTGGAAGATGGCCTGCACCACAGCTTCGGTGTCGAGTTCGCGTTGTTCCTGGAAGCTGGCACGCTTGGCAAGGAGTGTGAGCGTGACCGCGCGCCACTGGCGGACGGCATTCTGCGGGCCAACTTCTGTCAGAAGCTTCTCCAGAGACTTGAGTTTCTGACGCTGCTCGCGATCCATGCCGAAGAGGTAGCGAGTAAAGATAAACTCCCAAATCATACTCATGGTCATGGACATGAAGATGTCTCGTCGCTTGACTCGGTCATTGAGATAATGGTCGACATCGGAGCCATCTAGGACAGAATTGTCGAGGCGGTCAATGGTCTTTTCGTCATTAATCTCACTCGTCAAACGACAAGCACGCATGTCTGAGAACTTGGAGAATCGTAGGACCCATTGCTGGACGTGGGAGCAGAGCTGCTGACAGCGATTGTCAAAGTAGTCCTCGTCCTGGATATTGAGAAAATCAGAATCACCAGCCTTTGAAGCGAGGATCTGGCGCTGCATCTCGCGAACTTGTTCCTTGGCGGCTTCGAGCTGCTCGCGCAGACTGGCAATCTCGGCATCCTTCTCATCTAGACTTTGCAAGTGACCACCCTCGGGGCCGTCCAGGCTGCGGGTGCCATCGCCATAGGCCGCAAGACCAGTATAGCGACTGTTGTCTTTGCTTGCAAGCTCGGCGTTGGCGCTGGTCAGGCCCTCATTGACCTCAGTCAGACGATTGACCTCGTTGTGCAGATATTGTAGGGACTGTTTCAACGCATCAATCTCGGCATCGCGTTCGGAGAGGACGGACGTGGCGCTTCGGTTGACAACCTGTTCGGCGTGGTTACGGGCTTCTGTCAGCAGGCGATTCTCGGCGACGAGCTGTTCGACTCGCGACTCCAGCTCGAGAACTTGCATGCTTTGGCGGCGGCGCATGCTATGTGGTCTAGTCGGCGATCGAGGCGACCCAAGGCGACCCTCTCCGAATCCATCCTATAACAAGAGTGTCAGTTATTGGAGTGCATGCAGCAGTTGCAAGTACAATGATGGTGATGGTGCGGGTGGCTGGGGAAACCTGAGGCAAATGAAAAATGAAAAAAAAAAACCAACAAAAATAAAGAAAACCCAAGCCAAAATACCGCATCGCAACCAAAGATGGGGAAACTGTCGCAACGTATCAAAAGACACTCACGTATACATCAGCCATGTCCTTTGTACGGACACGGGCCTCGTTAGCAACGGGCGGCGTGGAGTTGTTTTGTTGACGAAGAGCTCGAAGGTCTCCGCTCATGCGCTTGTCGACCCGCCGCAGAGGTGGCGGTGTATGTGTGGCTGTGGAGCGGTAGCCTGATATGCTGCCTGGGCTATCAGGCCTCAACTTTAGCGGCTCTGGAGTGCGTTGGCGGGACAAACTAGTGTTGGACACAGATCTCCGCGGCACAGTCGCTTCGACAGAGGCTGATCCGGAGGCTACTGCGTGTGACTCTGACACCGCTCGTCTGTCATTGTCGTATCCCTTGTCGTGATGAGCAGCTCCAGTGGCCAGCGCAGTCGCTCCGGTTGCCACTGCCGCGAGCCCACCGTAGTCTTTTTTGGATCGGCGCAACTTCTTCTCAGGGTCGGCAATTGGCGTCGTTACGTCGTCTCGAGCCGGTTCATGTAGAACCGGTGTATTGAAAGGCGAAGGGCCTAGCCGTCTGTCCAGATCCCGGCTATGCGCCTCTGGCGTCTGCATGTGCGTCGAGTCGCGCCAATCACCGCTGTCCACACCGCTGTCTCGAAGCTTGTCGTCCACAATCTTGGGGCTTCTGCGTCGCTGAGGCGATTCTGGGATAAACCCACTGTCGCGGTTGGGTCGCTCCGCCGGCCAAAGTTCACCGGTAGCGGCCGCCCTCTCAGCTTCAGGAAGCTCTTGGACTGCAGGCAGTCCTCTCGTAGGCGAAGATCGTAGCTCGCTCGGTTCCGAGTATAATTGGCGAGACGAAACCTCTCGAGGCGTTTCTTCAAATAGCCCTCCTACTGGCTCCTCCAGTTTTGAATCACGTCGAAGTAGGCCACCAGGCGTAGATTGTAGCACCGAGGACTCGTCACGTCCCAAGACGGGGCTCTCGATATACTCATCGCCCACCGGCACTCCTTGTCTGACATTTTCTTTCCATTCATCGCCAGACTCAGTGAAACTGGTGCTAGCGGGGGTATGTGGTGCCACGCTGGGGCCAGGGTCCGGTCGGCTCGGGCCCCAAAACTCGTCAACTCCATCGTCTGCTGCCTCGTCTCTCGGTTCCTCTGCAATATTCCTCTTCTCTGATCCCTCCCACAAGGCCGGATCATCAAACATGTCATTCTCCTGCGGCTGTCTCTTGTCCACAATCTTGGACTTCTTGCCCTTCTGCTTCTTCCCTCCTCCATACATCTGCGTCAGAGCCGCTACACCACCCGTAAGCGCTGCCGCGGCTCCCACCGCCTCGAGTGAGTCGCGAATTCCTTTTGCCTTGCCACCGTCCCTTGCTTTGGAGCGTTCTGTCGTCGTCATCTTGCTATCAGAGCTTCTGAACTTATCGTCAACAGACCTTGTCATTTCAACATCGGGTAAATCGTCTCTTTTGACTTCACCAACACTAACCGCTTCATCAGATCGCCTTTCTTGCCTCTCGTCACCTGTTGTAGTCGCATCATCTCGTTTAGCCTTCCTTGCCGTTGAAGAATCGTCGTTGTTCGAAATGTCCTCGTCCAATTTCATAGTAGCTTGAGTGACCGGGGTAATCTCTCCAGTAGTAGACTGGCGTTTCTTGTCTTTCTTGGATTTTTTCTTGGTCGGTGCGGATCGGCTATCATCACCTCGTAATTTGGTCTCAGACATGACAGTTGGTTCTTCTACGAATTTGGCGGGAGCTTCGGTAATAGCCTCGAGGCAAGGGACATCCTGCGCCTCAATTGGTGCCTCCGGGGATGATTGCTCGTTGACCGGATCGTCCTGGTCTTGGAAAGACATATCCTTGGCTTCCTTTTCCTGGCCCTTGATGTCGGTTGGGAAGCGCTCGTCCTCCGCTGCGGGTTCGGGTTGTGTCAAGGCCGAACTAATGTCTGCGTCAGACCCAAGAACGCCCTTGCTCCCAGTTCCCTCCAAGTCAGCCAGTGAGATGGGTTTGCCCTTCTTGCCCTTCTTGCCCTTTTTCTTCGTAGGCATTGGCCATTCACCACTGACCGCTTCGGCAGGCGGTGCTGGCTCTGGGTTAGCAGTGGGGCCGGCAACAGCGTCCTCAGCAGGAGAGGGGATAGGATCGAGGGCAGGTTCTGTGGGAGGATCAATGACAGAGTCGGCCAAAGGCTTCTCCGCAGCGGCCTCATGCTCGGCTAAGAAGGTGGTTTTGACTTTGGTCTCCTTCGACTGCGTGGCCCACAAGTCATCGGCGTTAGCCTCAACAGGCGCAAGTTCGGGAGCAGCGTCTGAGGCTACAAGCTCCCGAGTCTGCTCAGTGGCGGGAACGCCTTGGGCGGCGTTAGGTTCAGCGGTCTCCTCTGTGGGACTGGACTCTGGTTGCGCATCCAGAGTGCTTTGTCGCTTGCCCTTCTTGCCCTTCTTGCCTTTCTTTGCAGACAAGGCCCATTCATCCACCTCCAACGCCGGGGATCGAGTCTCTGGGGTTGCAAGACTGTCGAGAGGAGCCACGGCTGCCGTTGGCTCCTCAGCAGGCACAGTCGAAATAGCAACATCGGCTTCGACGGCTGGCTCTGGGGGAGGACTGGCGAAATCAAGTCCGGACTTTCGCTTCTTGTCCTTCTTCGACTTCTTTCCCGAAACCGGGGCCTCGAAGCTAGTTTCGTCAGCAGCTTTGGGCTCTTCCGAAGCTGCGTCTCCTCTGGTCGCTAGTGGCCACCCGTCATCGTTCTCCTCTGCCCATGAAGACTCGGGTGGCTCGAACGTGGAACCTTCGGGAGCTGCTTCTTTAGCAGTCGATTCCGCAGCTCTAGTCTCTTCTGCCACCGATGCAGGCTCAGCCACGTCGGATGTTAAACGACTAAATCTCTTGGCCTTCTTCTTGTCCTTTCTGGAGACTGCTTTCGTGACAAACCCTTCTGCTTCGAGTTCCGTAGTTTCAGGAGCCGGTAAAACTTGACGCTCGCCCTGCTCTACATCCTCCTTGACGTCCTGAACTGACTCTGGATTCGGAAAAGGCTCAGGAGTTTCGTCCATCAATATGCCCGCCCCGGCACCTGCAACAACACCAAGAGCCGCAGCAGCCAGGCCGGCCTTTTTCAACTGTTTCTTCTCCTTGTTAGAAAGACCCGCCATCCACTCGTCTTCTAACTCGGCTTTATTGACGGCTGGTTCTTCGGGAACCTGGGAAGCCATTGCCTTGACACCGGCCTCTGGAATGATCTCGGTGGCCGGTTCCACGGAGGGTTCATCCAGCACCTGTGCGGAATCTTGGGCAGTGGGCTCTAATGCTTCGCTCGCAGACTCCTTCGGCTTCTTTGTCTCGTCTTTAGGAGAAGAAGTGACGCTGGCGCTGCCCCATTCGTCTCCGGCCGCAGCTTCCTCAGGCGGCGTCTCGAAAACAGGCGCAGCAGCAAGTTCAGCAGCAGGGTGGACGGTGGGTTCAGGATGTTCATCCACCCTCACGGAATCAGCCATTTCCTTGGACTCAGTTGCAGATTTGGCGCACGGCTCCCCATCGGGCTGCGTGGTGGGCTCCTCGACCGTTGAGACGCCTTCAGTTTTGGATATCCGTTTTTTGTTCTTCTTCTTATCTTTTTTGTAAGATACCAAAGCTGAATCGCCCCATTCACTTTCAGGCTCGGCCTCTTTTGCAGGGCTGTCAGGAGAAACCACCTCGGGAGCAGCCTTAATAGCAGCCTCCATGACAGGCTCGGAAGGAAGCATTTCGGCTTCCAACGTCCTAGCTCCCGTGACATTTCCGGCGGAGCTCTCATCTACAAGCGGTTGAGAGGTTTCTTCGGACAGTTTAACGGCTTCGCTCACTGGCTTGTCTTCTTTGTGCGCGTTCGCCCACTCATCCTCTTGAAACACAGCGTCTTGGGTTATTGGTTTGGTAGAAGGCTCCGCAAAATCTTTCTCTTCGACCGCGTCATGAGGAGCAGTAGTCTCGACGGATTGCACAACTGCAGGCTCGGCGGATGTCTCGTCCAGCGGCGGAACGACATCGCTCATTGGCTTCTTTTTATTTTTCCTATCCTTCTTGGATGTCTTTGTCGAGAAGCCAACCGGGTCGTCTTCCACCGTCGACTCTAGCGTCGCCGTCTCGGCAGAAGTCTCTGATAAGTCCGATAAATTCGTCGAAATCGTAGCCTCGGTAGTTTGCTCGGCCATCTCCTCGATGACGGTTGCTTTGACGGACATCGCCTCGGGTGTTTGTGAAACAGCCTCGCTCGCGGAATTCTTCTTTTTCTTCTTATCTTTCTTAGAAGGCTTTGTCGAGAAGTTACCCCGCTCGTCTTCGGGCTCGGCAGCGAACGCGGGCTGGGTGGTGCTCTCAGGCTGGGGTTCCGTAGAGACAACCTCGGGCTCAAGTTGTGCAGCACGGTCTTGGTTCGCAGTTCCGATCGCCACTACTTCCGATAGAGACTCTTCGACAGGCCGGATGTCAGCTTGAGGTTGCTCTACATCGTCGCTCTGGCGGTCCACCGACATGGCAGTATCAAGATCTTCGACTTCAGGTCTCGGCTCAAGAACAGGAATTATTGGTCCGGTCGCTGCCGCTTCAGCTACTTCCGAAACTGTCTGCTTCGTCTTTTTCTTCTTCTTTTTTTCCTTTTTCGAAGATTTAGCAGGGAACTCATCCGGGCTTGGCTGTTCCGTTTCGGGAGATTCAGGTTCAGCGTCAGGTTGCAAGGCAGCTTCAACTAGAATCTCAGGCTCGCTCGCGATAGGTGTGGTCAGCGGGACAGCCTCGGTTGGCGGAACATCTTCAGTTGACTCAAAATGGGGCTCTTCCACAGAAGCCTGCTTCTTCTTTTTTTTCTTGTCTTTTTTGGAAGTTTTCGTCATGGATCCGCCCCCTTCCTCATTTGGTTCAACCTCGTCCTGTTGCACTGGGGTCGGCTCTGTTTCGGGAGGCGATTCGAGTGTAGGGCCAATCGAGTTGGTCTGGTCTGCGATGATGTCGTTGGAAGGTTCGGCAACGTCATCCAGTAGCCTAACGGGCTGCTCCTCGTCAACAGATGTCGCGGTTTCGGCTTCAGTAGCTTCCTTGGGAACATCGCCAATAGGCTCGTGCAGAGCTGCCTGCTTCTTTTTCTTTTTCTTGTCCTTCTTGTCCTTCTTGTTAGGGAAGATAGAATCGGCATCGTCAGTAGCGGGGTTGCGAGAAGTCCCAATGACTGGTCCCTCGGCAGCCGGTACAACAGGCATTGCATCAGTCGTATCACGCGGTGCGCCTACCTCGGCGGCGTCAATCGCTTGGGCCACACTCTCCAACTCAAGAATAGTCTCAGCAGGTGTCTCGGTAACGGCGGCAGTGTCTAATTGGGGATCAGCGTCTATCTGGGGCTCAGCTGCATCACCAGAGATCAAAGAACGTGACTTCTTGTTCTTTTTACCCTTCTTTCCTTTCGTGGCAGTCGCTAACGGCCATTCCTCCACCGGCTCTGAGAGAGCGGGCAAGTCTTTCTTGGCTTCCAGTTCCAAGGCCTCGGGTTGCTTATCAGAAATATCGGCAACCGCTTCAGGCTCCTCTGTCAAGTGAGAAACGAGAACGGTCTCATCCTGAAGCTTCTCGGTCCTGTTCCCTGAGATGAGTCTGCTCCATTCGTCCTCTGACTCCACGTCCGTCTTGGGCTTGTCAACGTCGGTAGTGTCGGTAGCAGTAGCGACATCATCAATAACATCCAGTGTGTTGGAATCGGTCGTAAGCGCAGCAAGAGCCATATCATCAACACCCGACTTGTTATCAAATTCGGCAGAAGTAGAGGCAAGGGTTGGATCGTCGAGCGCTCTGTCGGCAGAGCTGGTGTCTTGACTATCCGGAGCAAGCTCTTCGGTTGGGCTCCAGACTTGACGATTCTTCTTGCCTTTCTTGCCCTTCTTCTTGGAGGCCGGAGAGTCGCTCCAGTCATCTGTGGGGGGTTGGCTGTCCGTCTGCGTGGTGTCCGCACTGGCATCATACTGGACTTCCTCAAAGACGGGATCTTGCGCGGAGAGGACTGTGTCCTGGGTCTCGAGAATCGGGGTCGCAGCGGTTCCTTGAGTGCCACCAGTCTCAGAAAGGTCAATTTCGGGGGGCAGCACCTCCTCCTCCTCCTCAAGCGGCAGAGTAACAATTTCGGGTTCGGGTTCAAACTGCACCGATTTACGCTTCTTTTTCTTCGGTTTTATCTTGTCCTCACCGACAGCTGCAAACTTCTCTTCTTCGGGGTTGGCGAGAGATTCAGGATTTTTCTGCTCTTCAGAAACCGCAGGTTGGTCGTGAGTTTCTTCGACCGCAGGAGCTTTGTCCAAGACAGGGTCAATTTGTGCATCCACAACTTCTTGACTCTGCTCATCGGTTGTTGTGGCCGGCTCCTCGGAAGGCGTAGTATCGTCAAGGAGGACAGCAGTCTTCTTCTTCTTCCTCTTCTGGTTCCTCTTGGACGCAGCGGGAGTGGACAAGAAATCATCTGCGTTGACGGCTTTGGCGTCCGACAGTTTGTTTGGAACGTCGGCTGCGACCTCGAGCTGAGCCTGCTCAGCATCTATGTCAAGAGGCGTATCTTCAACAGATGCGCTCTTATCGGCAGCGATCGAGGTCTCTTGCACAGTCTCTGCCTCTGGCTGCAGCTCAGTAGGCACATCGGGCACGTCAGGCCCCACAGACCTCCTCTTCTTGTTCTTCTTCTTTTTCTTAGAAGCAGTCGATCCTTCATCAGCATCTACAATGACCGCGTCGGCCTTGTCGAACTGCGGCTCCGAGCTGGCTTCGGTGTTGATTTGAACTATTTCCGTGGCTAACTCATCGGCAGGAAGATGGCTTTCTCGAGTTTCTGTAGGAACGGCGATATCTTGCAGGGCCTCCCGCATGGACTCCGGCTCGGCGGTCAGAACTTCTTCGTTTTCTGTGACGATGGGAGTTTCTTCCACAGCCTCTGCCACGGAGTGCGGTTTAGCAAGAGCGTCATCAAGCGCAATAGACTTCTTCTTCTTGCTCTTTTTATCCCTTTTAGAAGTAGGAGTAGTTGACCATTCATCTTCAGCATCTGCAACAGTGGCCTCAACCGTACCAGGCTGTGATTCGGGTGTAGGCTCTGCTTCGGTTACGGTAACATCAGTTGCAGCCTCCTCGGTTGAGAGTGCGTCATCTCGCGCAGTATTTCCCTCACTTGCGAGCTCTGTTGAAGGATCACACGCACTCGTAGAGTCAACTTCGGTCAGGGGCTCAAGCTGCTGACCCTTCTTGCTCTTCTTCTTGCTCTTCCTTGTGGAGCGCGCCAGCGAATCAGCTGCCTCCGCGATATCAGGCTGGGCATCGGTTACAAGGTCCTCCACTTTGGCAGAAACGCCATGAGTCTCGGCGGGCGGGCTCTGAGGAACCTCACTTGGCGACAGGCGTTCGACTTCAGGCGTGATCTCCGAGGCAGATTCTCTGCTGGAGGCGGCTCCTGTGGCGAGTGCGGCAGCACCAGCAAGGGCGGCGGCGACAGGCAAAGCGTCAACAACATCATCTTCCCAGGTTTGCGACTTCTTCTTCTTTTTCTTGCCCTTCTTACCCTTCGGAGGCTCTTCGCGGGCTTGATCTGGAGTGGATATATTGTCAACATCCTCCACAACGGTTGAGACATCAGCAACAGAGCCAGGCGCCTCCACAGAAGAAGATTCGAGAGAGAAATCAGGTCCGGGTGTCGATTCGGGGGCAAGCCCTGGCTCTGTAGAAGCCTCGGGAGCAGAAGTAGGAGCGGGGTCAGATTCAGGTTCGGGCGCCTTTTCAGAAGCGCGTTCAGCTGCAGGCTCCAAGTCAAGATCAAAAGGAGGGACATGTTCAACTACAGGTAGTGGTTCAGGTACAGACTCAGCGGCAGGTTCTGTGGGTGATTCGAGTACAGGCTTGACGGCAAGATCGGAAGCAGAAACAGACTCAAGGGCAGACGTCGGTTCAGATGCTGGCTCAGCAGCAGGCTCTGGGGCAGATTCGGTTATAAGTTCGCGAGCAGAGGTTTCACCCAGTTCCAGCGGCTGGTTTCTCTTGGCTTTCTTGAGTTTCTTCCTCTGTTTGACGCTGAGCCCTGCCCACTCATCAGGTTCCGCCGCGACAGGCTCCGTCGCAGGAGCGGGAACATCTCTAGCCAGTAGCTCAGGCTCAAGTTGGGAGTCGTGCTGCTCCTGGGCGTCTTGCATCGTTGTTGAGTCCTCCGACCAACGGCGCGAGTCGGCGAATTGAACATCTACGGCATCCTCAAATCGTTCATCGGCCGATGCCAGATCCTCCATAATGTCGGGCATCTCATCATTTGATCTGTGAGTGGACTCGCTTTCCATTGTGGCGGTCGTCTTGGTGGACGAGGGCGTCGAGTTGAGAAGGTAGGAGCTTCGATCCTTGGACATGGAGTCGACCTCATCGGGGTTTACAGCAGCTCCAGACTCCACAAAAGACTGGAATTCGGACTTGACCTCGGCCTTTGGGGTGCTTTCCTGCGAGCCGCCGTGCTGGTCGACTGATGGTGGCAAGTCTTGAGTATCAATGTGAAGGCCTGAAGAGCCAATACCAGCAGGCAAGTTGTCCTCGGTGAGGGATATCTCCGAAGCAGACAGCGAAGGCGGGAGAGCGGGAAGGTCGTCCTGCTTGACAAGCGTGTCACCAGAACCATGGCGAGAGTGCTCGAGAAGGTAGAGAGGTTTGATTTCTCTACTGCTGTCCCAAGATGTGCCGCGCGATGCTCTCTTTGCTGCTGAGTCTGGTATGGTGCCAGATGGAGTAGGGGTGGCGGGAGGGGATCTAAAAGTGCCGCTGGGACTGACTGGGGTGCGCTGTCCCAGACGAAGCGAGATGGGAATGGCTGTTCTGCTAGGCGACTTGGCAGGCGTCTCCTGGGTACTGCGTCGGCGCCGGTGTGACATCTGGTCCCGTCTCATGCCATGCTCTTCGGGAGGCGTGTTCGGTCGACTATCCGGGAGAGCTGGAAGGTCACTGGGCTCTGAGCCCGGGCTACCGGGTTCGCTCGGCGGGAGGGGAAGCAGATCGCCATACTGCGGATCAATGGCGGGTTTGATTGCGCGGGGGGCAATCTCGGGGTCGAAGGTATCGTAATCGTAAGATCCGACTTGCGAGGCCCGCTGAGTGTCGTCGTCGTTGGCCTCGGAGAAGCGGTCGGTGGCATTGGAGCGAGAGACGCCGGCAGCAACAATAGCTGCGGCGCCCGCCAAGCCGACACCCGCGCCAAGGGTGCCGGCATTATCTAAAAAAGACTCCTTCTCCTTCTTGTCCTCGTCTCGCCTGAAAATGCTTGCAAAAAGGCCACTGGATCGTTTGTGTTCTTTGCTCTTGCGGATGCCGCCAGGGGCAGAGGCGACGGAAACGACAGAGCGGGCGTCGTCATCGTCGTCATAATTACGAGATGAGCGCTTGCTGCTGCTTCGTCCGTCTCGGTCTCTTTCCTTGTCGCGATCTCTATCTTTTTCACGTTCGCGGCGGCGGCCATCGGCACGACCTTCAGAAACCACAGACGAGACGTCACGGTCATCAAATATGCTGCGACTTCGGCTCGGTACGTCGCCAGCGGAGTCAAAGTCACCTTCTGTGCCGCTACGGCGCTTGGACTTGCTGCTCTTTCTGCTTCTGTCGCTGCCGTATCCATCTTCACCTTCCACAGTACTGCGACGCTTAGATTTGCCGCTCTTCTTGCTCGCGTCGCTGCCGTAGCCGTCTTCACCTTCCACAGCACTACGACGCTTGGACTTGCTGCTCTTCTTGCTGGCATCGCTGCCGTAGCCGTCCAGGTCGGCTTCGGTACCGCTGCGTCTCTTCGACTTGCTGCTCTTCTTGCTCGAGGTAGAAATCTCCGACTCTGCAGCAGAGCGTGGGGGGGCGGCTTCATCACGGTCCGACTTGGACTTGCGCTTCGACTTGGAAGGGGTGTCCCAATCGTCTACAGCCGCATCGTCCTTGTCCGACTTTCGTAGAGACTGCAAATCATCAAAGGCATCGCTGGGGACCGTAACGATATCCTCTGGCGCCGCGTCTTGACTCTTTCGATTCTTCTTCTTCTTCTTGCCAGCAGAATCTTCGAACGTGTTGTCGGCGACGCCTTCAGTCGGCAGAGAGCGTTCGACGACTGCAGGGTCAGGCTGAGGTTGCGTGTCATGGCTTTCGCCCTCGAGGAGAGCCAGCGCTTTGGCCTGCTTCTCGCGTCGCTTCTGCTCCTTCTTGGAAAGCTTGGACGAGTCATCGATGGCATCCTCAAATGTCGTGGTCTCGGTTGAATCAGGAACAATCGTCTCGGATGATGAAGGGGTGCTGGATTCGCCAAGGTCTAGGGATTGGTGCTTGAGCTTATCCAGCTTCTTCTTATCCTTCTTGCTCAGCTTCTTGGGCGCTTCCCACTCGTGCTCGATATTGTTGTCGCCATTAGCTGGTTTGTCGCGGACAAGGCCACCAGGCTCTGACACCACAGAGCGACTTGACTCCTTTTTGTTGGCAATATCCATAACGATATCAGACATGGATCTGTTATTCCATTCGTCACCATTCGCCTCCCTCGTGCCGGGTGGCGAGTCACGTCGTCTGTAAGTGGGGTCATCAACCACAATATTAGAATCGAAGCCGGTATCCTTGAGTCCGGCAGCTAGAGTGGCCGCGAATTCGATGTCGTCGGCGAATGATCCGGGCAGAGTAGTCCTGGTGGGGTTGGTCGGTTTGGGTCCTGGGACTGGAGGTTGGTCGCGCGTGTCGACAGTGTAAACTTGTTCAGGACCTACGCCGCTGATATCGGGCGAATCATGCACCTTGGAGCCGAAGTCCTCCTTGCCAGACTCGCGCCTAGCAACTGTGTCAGGCTCACCAGAGGGCTCACTGCTGCTACCGGCGACGGCTGCAGCAATAATCCCCCACGGGCTTGCCCTACTCAGACGCGCTCTCGGTTTCTCCTCCCGTTCGTCAACTTTTTCTCTCTCTGCATCGCTCCTACCATCAGCGCTCTCTACTTCAAAACTTTTTGTGGAATTTTCGCCCCAAGAGACGGATTTGTTTGACGACTCAGCCTTGATGAGGTCTCCCTTCGGCCCAATGACAACTTCTGGGGACGGGTCAGATCTTGCTTGCGACTGGGGCTGGCCCCTACGCGATTGCTTCTCGACTTTGGGAGTCGGCTCCCTGCTGGGAATGGGGGTAGGGAATACGAGGTTTAGGACGGGCCGGTCTCGTTCACAGGATGGGTCGCGCGACTTAAAGTTGGACTTGCGCTTACCATTATTCTTCTCAAACTTGCGAGCTTCTGTGGGGGAGAGCTGGTTGTCGATGCGCACATCGGCGTTTGGTGCGTCGTAGGGGCCGACAGTCTTATGCTGCTCGTGCATTTCGGGAGGAGTGACAATTTTGACCTGCGGAGCGTCATCATTCTCGGGTGTCTGGCTGCGGATCTGCTCCTCTTCAATTTTTCGAGCAATCACGGACTGTCTGTAGTATCTATCCGCTTCTTCCTGGACAGTGTCTCTGCGCCAAGACTCGCGATCTCGAGAACCGTCATCGTCATAGCGGTCTCGGCGACGTTCCCGGGAGCGCTCAGCCTCTACAGCAATGGCCGAGGCGACAGCAGCTGCAGCTACAGGAACAGTAGCGTGTTTTGCTTGATCGTAGATGCTGCGTGCCTCATGCTCGCCTTCCTCGTAGTCGTGAGAGCCAGTGGCGTGATGGGAGTAGTCGTGGGAACCCTGGGCTCGCTCCTCAATCTCGAATGAATCCTTTCGGCTCAGTCTCGGCTCAGAAGTGGTCAGCGGCAGATACGGCTCATAGTCGTCAAAATTGGGCTCGCGATCAATTGTGATAATATTGGGTGTCAATGGGCGCCCCGGAGGAACTTCAGCGGCTGCTAATTCAGTCGTGGAAAAGGCACCATCGGCCACTTGGTACAGAAATGGGTTGACCTTTGAGGTGGAGGCGCCCTGGTTGTAGTTGAAATCGTATCTGTCGACGGGCTTGCCCTTATCCTCCTTGCGATCGTCCCGGCTAGAGTATGACTTGTTATCTCGATTGGAGGAGCGAGAAAGCTCGCTACGAGGGTCGACGACATCCCGCTTGCTGCGGTCTCTGCGAGAAGACGAAGGCAGGTCGGCGTAGTATTCGGCTTCAGTTTCGCGGCGCTTACGAGGCGTCTCCTCGTCATCGTTTCTGGAATGGCGCTTGTGGTCGTTCTCGTGTTGTTTGGTGGAGGGCAACGAGTCACGCTTCGACTTCTTGCCGTCCTTGTCCTTTTCGGAGTCCTTGTCTCGGCGCCTCGAATCACGATCACGCTCCCGTCGGTCTTTTTCGCGCTCGGGCTCTCGCTCTCGCTCTCTCTCGCGTTCACGGGCCTGTTCCTTTTCGCGGATTCGATCTCGTTCGCGCTCCCGTTCGCGTTCGTGATCGCGCAGGGCCTTCTTATCCTTTCTGTCCTCTTTACGATCAGAGACCAGAGCAGCGGCACCAGCGGCACCAATGGCAGCAGCCATGAAACCAGCAGCAGTGCTACCATTGACGCCATGGCTGTCGCGGTCCTTGCCGTGACGGGAGTCACGGGGGGCAGGATCCTCCAGTTTCTCGGCGTCATACACTTTAGAAGAGACCGGGAACTTGGGAATCGGCTGCTCAAGAGGCACGGTGGACGTACGAGAGCGATGTGGCAGCTCCTGTCTAGAGTTGGCGTCGACATCAAACCTTGCAGGGTCTGACGTGGGAACGGGGTAGACTTCCCGCATGGGAAGTCTGTCTGAAGGCTCGACATTGTATCGACGAGCGTCCGCGGTCGTCTGGTATGTGTTTTGGGGGACATGTGGATCTTGGCCAAAGCCACACGGGGTATTGATCATGCCGCGCAGAGAATTGACGGGGCCGAACAAGCGAGGGTCGACGACGGAGCTACGCCTGCCAGGATCCGCCAGAGCTGCGGCCGCAGCAGCACCAGCACCACTCGCATAGGGCCCAACACCGTGGCTGGAACTACCAGTCACATTGGGCCGTAAGACAGAGGAGACGACAGAGCCGTACGCGAGAACAGAGTCTGCGCCGTCACTCTCGTCATCCGAGGCATCCTCCCAGTCAGACTGGTCACTTGACGAATCCTCGTGAACTTTGGAGCTGCCGACTCCGCGGGAGCGAGCCTCTTTGCGGCTCTTGCGGTACTTGCCGAGCCCGACTGCCGCCGCTGCCAGCATAGTGGGCTTGACGTAGCCCGCAGCTTTCAGGTCGTGTTTATTCTGCTTGTGCGCCAGGTCGGACAGCTGGCGGCCAATCTCGAGAATCTCCTCGTCCGTTTTGCCGCGCATGGGACCGTCGGGCCTACGCGGGGCGTCGGGGATTACAGCATCCCTCGTCTTGGCTGGGCGACCGCTACTACTAGCAACGGCAGCGCCATAGCGAAAGCTGTTGCTGCCGCCAGAGCCGCGACGGCGCAACTTGGGAATGTATCCCTGTCCGTAGGCCAGGTCCGAATTGACAGACGACGACGAGGAATTGCCGGTGCCTCCAAAGTAGAACGAGGTACGGCGCTTGGACGAGCGAGCAGCCCGGCGGGCTTCGCTGCGGCGACGGCGCTCCGAGGGTGCGCTGAAGAAGGTACCCAGAAAGCCGCCATAACGGCTTTGCGGGTAGTGTCTGGAGATGTCGAGGAGGGAGGAGGAGCTAGAGCTGCCAGCGCTGGAGTTGGACGGAGCTCGTCGTCTCTGGTGTTCTTGGGGGTTGGCACCGATGGAGGAGGTGTACTGGCGAGGGGGTGAGTGTGGTGCGGCAGGGGGCATGCTCGTGAAGTAGGGCGGGTTGGGCATCGAGGTGAAGTCGGCGGTCCTGGTGCGGTTATTGCTGTCGCTTTCTCTGTATCGATCAGTGGCATGACCATCTCGTTCACGGCGACGGTCTATGTCTCGGTCTTGGTCTCTATCTCGCTCGCGGTCAGGTTTGCGCCTGTCAGAGTCATCACGACTCTGACGACGACTCTCGCGTGGCATGGTGGTGAGAGGGGGGGGGGGGGGGCGGTTGTAGGCTTGTTGCTATATTTCCAGTGTCTATGTCTATTCGGTGCGTGGACGGACGCGAAAAGAATAAGGCATATGGGCAGCAGAAAGCCTATGCTCGGCAAATCGGGATCGGGGTTTCGATTCCTTTGGGGTGGGAAAAGGATGAAGGACGAAAATGTTGTTTTGATTTGGAGTGGCCCTTGCGGAGGAGGACTTACATGGTCCTGAAATGGGGCCTGATGGCACCTACACCGAGCTATAGGCCACTGGCGGCCGCTGAGAGGAGCCGAGCTGGGCAAGCTGGTGGGGAGCCATCGACCCGAGCCGCTCCGCTGAAAAAGTGCAAATGGTGGGTGGCTGGGGATGACGCTAGAGCCAGGCAGATAATTCTGGCTGCAACGCCGCTTTAGTAGCGCAGCAAACCAGCTTGCAGCAGGAGGTTGATGCAAGAAGAGCCTGGGTAAATTTTAGATTCCGCGGTACGACTGGTAGGTATTCGTGAACCGATAATTGTATGCTGTTTGTAATTTGCCCTCTGTTGACATACAGTGCTGCTTCAAGCCGCTAGCTGACGTTGAACAATGGGACAACAATGCATGGACTGGTGGGTCTCTGGGCCATTCCTCCATCTTGTTCAGACCGCTACATGAACGTCGCGTTGGGCATCTTTAAGAAGGGTGTCCCGCTCATCAGCAATGCCCAACTATTCATCCTCAATTTTCTGATCCTAGAGATTGTCGTCGTCTCTTATTACAATAAATCGGCTACTCTAAATGGAAACAGTGTTGTAGTTAGGTGCTGGCTATCACATATCAATGTATTATAGCAGCGCTGCGCTAACACTATCTTGGTCGTGGCGCCACAGCTGTCGTGGCACCACTTGTCAGCAGTCAAGCCACAGAATACGGGGCGACGATGCTGGCTGCCTCGTCAACGTCCAGCTTATTTAGTAGGTACTATTACTAGGTACCTACCTAGGTACCTAGCTAGCCCAGAGCAATAAACATGGTGGGAGCCCCGTGCGGCAATGCGCAGGCGATGCATTGAAGCAGTGAACGAAAGAAATCCAGACTACGAACCTAATACTCACTAGCATAGCTGAATCTAATGTATAGAAAAGGACATTTCCCAAAAGTTGCCACCACATTGTGTCCGTCCATTTGATGCACCCGATCGACTACCTACCTCGCTATGTACCTATGTAGTCAGTCTGCTACCCTATTTAGTCCAAGTAAGAGCGTTACAGCTTCCCAAATGTATGCCGCTTGATTGATTATTGATTGATTACTACTTTCGCTTCCTCATGCAGTTATACAACACGGAGAACAAGTTTACTAGAGAATTATCTCCATTTTACTATGCCCTTGGATTCTGATGGCGGACCAGTCGTTCTAATAAAAGTCCAAGAAGCCGCTATTACTCTAGTTCCGCGAGTCCAGAGATGAGAGACAGAGGGAAAAACCAAACAATCGCTATTTGGGCCGCTCACGCTATGCTGGTTTCTAAAACTGCCATGATACATGAGAAGGTCCCAAATCCCAAAAATAACAAAGCAACCCCCTTGGGTATATCTTCCAATTGATACAGCAAGAAGGCACAATGCAACACCAAATGCAGAGGAGCTATGCCAAAAAAAAACC